AAATTTTAGTGAGGTTAGGTTAGGGTGGTAGTTAGGTTAGCTCAAAAATCTGGTATCAGGAGAATATGATGCGCGAGGAGATTGAAAGTTAAAATAAAATTTTAGTGAGGTTAGGTTAGGGTGGTAGTTAGGTTAGCTCAAAAATCTGGTATCAGGAGAATATGATGCGCGAGGAGATTGAAAGTTAAAATAAAACTTTAGTGATGTTAGGTTAGGGTGGTAGTTAGGTTAGCTCAAAAATCTGGTATCAGGAGAATATGATGTGCGAGGAGATTGAAAGTTAAAATAAAACTTTAGTGAGGTTTGGTTAGGGTGGTAGTTAGGTTAGCTCAAAAATCTGGTATCAGGAGAATATGATGTGCGAGGAGATTGAAAGTTAAAATAAAATTTTAGTGAGGTTGGGTTAGGGTGGTAGTTAGGTTAGCTCAAAAATCTGGTATCAGGAGAATATCATGTGCGAGGAGATTGAAAGTTAAAATAAAATTTTTGTGAGGTTAGGTTAGGGTGGTAGTTAGGTTAGCTAAAAAATCTGGTATCAGGAGAATATCATGTGCGAGGAGATTGAAAGTTAAAATAAAATTTTAGTGAGGTTAGGTTAGGGTGGTAGTTAGGTTAGCTCAAAATTCTGGTATCAGGAGAATATCATGTGCGAGGAGATTGAAAGTTAAAATAAAATTTTAGTGAGGTTAGGGTAGGGTGGTAGTTAGGTTAGCTCAAAAATCTGGTATCAGGAGAATAGGATGTGCGAGGAGATTGAAAGTTAAAATAAAATTTTAGTGAGGTTAGGTTAGGGTGGTAGTATCAGGAGAATAGGATGTGCGAGGAGATTGAAAGTTAAAATAAAATTTTAGTGAGGTTAGGTTAGGGGGGTAGTTAGGTTAGCTCAAAAATCTGGTATCAGGAGAATATCATGTGCGAGGAGATTGAAAGTTAAAATAAAATTTTTGTGAGGTTAGGTTAGGGTGGTAGTTAGGTTAGCTAAAAATCTGGTATCAGGAGAATATGATGTGCGAGGAGATTGAAAGTTAAAATAAAATTTTAGTGAGGTTAGGTTTGGGTGGTAGTTAGGTTAGCTCAAAAATCTGGTATCAGGAGAATATCATGTGCGAGGAGATTGAAAGTTAGAATAAAATTTTAGTGAGGTTAGGTTAGGGTGGTAGTTGGGTTAGCTCAAAAATCTGGTATCAGGAGAATATGATGTGCGAGGAAATTGAAAGTTAAAATAAAATTTTAGTGAGGTTAGGTTAGGGTGGTAGTTAGGTTAGCTCAAAAATCTGGTATCAGGAGAATATAATGTGCGAGGAGATTGAAAGTTAAAATAAATTTTTAGTGAGGTTAGGTTAGGGTGGTAGTTAGGTTAGCTCAAAAATCTGGTATCAGGAGAATATAATGTGCGAGGAGATTGAAAGTTAAAATAAAATTTTAGTGAGGTTAGGTTAGCTCAAAAATCTGGTATCAGCAGAATATAATGTGCGAGGAGATTGAAAGTTAAAATAAATTTTTAGTGAGGTTAGGTTAGGGTGGTAGTTAGGTTAGCTCAAAAATCTGGTATCAGGAGAATATGATGTGCGAGGAGATTGAAAGTTAAAATAAAACTTTAGTGAGGTTTGGTTAGGGTGGTAGTTAGGTTAGCTCAAAAATCTGGTATCAGGAGAATATGATGTGCGAGGAGATTGAAAGTTAAAATAAAATTTTAGTGAGGTTAGGTTAGAGTGCTAGTTAGGTTAGGTCAGATTACTTTGGGCGTTTTAAATTTTTACAAATCTTGTATCTAACCTAACTCACATGAAACTTAACTCTCAAAAGTCTTTAAAACGAACACCGATTTAAAATTCTTATTTATTGCGGCGTACTCTTATGGCGATTTAACTCGTATATTGCGAACAAATATTTTTTTCTACAATCGATATCCAAAGTAGGCATTTGCGCTCGTATTTGACAACGCAAACGTCATCTTTTTCGAGGAATGTCACTTTGTCGCGACAAAATAGAAAAAACGCAAAATGTTTATAGCCTAATTACCTGAGTTTTTGGTAATATTAAAATCTTGTGATTAAAATAATCCAAGCTGAATATACTGTTGTGACATCTGTCTTTATTATTGTGGACTAACATTTTATCGAAAAATGCAGGACACTTTGTTACCAACATTATTTTAGTTGCAACCTACACCTCAAAGATGTCGCCACACTACTTTTTTTGTATACTTTATGAAACTAACGTTAGATGTCAGAGCGCTCCAATTAAAAACCATAGACGCTTCCATAGATATATATAGTTTTAACCTCAAATTCATAAATGAATTTTTTTATTTTATAGTCAAAAATTAAACTTTGTTATCATTCCTTTCTCGCTTACAGGTTTAAATTGTGGAACTGGCTACTGGGAGTGACAGGAAAGCGGCAGACTCGGGCATTGCGGAAAATGATACTGATCGCTCTGTGTCGTCCGATCGGAAGACTGGTAGTTCTCGATGGGTGAGAAAAATTAGCATTGAATTCGGACAACACAAATTGAAAAGGGAAAGGCTTTGTAACCAAAACAGGAGGACACGTTGAAGCACTCGCAGAAAACCCATTCAAACTTTTCAACGTTAAAATCGGAACGATTACAAGATTGCAGCGGCTGCCGATGGTGCGAAGCTATTCGTTAAACAATTGAGCCTTGAGTTCATTCGACAGAACTAAAGTTATAAAAACGGTAGTGAAATTGGCAGCGAAAAGGAGCGAAAGTGTTACGCAGTTTGCAAGCACCCAAAAATGTGTTGTTTGTGCGATCTTCGTGTGAAAGTTGTTGTAAAACGGTTCAGTTAATGTACCTGTTATTGAAATTGTTCTTTCAAGGGCTTTAAATAAACTCCTATGCGTAAGAAGTTTCGAATTGCAAAAATAAATGTTTTCTGTTCATTGAGCATGGTGTGTTGCCTACAAACCAGGCTACACAAATATCGAGTGCCCATATTCAAATTGGGGATTTGCTTGAATCTCCCCAATCTGCCACTTTTATTGAGGGTAAGGAAGGCCTCTACGAACGTAAGTCCCAGGGCCCCGAAAAACTTAAAAACGGCAGTGCATTTAAGGAATAATAAGTGCGACGTTGCTATTAATCGCATAAATTCAAATGAAATTTTAAAAGAAGTTGCATACGTGGCGACATCTCAACTAGACTTCTAAAACTATAATTTATAGAAAGTGTATCGATTGCCAAGGAGATGGCGCACTAGTACTTATTGTACCGGGTGATTCATTAGTAGTGAGGACAATTTGAATTTCCCGCAAATCAACAAAATTTTGAAGTTGGTACTAACTGATGATCATTTATTTAATTGCAGCGGTGTATCATCGTGCTTTCAGTAAATCGTTTACTTATTTATAACCTACAAATACTGGTTCTGTTTTACCACGCATTATAAACTAACACTAGACACAGTCATGTTTCTTACATATTTTAGTGCATCAACTCTAAAAATTGATCAAAATGGAAAAAGTAATAAACCGCAAATGGCACACAACAATTAACGGCGACACCGGTTTCTTAAATGACAGTCATGACAGATAAAAATTACTAACGAAATTCAAACCGTCAATCAATAATGCAAAAAATACTAAAACCTTACGCGCGAAATTCAAGCGATCATCACTTCCAATGAATCACCCGGTATTTAAACTATCTATTCAAAAACCGGGCCTTTAAACTACAATTGCTCTACAGATCTTGGTTTTCTGGTGAGATTTTGGTGCGTAGAATCCAAAACAATTTGTACTTTTTGGATCAGACTTCTCAATCAAAAGTTATAGACCAATTTCGAAAGAAAATTCAAAGGGCTGTAACTTTTGAACTAGTAGCCCAATCTTGGAACTGTTTGAAATTATGGATTCTACAGGCCACATTCTATAAGAAAATTTTTTTCGTGGACGATCTGAGACAATTTTTTTTTTCGGGGCAAAAAAAGGCAGTGTATAACCTTCCTTTTTTCAAAAAATGGACTGCACCAAAATTTCTCGGGAAAACGTCGTGCTACTAGGAGAACTTCGATTTAAAAATTTGGCAATTCTGTATCAGGATCATATGAGTGCGAGAAGGTGCTTCTTTTCCCAATACTACACCTGTTACTTGTCGATAAACCTATGCAAAAGGTGTCGTGCTACTAGGAGACCATAATATACGAAGAGGTCTTTTTCTAGCACTGTCAGAATTATTTCAAAGCTTTCATTCGATTTAAAAATTTTCCAATTCTGTATCAGGATCATATGAGTGCGAAGAGGTGTTTATTTTCCTAATACTACACCTGTTACTTGTCGACAAACTTATGCAAAAGTGTCGTGCTACTAGGAGAACATAATATACGAAGAGGTCTTTTTCTAGCCCTGTTAGAATTATTTCAAAGCTTTCATTCGATTTAAAAATTTGCCANAGTTAGGTTAGCTCAGAAATCTGGTATCAGGAGAATATAATGTGCGAGGAGATTGAAGATTGAAATAAAATTTTAGTGTGGTTAGGTTAACGTGCTAGTTAGGTTAGCTCAGAAATCTGGTATCAGGAGAATATAATGTGCGAGGAGATTGAAGATTGAAATAAAATTTTAGTGTGGTTATGTTAGCGTGGTAGTTAGGTTAGCTCAGAATTCTGGTATCAGGAGAATATAATGTGCGAGGAGATTGAAGATTGAAATAAAATTTTAGTGTGGTTAGGTTAGCGTGGTAGTTAGGTTAGCTCAGAAATCTGGTATCAGGAGAATATAATGTGCGAGGAGATCGAACGCTAAAATAAAATTTTAGTGAGGTTAGGTTAGGGTGGTAGTTAGGTTAGCTCAAAAATCTGGTATCAGGAGAATATAATGTGCGAGGAGATTGAAAGTTAAAATACAATTTTAGTGAGGTTAGGTTAGGGTGGTAGTTAGGTTCAAGTTACTAGGAAAACATAGCAGGAGCACATGATGTTAGGTGTTTCTGCTCCTAGTACATGAACCTAGTTTGTTCACTGTACCGCTTAATCAGAAAAAAAACTAAAACTCTTTATTTAATTGTATAACATTTAAAATGTAGGTGGCATCCTCAAAATTACAATTCTAGAAAAAGATCCGGAAAATATCACTGGGCGCATTTGGAAAGAATCTCAGTTAAAAATAAGTACAATACAAATACTAAGTAAGGCACCTAAGAGCATCAATTAAGGGTAAAATTAAGTACCGTAAACTAAAGAAAATGGTATTATAATGGCGGATTCTGATTATTGTATTGCGGCCGTCCGGCCAACTCCAAGAGATATCTGTCGGGATGATCCAACCAATCTGCGGCGCTCAGTTTGACGTTCCGTTGCCGCTCCGCCTCCTTCACCTCCCATTTCTTAACATCCAATTGCGCATCACGACTGGCTTGATCGCCGCAACCCCAAACCTCGACGCGATCCAGGCTGTAGGGGATCTTTCTATACTCCAACTGTGGGAAATTCGTTACAAAATCCGAGCGAAAAAACCAAGAACGTACCTTGTCGAATCCCGAATTGATCGATATGATCGGCTCGCGAGGATCCTTGCCCACTCGCAGTCCTTGCGGGTACCCGCGAATGCTCAGGTTTAGGTACAGCGACTTCGAACCCCTCTCGAGCATCCGAAATCTACAAAAAAATGGGATAACGACAAGCAGGTAACGGTCGCCGACACGTACGTGGGAAGTATCTGAAATAGAATCGCGTCCTCCCCGCCCCAGTACAAGTGCGATTCCTTCCACTCGTTTGGGGAGCCGATGCAAAAAATCGAACCGCCGTCCACCTTAAGTAGACACAAGGTGGCGCCCTTGTACGCGAGGACGTGGTGCAAAAAACGATTGGAACCGATACCGTTTTCCTCCGAGTCGTATAGACTTATCCAATGGGACGGTACGGCGCACAACAACTTCATCAAAAACGCTTGACTCGATAGACCTAGGGACGCATGGTCAAATGACTCGGGCGTTAGGGCAGAACATTTTGAGAGAGAAAGTAGCATCGGGGGGTCTGGAATACCCCCCAGCCATTCTCTCTAGCGCATGTAAGTCTCATGATAGTTATAGGACAAGGAATGTCAAATCTTTCAATTCCTGGGGGGTATTCCATACCCCCCGGTGCTACATTCTTCCCAACATATTCTACATCATAATTTTTTTAATATTCCCTTATGAAAAACTATTAGGGGGGGTCGTTGGGGGTGAACATTTTGAGAGAGAATGTAGCACCGGGGGTCTGGGGGGTGTGGAACACCCCCCAGCCATTCTCTCTAGCGCACGAAAGTCTTATGATAGTTATAGGACAAGGAATGTCAAATCTTTCAATTCCTGGGGGGTATTGGGGTATTCCATACCCCCCAGACCCCCCCGGTGCTACATTCTTCCCAACATATTCTACATCATCATTTTTTTAATATTCCCTTATGAAAAACTATTAGGGGGGGTCGTTGGGGGTGAACATTTTGAGAGAGAATGTAGCACCGGGGGTCTGGGGGGTGTGGAACACCCCCCAGCCATTCTCTCTAGCGCACGAAAGTCTTATGATAGTTATAGGACAAGGAATGTCAAATCTTTCAATTCCTGGGGGGTATTGGGGTATTCCATACCCCCCACCCCCCCGGTGCTACATTCTTCCCAACATATTCTACATCATCATTTTTTTAATATTCCCTTATGAAAAACTATTAGGGGGGGTCGTTGGGGGTGAACATTTTGAGAGAATGTAGCACCGGGGGGTCTGGGGGGTGTGGAACACCCCCCAGCCATTCTCTCTAGCGCACGAAAGTCTTATGATAGTTATAGGACAAGGAATGTCAAATCTTTCAATTCCTGGGGGGTATTGGGGTATTCCATACCCCCCAGTGCTACATTCTTCCCAACATATTCTACATCATAATTTTTTTAATATTCCCTTATGAAAAACTATTAGGGGGGGTCGTTGGGGGTGAACATTTTGAGAGAGAATGTAGCACCGGGGGGTCTGCGGGGTGTGGAACACCCCCCAGCCGTTCCCTCTAGCGCACGAAAGTCTCATGATAGTTATAGGACAAGGAATGTCAAATCTTTCAATTCCTGGGGGGTATTCCATACCGCCCCCAAATCACCAATTCACCCTGCATACTGACCGACTCCGCTATTGCTTGGTGAGTTTGCCCTCTGCGGTCGCGAGTATAAAGGAGGAAGAGCCCCCGCCAGCAACCACGACATGCTCATCTGCAACAAGTGGGGGTGATACTCGCCGTCTTTAAACAGAGGCGGTTGTTCCAAGACGGGCGTCGCCAACTCTAAACCTACCAAATTAAGTATAATTAGACTTAGCTTAATAAAAGCGAACCTTGTGCGTCCGTCGCAAGACCTACACCGATATTATACTTAATTCTAACCCGAAACGCCTACGACGAAAGTTATACCTGCCGCCAAGTCAGTCTCGTGAGTCTCTAAAGTTCGATACGAAGTCGCTAGGGAATGTACGGCGTATCTGTGAAGGGTCAGCAGCAGTCGGGGGCAGTTCTCCTCGATCCAATGGACGACGTACTGACACGACAGTGAGGTCTTCTTCAGGAAGCAGCTCTCGATGACTGCCGTTAACGTCTTGTTAATCGCGACGCACATCTGCGGCCCCTCCGAGTAGTGATCCATCGAGACGTGGTACGTCGACATGAACAGCGAGTACATGTCATCGCGGGTCACATTCTCGTCGCTACCTGCGAACATCTGCACCAGGATGTGGTGAACTTTGTCATCTTCGAGCACCTAGAGAGAGGGGGGAGAGTTCAGTTGACAAGAAATGTACTGCATATTTTAAACTTACGGCGAGGAAACGTTCGGCCTGCTGCTTGAATCCCGAGTTGCTTAGGTACGCGTTTTTGGACTTGGCCAGGCGGAGAAAGTACGCGAAGAGCTTCTCGGCGAACAGCGGATACCTCGGGAACAGGTTTTGCTAAAAGAAAACGTATTACGACCTTCCCGCGTGTGTGTCTCTCTCTCTCTACCGTGAAGACTTTCAACGTGATCCCATTGACGCCCTCTTGCGCTTGACTTTTCGAAGATAGGATCTGCAAGTGAGGTTAAATTAGGCTGCGGATTTAAGTAGGGACGTACCTTCGAGAGCTTGTCGATCGGCATCAGATTGAGCGGTCTGTCATTTATGCTCGCGGCAGATGGTGTTCTCGAGATAATCTTACGAGAGCCGTTACCGTTGGCAGTCGGTGGCGGTGCGGAGTCCCGGGATTTGGATTTGACCGAAGTGGATTGGGATTGATTCTGGCCCATTTCTCCTTCGTTAATTAGTTTCACATTTTCATGGTTCGGGCGAGTTACGTTTATCAATCGCGATTACGCATTACAAAATAATTATCATCACAGCTGAAGCATTATCTTCTTTGATCAAGTCTCGAGTTGAAAATACATTCACGTACAGCCTGAGAAAGTGCTGCAGTAGTTCAAAGGTCATTAGTAGAGCATTTTCATTAATTAACGAAAAGAAAAGCGACTTTTGTATTGGGGAAATTACGTATGCAACCACTTTGAAATGTAAACATGGAATTTTTTTGCACTTTTAATGTTAATGTCACTTTTACACGCGAGTTACAAGTAGTTCAAATAGCTTAATTAGGTCGGTAGTTGCAATGACCCGCGCGTTTTAAATCTGAACTAATCATTAATTTTTAAAAAAACGACCGCTTCTTTTACACTTTTCAAAGAATTTGTTAGACCTAGGGAGTAATTAACATATTTATTAATGGAAGAACGCCTTACGCCTACCACTTTCAATCAAGGAACGCCGCTTTCGGAACACAGGCACATTCTTATCCATTAAACCTGGAATCCCACTGCGGGCGCCTGTAGGTTTCGGAATCCCCGATCCACTGACTGGGACTGCCATGTGGCAAAATCTTTGCTCTGTCGGAAAGCAGGGCAGGTGGAAGAGGCGAACGCATTAGTAAGCGACGCCATATATAACGGCGTCTTAAAGGAGGACATCAGCTGTAAACCTTTACTGAACTCTTCCACCAACATTATACCCCTTGGAACCCCTTACGGGGTGTGATTCTTCACCTTATAATTCACGTTAATATCGCCTTCCGTCTTCACCGGCTCCTGTGCATTCAGGTCCCGTAATTGAACTGTTAGGGGACCAATCAGACTCCGCCATCTATATTGCCCACTGGGAGTACCAACCGCATTTCTACTCAGAGCATCCTAGCGCCAGGAGGACGTTCTACCTGGAATAGTTCAAATTGGGATCAAATGGTTCCACCAAACATCACATCCCCCCGGGTGCACACACGCCTCGTTGCTGTCCGCCGTCTCCGTAAATGCCACACTTGATCCACTCGCAACCCTTTCCGCCGCCTGCGTTCGAGGTATAGGCGTTAGCGCCATGTCCCCTAAGACTAAGGACGCGCGCATTTCGTCAGCGAATCCATGGTCCAACAACTGACGCGCCACTTTCCTCCGTCAATCGCCCACGGTCGCGCCTCTTCCAGAATCTGCACTAGGAAGTTCGCCCGCTTCTATGGATAAGGCGTCACCATTCTACATGATAAACGTGTGCGCATGCTACAAACACCCCGTCCAGTTAAAATTCCCAAATATCCTTCGAAATGCTCGCCAATTTACAACTCACCTTGGTGTCCGCCCTGTCCGTAGCTCTATTCCGCCAAAGAACCAGCACGCCTACTTTATACACCGCCGCTCGTTTAAGATTCGCCGTCTGTGACTGGTCCATATAACCTTGGAAGTCGTCTCCCTGGTGTTCCGTATTGCTGGCCATGAAAAAAAGGTCGTTGTTCCTGCAAGAGCCTCGCCTGGTTCAATAGGTTTATGCCGCCCTGGTTTCCGCCTGAATTGGCCAGATCAGTTACCACAGCATCCCGATGGAAGAACATGAACCCGACTGGGAAGAACCTACACGAAGAGGAAGTTGTCTCCTTCCTAATGTCCGTGTCCCAATGTTTGCGTCCTCCTGTCTACGTCCTAAAATCCGCGTCCACGTCCCAATGTCTGCGGCTTACTTTCTTTGCGATCTACTGTCTTGCGGCCCAATGACGGCGTCCTATTGTCTGCGGCTTAATGCCCGGTCACCGGGTTTCTGCTCAATTATGCATCCTGCCGCCAGGATGGTGTTCCATCTCTATGTCACATATTCCTGGATGGCTAGCCACCCTCGAGCTATCCCAGGAACAGGATTTCTTTTCAAAACCCTTGGCGCCACGCAATCGGTTACCACCTTGAATCGCACGCCAATCCAGTACACCCTAAAACGTCTTATTCTCTCGACCATCGCCAAGGTCCCCGTTCACTGGGTGCAGTGGTTCTGCTAAAATACTCCACTGGCGTCTTTTATAAACCGCCTGAAATATGACGCCAACCCAACGAACTGCCTGTTGGCACTGGGAAGTTCGCTATTCAGAAGTTGGGGCGTCACAACTGCAACTGGCGCTTCCAGGGACATCGCGTCGCCGCCTTTCGCCTATTTATCGGGTACCCTAACTACTAATTGGGTCTTCTTAACGGCTCATTCGATCCCACTTCTGATGTCGCAAAATGTATTTATGCGCAGTAAAATACAGTGTAGCCTAGAAAATGTTGTTAAGTCTGTAAAGTCGTTTACAAAATATGATGTCAATTTTTAAACGCTACATAATTCTTTTAATTCCGCGGTACAAGGGTGCCCTTGAAGACAATAAGGCCGCCCTAATCAAAACGAACTATTTTTCAAATATATTTTACACACAAATAATCGAGTTACAAATTTATACATTAGAATCATCGCATTTAATCTAAAACCATTTACTTAATCCTTACGTGTTAACTTTATATATACAAAATTACCGAGATGATTCAAAGTACCATTAAGCTAACGGTGATTACTAAAAATTGTAAATCTCTAAGTGTAGTTTTACAAATAAACCACGTACTCTCATCAAAATAAAGTAGAGAATAATAATAATAATATTAAAAATGAACTTTTATAACGTAAATAAATTATAAATCACATTTCTCGGAGACATATTACTTGCGAAATTTATAGCGGAAAGGAAAATTAACCTTCAGTCTTCAAATAATATGAATCGCAATTTAGACAAGTTAAAATACTGGGAGCTCCGCTTGTATTCACTTTCTTTTTGGTTTCGGCGGTCGCTTCGGCGGCAACTCTCGCTCGAGATCGTAGAGGTGCTCTCTGTTCTTCATGACGCTGGCCTGCGACTGCGGGGAAACAAAATTTAATGCGCGAGTCGGACGCGAGAACCGTCGCTTACCAGTTTCGCCATGATCCTCTTGGGCAAGTGATCGGTAACGCGATAAATGACATCACATTTCAGCTCTAATTGACTCTCGTCCTCGAATAACACCTGCAAAATTCACATTGCAATAAGACCTTATCGTACAGAGTATTTCAAAACCAAATTAGAATATACAGTGTGTTTTCAACTAGCATTGCGTTAAGGTAAAAAAATGACAGAAAGTTTGAGCTGCTCAAAGGTGGTCAAGAGCGCAAGAGTACCATCTTCTCCTCCTGTCACACAAATATAAAAAAATATAAGATATATATAAGAATCCCCCCAGTCATTCCCTCTAGTAGTCTTATACGGGGTGTAGGAAAATGAACACTGAATCATTCTTTTTCCTGGGGGGTCCTGGCCCCTCGGTTGAAAATTCTCCCCCAAAATATTTAGTGATTTTGGTACTTGGATCATACTTTTCAGAAAAGGGCCATCGAATGTAACACCAGATCACGGGAGTCCTTAGGACCGAACGTTCTGCGAGAGTATGGAGCACCGGGGGGTCTGGAATACCCCCCAGCCATTCCCTCTAGCGCAGGAAACTTTTATAATAGTTGTAGAAGAAGGAACAGAATCATTCTTTTTTCTGGGGGGGTATTATATCCCCCCCCAGACCCCCGGTTGAACATTCTCCCCCAAAATATTTAGTGCTTGTGGCACTTGGATCATACTTTTTCAAAAAGGGCCATCAAATGTAACACCAAATGATGGGAGTCCTTAGGGCCGAACGTTCTGAGAGAGTATGGAGCACCGGGGGGTCTGGAATACCCCCAGCCATTCCCTCTAGCGCAGGAAACTCTGATAATAGTTGTAGAAGAAGGAACACCGAATCATTCTTTTTTCTGAGAGGGCATTACACCCCCCCAGACCTCCCGGTTGAACATTCTCCCCCAAAATATTTAGTGCTTGTGGCACTTGGATCATCCTTTTTCAAAAAGGGCCATCGAATGTAACACCAGATGATGGGAGTCCTTAGGGCCGAACGTTCTAAGAGAGTATGCAGCACCGGGGGGTCTGGGGGTATGGAATACCCCCCAGCCATTCCCTCTAGCGCACGAAATTCTTATGATAGCTGTAGAATAAATTTAGGGAACGTGCTCAGATCCCATCAAAATCGATACGTTACCCGAATTCCACCTTCAAATCAATACTGTCAAAAGCAGATCTGCTTTATTTATGATGCAAACGTTATAGGTTACACAAAATCCTGTAAAGTTTTACACGAAAAGTGTGTAAAGCGATAGAATTCAAAGATTTTGGTAAGCAGGATGAGCAAGCTGTTGGAATTATTGCGATTTCACGTTCACTTACCGTATACAAATACGTAGTTCTCGCGCCGACGAATCTCGCATCGTAAATAAGTCCGTCCATCCATCTGACGCGAATCTTGTCGCCGATCTTCGGGAGGCCCTTCGTCTTCACGTCCATTATGTTCTCGAGGCACAGGTTGCTCGTGAACGTGCCGTCGCACGGAAAGTGAGCGCTGCAGTATACGGTCGGATGCTTTCTGATGATTCTGCCGCGGTAGAATCGCCCGTTCCGGTGCTTCGCCCATACCTCCTCGTTGATCGTCAGCGGACGCGAGTCCTGCAAGCGGCTCGTTAGGACACCCAGCGGACACCTCGTGTCGCTTACCTTTAAATTAACGGAACTGTTCCGTGAGATGTACGGCGGCTCCTCCTCGTCGGACGAGCACAAATAGGGGGCGGGGTTACGCGTTTCGGTCTTATTTGGCTCGTGTTTGAGATCTTTCAATGTTACTTTTACGGTTAGTGGGGTTAGACGTTTAATTTTCTCTTGCAGCTTTAAGGGAAGGGAGTTACCTTTGGTTACAAACTTTTTCTGTTTCAATAAGCGACTCACAGATGGCGACCTCGATCTCTCCTTGTCGGCGTACGACGTCTCGAAACCGAGCGACTTCATGATTTTCGCTTGAAACTTATCGAAGAAGGACTCGGAGTGGATCGGTAAGCGCGTGACGTTGACGCGCGCCTCGCACGTTCCGATTTCGTTAGTCCTCTCAGTCTTTTTACGTTTCCGGTCGGTTTTGAAGTCCGGCGGCAATCTCTGCAGATTTATCACTAAATTCGACTTTGTCTTCTGCTTTTCGATTTGAATCTGATCGAGCCGCTTTAGCAAGTCGACGATCGCGCGGTGCTTTGGAAATAGTTGCAGTTTGCTCTTGCCGTTTTGCAGCTGGTAGTCGCAGTCGGGAACGTTTTCCACCAGTATTTTCGAGAGTATCGCCTGTCTCAGCGCCTTCTCCCTGAGTTTACAGTCGATTTTGAACTTACGCGAAAGGCTGCTGTACAGTTTCGGAAGATTTAAGGTTAACTTCTTTAATCGTAGATAGTCGTCATCGGAAGAGCTTAGACTGGTGAATCGATTCAAAATTGCCTGGCACTTGTTGTTCGTGATATTGTCGCATATATTCTCCTGATTCGAATCTTCCGAGAAATCCTCGGGACTTTTCGAGACGATCTCGACCGTGTTACTGACAATAAGATCACCTTCGGTATTATCGATCTTGACGATGTCCTTATCACAATTGTCCAGTAGCACGATCGCCGATTTCGTCATGGGATATAGACGATCGGGATCGGTCTCCGTGGTCGCGCACCTGTTGACGGTGTAGTGCATCGCCTGCTCCTGCCAGATTAAGTTGGGACGTTTGCGCTCGGGCGCCAAAGGTTGGGGTTCCACGCTGCTCGGCAGCGAATCGGACGAGGCGTACTGATAAACGCCCTGATAACTGTAAACGTTGGAAGAATTCGGTACGTATTGCACATTTTGTATTACACTCGGAACGACAAACCCGTTGGTCTGCTGCACGAACTGCGGAACGGGCTGGATGGGTATCGTGACCGTGATCGGGACCGTTTGCACGTACGAACAGTTCACGTCCATAGTTCCCGTCGTCTCCTCCTCATTGTTCGTATAGATGGTCAAGTTTCCGTCGGAAGTTTCCGAGATTTCCTCCTGGCTACTCGTGTAGATCGGCATGTCGCCGTCCGACGTTTCGGCGCAGGCAATTTGCGTCATCGTCCCCTCCTCGTGACCCGAATACAAGGTGATGCTTCCGTTGGACGTTTCGGAACATTGAAGCGGATGATGGGGTGCCCCGTACAACTGGGCCGTGCAGTCGAGTTCGGGCACTGACTCCTCCTGCTGCTTGTAGATGACCACACCCTCTTCGGGCGTGTCCGGGCACGCCATCGCGTCCTCCTGATCACCGGCGTACAACGTCACGCTACCGTCGGACGTTTGAATGCACGAATAGGCGTCGTCCTTCGCGAGAAGGGGCTCGTCGATACTAACGTTATTGTTTGTAACAGGTTCAGGTGCACTTTGTGACTTGTCTTGCTCTTGTTGAACTTCCGGTATTGTGGGAGGAGGCGGATCGTTGTCGATTTTCTGTTTCTGTAGCGCATTCATCTAAATAATATAGAATTGTGTATTACCACTCTTTATTCATTTATAGTTATTTCACCCACAGTTAGTACTTTGGGTAACGTCCAGAGGGCGTGTTGAGTAAAAGTGTCGCTTTAAATATTTCTTATCTTAGTTCCAAACCCTACAATACAATTTACTGCCGACAGACGGCGCGGCGTAACCTTTATACTTTGCTGCCAACTTAAAAAAATTGACAAATAAAATCTGAATAGCTGTCATTTTTTATAACCTAACTTCATAGTACTGTCATGTTTTATAAAAATATATACAGATATCTCCAAACAGGTGGAACAATCTCTAACATTAAAGTTACTAGAATCTGGAAACTTCCGCCATTTTTGGGCAAAAATCATGCGTTCTCTCTCCGAGCCCAATGGATTGGGGTACTTTCTATATTTAGTGTCTTTATGTAATAAATTTCAATGAATATCATTATTATTACATAGCTGTACTATTTGCCATTTACACATTCCTTTTTTTAAGGTGTAAATCGCACTGTCGGTGTAACAGTAGGAGTGCTTGCCATTGGTATGTAACCCTAATCATTGAACAGATAAGCAAAGCAAAAATATTTAGTGACTTTACTTTATACATTCAAAAAATGGCATTGTTAGATTGAGTAATTTCAATTTTCCCCGGAGAATAAGTCGGCTTAGTCCACAGAATCAATATTTTACCGCTATAGTATAAGATATTAGAACAATGCGTAGACCTATTCTGTGGCTGTCCTTTTAAACTGGGCTGTTCCACCCTGTATATACAACCTACGATAATGCGCACACTTTTTAGAGCTAGCAACCGCGCATCTTATTAGAAAGAAACAGCTGTCTGTGTTCTCTCGAGCAGCAACGTTTCATGCGCTCATGCACCTTGTTTCATATATGCTAGAGGGAAGTCTATACCCCCCCCCCCCCCAGTACTAAGTACATTTTCAAAATCGCTCAAATTTCAACATTCTCATGATAGTCAAAGGTAGTACCGGGGGTTTGGGAGCCAGTAGTAAGTGCCCTCGACAGAGGGAGGTTCAATTGTTCTTGCACTCTCCTGATAGTCTTTGCGAAAGGGTAATTAATTAAATGTGTGTATGTGCAAGGGGGGGGGTTAATCCATACCCACCAGTACTAAGTTCGTTCTCAATGTCCTTCAAATTTCAACGTTTTTAATGGACAATCGAAAATAGTAGGGGGGGGAGGGTGAGGGTCAACGGTAAGTACCTTTGGCAAAGGAGGTGTCAATAGTTCTTTCTATCTCACCCCTTGCACTCTCCTGGTGGTCATTGGGAAAAGGTACGCAGATGTTTGTATGTGCTGAGGGGTATTTCAAACCCCCCACCCCCCTAATAAGTTAATTCTCAAAATTGCTCAGACTTCAACACTCTAGTAAAAGTCTTTTAAAGGGCAGTCAATCATAGTACCAGTAGGTTTGGGGGTCAGCAGTAAGTACCCTTGACAGTTTATTGACAGTCAAACATAGTACCGGGAAGTTTGGGGGCGGCAGTAAGTACCCTTGGCAAAGGAGGGCTCGATAGTTGTTTCTATTCCGCCCCTTGAACTCTCCTGATAGTCTTTGTAAAAAGGTAGTCAAATGTTTTTTTGTGATAGTTTTTTAAAGAACAGTCAAGCATAATACCGGGGGGTGGGGGGGGTGGGGGTGGAGGTCAGTAGTGAGTACACTAGGCGGCAAAAGATGGCTCAATTGTTGTTTGTATCTCACCCCTTGCAGTCCCCGGATAGTCTTTGTAAAAGGGTAGTCAAATGTTACTATGTGCCCAGACCACCCCCCGTACTAAGTTCATTCTCAAAATCACTCAAACTTCAACATTCTCATGATAGTTTTTTAAAGGACAGTCAAACATAGCAGGGGGGGGGGGTGTAGTAAGTACCCTCGGCAAAGGAAGGCTCGATAGGTCTTTCTATCTCACCCCTAGCACTCTTCTGGTAGTTTTTGTAAAAGGATAATTAAATGTTTGTATGTGCTGGGGGGGGGGGATATTGGTATTCCATACCCTCCAGACCCTCGGGACTAAGTTCATTCCCAATATCAAGTCACATTTCAACACGCTCATAAGTTTTTTAAGAACCGCCAAATAGAGTACCGGAGGAGAGGGGTTTGGGGGTCGCCGGTAAGTATCCTCGGCAAAGGAGGTCTCGATAATTCTTTCTATCTCACCCTTAACACACTTCTGGAAGTTTTTGCAAAACAATAATCAAATTTTCGTAAGTTTTATCCCCCCCCCCCCCCTCTCCCACACACACTCTGAGTGCAGACATCACAGTCATAAGAGCTTTTTTGAAAGACAGTCGAACATAGTACTAGGGGGTCTGAGGGGCATGGAATACCCCCAGCAAAGGAGAGCTCAGTAGTGCTTCATCTCACCCCTGGTGCTCTCATGGTAGTCTTTGCGAAAAGGTAATCGAATGTTTTATGTGTTTGGGAAGGGGGGGGTGGGGTTTATTGACAGTCAAACATTACCAGGGGGTTTGGCGGTTAGTAGTAAGTACCCTTGACAAAGGAGAGCTCGATAGTTGTTTCTATCTCGCCCCTTGCATTCTCCTGATAGTCTTTGTAAAAGGGTAGTCAAATGTTTGTATGTCCCCAGACTCCCCCCCCCCCCGATACTAAGCATTCTCAAAATCAATCAAATTTCAACACTCATGGTAGTTTTTTAAAGAACCGTCAAACAGAGTATCGGGGGAGGGGGGTTTGCAGTAAGTATTCTCAGCAAAGAAGGTCTCCATAATTCCGTCTATCTCACCCTTAGCGCACTTTTGGAAGTTTTTGCAAAATGGTAATCAAATTGTGCTGGAGGGTGTTCCATACCTCCCCCCCTCCCACACACTCTGAGTGCATTGTCAAAATCGCTCAGACATCAAACTCTCATAAGAGCTTTTTTGAAGGACAGTGGAACAGAGTACTGGAGGTCTGAGGGGCATGGAATACCCCCAGTAACGGAGAGCTCAGTAGTGCTTCATCTCACCCCTGGTGCTCTCATGGTAGTCTTTGCGAAAAGGTAATCGAATGTGTTGGGGAGGGGGGGGGGGGTTTGACAGTCAAACATGGTACCAGGGGGTTTGGTGGTTAGTAGTAAGTACCCTCGACAAAGGAGAGCTCGATAGTTCTCCTGATAGTATCTTTGTAAAAGGGTAGTCAAATGTTTGTATGTCCCCAGACCCCCCCCCCCCGCACTCTTATGGTAGTTTTTTAAAGAACCGTCAAACAGAGTACGGGGGGAGGGGGTTTGGGGTTAGCAGTAAGTATCCTCGGCAAAGGAGATCTCGATAATTCTTTCCATCTCACCCTTATCGCACTTTTGGAAGTTTTTGCAAAACAATAATCAAATTTTCGTATGTGCTGGAGGGTGTTCCATTCCCCCCCCCCCTCCACACACACACACTCTGAGTATATTGTCAAAATCGCTCAGGCATCACTCTCGTAAGAGCTTTTTAGAAGGACAGTCGAACATAGTACCAGGAGTCTGAGGGGTATGGAATGCCCCCCAGCTGTGAGTGCCCTTAGCAAAGGAGAGCATGGTGGAGCTTCTATCTCACCCCTGATGATCTCATGGTAGTCTTTGCGAAAAGGTAATTGAATTTTTGTATATGCCGGGGTTTTATTACTCCTCAGACCGTCCCGGTACTAAACTGTAAATATTTGCTCAATTATGGTTATGTTTTGAATTGCCATTCACTACTATCCACATACAGGGGGGAAATGTGCTGTAAACTAAGTCACGTAGACGTTATTTTTTTGAGCTACTCTGTATGTGGTATAATTTCAATTAAGTGCAGATCTGGTGGGTAATTTACGAATAAACAAAAAGTTGGTTTATTTCACTTGAATTTCTTTAACTAATTTCAACGAAAATGCACATGACGGAAGATGCAGGTGCTCAATGATGTGCGCCTTATTTCGGCGTAAGTGGGGACGCGTTCTTTCGCACACGGCGTTATCTAATCTAATGCGACTGGCATTTATCGACCGTCTGCGTACGGGGCATTATGTAAAAACACTCAGTCAACTAGGTGGAACGGCTTATAATGAATAAACGATGGTATTAATATAAAACAGTTGTAGCAAACCAAATTAACTAACCTCACACAATATTATACAGAATGGAACAACGGGGGATGACCAGCGTAGGACGCGGGGCGCAAAAAGTAAATAATAAACATACCTGCTCCAATTGTAGATTCTCATAGTACGATCTCGGTTTGCGTCCTCGCTTCTTAGGTTCGCCCTTCGGCTTCCGCGACGACGGCTTCGGCGTCTTCAAAACCTCGCGTATGTTCGCGGCGCCCTTTTGTATTCTCTCGCACAGCAGCCTGTCCTTCTCGTCGATTGTGGGTTCGAGCCTCGTGCTGAGTATGTCGATTTTTCTGGCCGGCGTGACGTACGGCGATATGATCGGCGGTTTGGGCGTCGACATTACGCCGCTTCTACGGGACTTATCCATGAGTAACGAGATGAGGGCGCTCTTCGCCGCCGTGTTCTTGTCCTTGGTGATGATGAGCTGATCGCCCGGACTGCCGATCGTTATCTTCTTCGAGTACACGTCCTTCGGGGGTAGCGGCGTGATGACCATGTCGGATCCGTGCAGCGCCTTAATCGAGGCGAAGTTGTTCTTGTTGGACATGGGACCTTTGTAGGTGAGGAGCGGTTTCAGAATTGACCTGGTGACGTTGAGTTCCGGCTTGGCAACGGATTGTATCGTCGTTTTCTTAGGAATTTTGTACGAGCGTTTCACCTGGACGACCTTATCCAGATTTCGCTGGACGTCGAGGGCGTCGTTTTTCTCGGCGGACTTCGGCGGTGACGGCGGGGGACCTTTCTTCAGGAACGAGAGGAACGCGTTTTCGTAGCCGGGGCCGCCGGTAAAGCCGGGAGGGTGGGGGGCGGGTTTGATGACCGGCGGTACGACGGTGAGGATTCCCGCGTCGTTCTGATTCTCGTGTTTAATGGTGCGTATCTCCATGTCGGAATCTTCCACTTTGATTTTCATCTCGATGCTCTTCCGTTTGACTTGGATCTTGTTGGGGTCGCGCGGCGAGCGCTTTCCGTACGGGCCGCGCTTGTGCGAGATTTCCAATAGGTCGCATCCGGGGCTGAAGCTGAGCGGGGGCGTTTTAATTCCCTTCATGTTCTCGGATTCTTCCGCCTCCTGCTGTAATTTCTCTGCGTGTTCGATGGTCGCTCGTTTGATGATGTCGTCAATGACGTTCGTAACACTCTCGTGGTCATTCTGTCTGTTGTAGTCTGGAATAGACCGTGATGGGCCGGCTTGATCCATGGGTTTCTTAAACTTCCTGCAACTGTCTTTGTGCTTGAGGTGCTTGTGTTTGTGGAGGTCGTCCTTTTTCTGTTCGAGCAAAGACTTAATTAGCATGTCGCGTTCGTCGTTAATGTTTAATTTCTGGGTCTGCTCCTCTACCAAGCTCTTAATTAGATCTTCGGTACTAGTGCTGCTGCTGCTGCTGTTTTCGTCTTTAAGTAGATTAAGCGGAGCGACGATTTTTCCGCACACCTTCTTGTTGGTGTTCGAAATTGTCGCGTACAGCGAATCCAAATTGTCCCCGTCGCTTAGCTTCTTCCGCTTAATCCTAACCAATCCTCTGTCTTTCCGCCGAGATCTCGACCGGCGTCCGCCCGATCGCGGGTGGAAATTTCCGTCCATATCCTTGCGACGTTTCACGACCGGCTTACGACGCTGACCGACGTTATATCCCGAATCGTAAATCGACGCCTCGTCGACGTCGATTTCGCCCGCCTTCAACCAAATGTCCTCGAGGACTTCGAGCTGCTGCTCGTCGGGAGGAACCTCGCTTTGACCCGCCTCCAGATCTTCTTCCATCAACTCCATTTGTAATTCGGCAGGAAACTCGGCCAGAGAAAACCTGAACACATTTGCACCGAGTTAATACCAGGGGTAAGACGAGAAGATAGTAGGAACAAGAAAAACACACAATCTTGATTCTTTAAGACCTTTTTATACAGTGCCACCAAGCTCGCAATGTCCCGGAAAATGTAAACAAATTTTTAAATAATGTCCGACATGTGCTTCCTCAGTGACTGGAACTTCAACAATTACAGCAGTCTAGAAATTAAATCATCACATCTCAAATTTTATCAAAATCGGATAAATCCCGCCAAAAGGACATTTCGTTTCCAAAATTCTTCTTCGCCCTTCAGGACCATCATTGGTACAAGTAAGCGTTACAGTGTTGCCCGTTCTTCCGTCGCTATGGAGTAGAGGAGGGGGACTCTCCGCTATATCTACCCACTTAAAAAAACGCAGCTTCTAGGGGGGGGGGGCCTTTGGGTTTTTCAGATCGGCGAGTATTTGGAGTGGCTAGTTACGTTAAAAAACAAGCTGATCAATCAAAACTGTGCACCTCTATTGTATATATGGGGTGTTATAAGATCTACATTAAACGACAACCGGTAAAAAGGTTAAAGACAATTAATTCGAGCTTTTTTGGTTGTCAAAACCCTAAGTTGGAAAGGTAATTTCGGACTTTTCATGCGTATGCGAGAAAACTGGGGAACATTGGTAACTACTCCACTAAATAAGTCAAACCTCAACTAAGTTTGTTCTGGATTCAAATTCGTCACCCATTTTTCGCGAACACTATTTCAAATCTTCATTAAAGACTTGTCTACGATAACAACTTTACACCAACACATGTCTATGTTGACAATAAATACTGAAACAACAAATTGTTACATGTAAACACTACTCTTCGCAGACGATACAACAGTCATCACCAATGGGCATAACAAAGCACTGATAGAAAGAATTTAAAATGTGCACAGTGTGATAATGCGATGAACGAGAAATCAAATTTAAGTAGATATGTGTTGACTCGCAATACTTCAAAATATTTAAAGTGGACACATTGTAATTTTGCAACAAATCTTCAATATATTTCACGACATCTCTTCACCGGATTTAAAATGTGCACAGTGTGAATTTGCAATCACCACCATGCCCTGAAACGGCATCTCTTAACTTATAAACCCTCAAACATTTAAAATGTGTACATTGTAATGGCATTATATTGAAATGATAGGCAATGTAGCCATATATAGGTACAGGGTGAACCAATAAGACTGTTCCTCGGCCATATCTCTATAGAACCATTCGTCATATGACAGGGATAAAAAAATTATTGGGTGAATCGGTCATTAAGAATCGCTGGAAAATATTTTCAAGTTCTAAAAATGACCAACAGTGGGCGTAAAAATGTTTTTTCACATTTTTAAAGAGAACCAGTTAATCTATCATTTCCGTAAAAACAATAACTCAGTTATTTCACAAGATGATGTGAGGCGTTCAATTTTTTTGCAATAACCTGCTTTAACTTCTTAACGGTTTGGGCGATTTTAACAAATTTGGTATGGTTGAAAAGAGCCTTCCTTGGGCAATGAGAATCAACCAAAATATAGTTAAATTAGTTAAATCCTTCTCCGCCAGGGGATTAGTTTTGACACTATGACCCAAAATCCTAAAAAAATTTAAAAAAATCAAATGGAATGATATGACTTTTCCTTTATCAAAAAGTAGCCAAATAACATCCAAAGAGGCCAGTGAAAATCGTTTTTCAAAATCTCGTTCCTAATCTCCAATATTGGGATAATCAGATTAATTAATTAAAATACTTAAATTGTATCTTAAATTTACTTTTTACGTATTTCCGGTATTCATCGATGACGCGAAAGAAAAGCACCCTACACTTTTAGGTAGGCCTTGGAAAATTAAACAAATGAAACACGATGTATTGTAAAATAATAACAGCCGTAATTTGTAAATTATTCTGCTGTGTTTACATTCAGAAAGTGCAGTTTTTTGAATTTGTAATCTTTTCTAAAATGTCGATTTCTAACCAAGAAGCTTTTAATATGCTGGCGATATATTTTGAGTATTTTCAAAATGCGACCATCGCTGTCCGCATCTTCTATTTGCGTTATCCGAATAGACAACGAACCATCGCATATTAAAAATGCTTCTTGGTTAGAAATCGGCATTTTAGAAAATATTACAAATTCAAAAAACTGCACTTTCTAAATGTAAACACAGCAGAATAATTTACAAATTACGGCTGTTATTATTTTACAATACATCGTGTTTCATTTGTTTAATTTTCCAAGGCCTACCTAAAAGTGTAGGGTCCTTTTCCAAACAATCTTCGCGCCATCGACAAATACCGGAAATACGTCAAATAAGATACAATTTAAGCATTTTTATGAATGAATTAATTAATCTCACTTTCCCAATATTTTAGGTTAGGAACGAAATTTTGAAAAACTGTTTTCACTGGCCTCTTTGGGTGGTATTTGGCTACTTTTTCATAAAGAAAAAGTCATATCATTCCATTTGATTATTTTAGGATTTTGGATCATAGTGTCAAAACTAGCCCCCTGGCGAAGAAGGATTCAACTAAATTAACTATTGGTTGATTCTTGTTGCCCAACCCAAGGAATGCTCTTTTCAACGATACCAAATTTGTTACAATCGGTCAAACGGTTAAGAAGTTAAAGCATGTTATTGCAAAAACAGTTGAACGCCCCACGCCATCTTTGTTTTTGAAATAACTGAGTTTTTGTTTTTACGAAAATGATAGATAAACTGATTGTCTTTAAAAATGTGAAAAAAGAATGTTTAGTTTATTACGCGAAATTTAAAGAAAATGCAATTTTAAAATTTAAGATTGCAGTTACGCCATCTGGTGGTCATTTTTAGACCTTGCGGAAATATTTTCCAGCGATTCTTCATACCCAGTTTACCCAATAATTTTTTTTACCCCTAAGTCATACGACGAACGGTTTCCGAGATATGGCCGAGGAACAGTCTTATTGGGTCACCCGGTACAACGTTCGCCGGGATAGACGATACGTTCGGCGGGTCTGCAATTATCTATATAAATAAATATGTTTGTCTGTCTCTTATGCCTGTCTAAACCGTTGTATTGATTTATTATTGATACTTAATGGCCTGCCATTGTTATACTAATAGATTTCTTCAACCCGCGTTTTTTTGAGAGAGAACAACACATTTGACAACACTACCTTCCATAAGACCAATACTGAACTCTGTCTGTATCACACATAGGTCCAGTTTTGTCTCTTAAAATAAAGGGTGTTTCCATAAGAAAGTGGACCACCCTGTACCTTGAGAAAATTATTAAGAAATAATTAAAAGTTGCATTAAGATTCATTTATTTTTTGAAAAAACACTAAGTCTTTAGTGGAAAATCAAAACGGGACAAAATTAAGTATTTTAGATAATGGGGGAGAGTTTTGCTGTTCTGAGTATGAGAAGTCAACATAGTTGGTCGCAATATACACAGTGTCACAGTTTCTTTGCCACCCTGTATAATGCAAACGACGCCCTTTTAGACCGTTCATATTTCATATTTGCATTTTTTTTTCTTATTTTGATGAGTACTATCACCCTTTAAAATATCTGCATGACATTAATTAACACCCTGTATATACATAGATGGCCTTTATTTTTAATAAGGAGCATCTGTTCCAACACACCTAACAGGTATATTTTGAACCATAAGTAAAACACCGAATATGAAACTTTTTGACCCACAAGACTACCAAGAATTTAAAATGTGTCCAGTGTGACTATACAACGAATGATAAATCTAATTATAAAGTACATTTATTAACATACAAGATGTGCGCCCGGTGCGCTTTCGTCACCAAACATAAATCCAGCCTTAACATCTAACAAAACAGGGGCCCTGTCAATGATTCGAAATGTGACCAGTGTGATTTTATCACTAAGTATAAATCCAATTTTAAAACATATTTGTTAATAGACCAGACCAGCAAGAATTTCAAATCTGTCAGGTATGAACTACAACTCGGTGTTCTACTGTTGGCTATTTCTCTCACATGTTTTGGCACAGATTTAGTGGCTGTAGGTATGGAGTAGGTATACAGGGTGAGTTATTTTTCACTTTCACTATGGGCATGTCGTAAACCGTAAGAAATACAAAGTCGCTTCATGGGCAAAATTATGGACAATTTTTTTGTTTATTGTAACTCTGCTAGCGAAGATACACTAAAAAGAAAACGTTGGCGTTGATCTATTTTCAAACAATGGAATTATTGCCATTAAGTAAACTTTAAGGCAAAAATGCAAGATATCCTAAGTATTTGGAATCACTGGTTTGTAATTTTTTAAGCGACGTAAAAATCCAATATGGCGTCCATAAAAAGTATGAAAGTTGATGTGCTCTACTCACAATCCAGGCCATAAAAATGTTTTAGCACCGTCAGAAAGTTGAAAAAAAATTTACCGTATTTTACGAGACCCCATAGTGAAACTCACCCTGTATATAAAAGTGTGGTGTGTACAGTGTGATTGCAACAAATGACTACAATGTGTTGAAATACAAGGCATTGGAGGATTTAAAATGTGATGTGATTATACAATGAACTACAAAGCACTTTCCACTATTTAAAATCTGCACAGTGTGATTATGCAAGAAATGGGAAATCAAATTTAAGTAGACATCTCACAATACTTCCAAATCCTTAAAGTACACACAGTGATTGCAATAAATCATATACTACATGTCTTAATACACAAGGCCCCTGAGGATTTAAACTGTGCCTAATGTGATTATACAATGCAAAGTTAAGTTAACTCACAGTACTTTTAAATGTTTAAAATGTGTACAGTGTGATTTTGAAAGATCTCTTAACTTGCAAAACCCCAAAGAATTTAAAATGTGCACACTGTAATGGCATTAGCAGAGTGTTACGTACACTACTTATAACTTAAGAACGGCTAGACTGATTTTCATGAGCTGAAGTACAAACCGTATTCAAAGAGAATACTTACCTGGTTCACAAATGGTCTTACCAGATCATTTGTTGCTGAATGTATTCATTCCTGATAGAAATTTAACTAAAATAGCTGAGAAAATAGTCATGACAACATCAAGTATTGTACAAATAAATAATTTAACTCTTGCCCCTTGATGTTATGCAACTCATCACGCAACATTGTAAGCTTGGTGGCACTGTAGTGTGTAAATTTGTATCGTTTCAAAATTTTGCAGTTATGAACCGCCTCTCGTTAAAAACTTACTGTCCAGTGTATCCCATAGCTCTGGCCCGCTTAACGAACGGACTCTTCTTGATCGGCGCTTCGAGAAAACTCAAAGGTAGCGACGTGTTATTCTTATTACAGAGAATATCTTGCGGCATCGGATGCGGGGCCGCCACCTGCTTATTGGGCTCCTCGGGATGCGGACCGATATCGACCCCTTGCAACCACTTCTCGTACCTATCGAAAATATCTCGCTAAACCCTGCGCGCCACTTGACCTCTCGACTTACCTATCCGGCTGAAAACGTTTCACGAAGGTGTCCATCGAAATTTTAACCATGTCCTTGCTGCAGGTGCATTGAGACGCTCGTTTCCCGTACTCAACCCATCGCGGACATGCAAAATTCGTGGACTCGGCGCAATTAAATCCGTGATTAAAACCGGCGTGGTAACCGTACGGGAAGGTGATCATGATTTCGCCCTGCTCCTGAGTGATCTACAATTTTACACGTAATAAGCCGGGAACCGAAAGCCGAAAATCTTACCTTATTATACGGGATCGAATACTGCTTCAAAATCTGCGGCGAAATCAGGGTCATTTTGTGCCGCAAGAACGCCTGACAAGTCTGATAACTGCTCGGGAAAAATCCGTTGGCGAGACGTTCCAATCTTCGTCCGTGCTCGGGCGGAATCGCGTACCAAGTTTTCGGGGCGCCAAAGTGTAGGTAATTGATCGAATACAAGTCCATGTCCTCGGTGTGCCACGGGAAGGTCGTTTTCCACATGCCGAAATATAAATATGCGGTGTTCACGCCGTCGATCGATATACCGTAATCCTCATTAACGTAATCCAATATCGTACCTAACCGGTTAATGTTCCACTCCTACAAGTCGACGAGATTAAAACGAGCAGTACACTTTCGCATCACTTACGTTGACGTTCGGATCGGTTAAGCTTCCCGAGACGTCGGCGCCGTAAATCGGGGCGACATATGTGATGTTCTTCCAATACTTGCGTTCTAAGTCTTCGTAATCGAAATGCCTCGGCGTGTTATAACGATCGGACGTGGCCAAATCGTGATACTGTTGCACGGTCATCGACTTTTTCTGTATGTTGATCTGCTGGTACAATCCCTGCTTGCCCGTGACAACCTGACAGATCGGCGCCGGTATTGTCACTTCGAGATCCTGAAGCTGATACCCGGATTTGCGTGGAACCCATTCGGGCGGAGGTATGACCTACAATGTCGACGGTGTTAGGTTAAGTTCGCGAGAAACGCAATAACTACCTTCGCAACGCCCGCCTTGTGTGCGCCCATCGACTCCATATACTCAACATACTTGGCAAAGTCCTTGAATTCGTCCCAAGTCGGTCTGAATACCATTATCCTAGAAAATCGGTCAGTGTTTTTGTTACCTGAAGAAGTGTGTGGACTACTCACTTTGGAAAACGGGGTGTATTTGGGTCAGCCATATTTCTCACTTATTTTCCTGCTAAACCAGTAATCTATACTTATCACTGTCCGTTCCCGATTCCACTATGTTTACTTAAACGATAATATTTACTTAAATTAGCAATTGTATTACATGAACCGCGGCCATAATAGATTTACACAACATCACGTAGTCATTTTCTCAATCAAACGGTAAAGGCAAGGTCGCCATCGGAATAATTTTACGAAGACACTTTTCTATTTATCGATTAAACGACCGGCTGAACTGAATTACGCTCACGCGAAAACATCACCCCTTATTTATTTTTTCCGATAAATAACAATCCGCCATTAGGGACGCATCTACCACCAACGTACCATGATTAACTGACTGCATGCGCAATAGGTGGCGTTACCTGCGCCGCAGTGTGCGGTTGTCATTCCAACGCTGCTACCAACTTACGAGATGAAAAAATTCCTACCCTATTCTTATTTTTGAGAAATGCACGATGGATAGGCAACTTGTGATACATACCGGAACCGGTCTAACTGTAGAGAAACTCAAATCGAGCCTAAGCGCGCCCCTCCGCCCCTTGTGTCCCAACGATGAAAAACACAAATTTTTCAGGTTCAGATTAATATGCCTGCTATTCTGATTCTGCCTCTTTGAACCCTTCCTCAAATACCCCGTCGTTTTGAGTCAGGAGGCTCTCTATTGCCATATCGCTGGTGAGTACCCGCGGCGTCCACTCCTGCCAGTATCAGTTACGGATGTAACGACCCCAACTATCTGGTGGCTATTGCTTCGGGTGTTTGTTCCTTCACCTCTTTGACTTCTACCCTCGTGGTGAAGGTATCTTTCCGGACTGTCGGTTTTTGAGGTCCTGTTGATCACAATTGGGTAGCTTCAGCAAAGTGTGCGTTTTTGGAGCTGGGTGTACACTCAGAAAGTGTGTGCACCATGACTTGCCGCTGATTCCCTTGCCAGCATTGTTTGGGGACTTTGGCACATCGCCTTATTGATAGCCAGCTCGTACGCCATTGTGGTAAGAGCTATCCTGTTTTTGTTCATATTATCAACTAGCTGTCTGATAGTAGCTCGGTCTTGTCTAGTAAAACTGAGCTTAGAGAGCTCCTTGGAGGAGGCCGTCACAATTCGGTCTATAGGCACATACTAGCTGGTGCCAGCGGCTCTTTGGGACCCCATCAAATGCAGAGTCTCCTGTTCGTCAGTCTCCGGTACAAAAACGTCTATTTCCATGAGGTGCAGTAGCAGGAATCATTTTTCAAATTCTCTTACAACTATTATAACAATTTATTTAAATAAATTAACAATAAATAATCTACAGCTCTGTATCTGTGAAAGCATTTAAAACGGAATGTCTACTCATTAAACTACTAATTGTGCTCCCCCCTTCCATCACCCGCTAATTCTTCAAACAGCCCACTAAAAAGTTATTGACGCCTTCGCTGTATTCGTTCTTATAATGTGCATAATGTTTCACGTGTGGACTGTCATCGAAAGTTAATACTGAAACGTCTACTCCGTTATTCCTTCGAATATTAATAAAATTTTCCACGTCCTAAAAACGTTTAATTACCCATAAAGTTTGTCCGAGTGGCAATTAAACCTTACCTCGTAAAATATTAGTTTATCGGCTTTCGAATAAATAAAATACTGGGGGCACTTGTTGTCCTCGATCTTCAGATACTCGATCGGATCGGACTGGTAGTCGTCGTTGACGAAGTAACTTTTCAATATCTGAAAAACGGGGTGTCGGCACGAATTTCTTAGCGTTCCACTTACTTCACACTCCCATACGACGATTAAAAACGACGTGAGCAGGGCGGCGATTACGAAGTTGTAAATTACGTTGCCGCTGATTATTGCGGAGATCGCGCGGTAGAGGCTGACGAAACGTCTCGGTCCGGGGCCCGAGTCGAATATCACACCTTTAACCTGCGTAATTGACAATGATTGTACAACAGTGGGGCACTTACTTTGATCGGTTTCGGGGCGTGCCGAAGCGCCAGCACGAAGTTGTGGTAGAGGAAGGCGCCCCCGTTCGAGAAGCAATGGACTACCACGGGGTGACTTTCGAAGTTCATGTCGACCAGTAATTTGACGATACGTTCCCCGATCTTTCGCAGCTCGTTCCGTTTCCACAGTATGAACTTGACGGGCGCGCAGTACCGCAGGGTGATCAGGCTGGAATGCGCCCGTCAGATTTTTTTAAGCGAGCGTTAGGTCGGTACGTACCCCCATTCCTCGTAGAGCTGCGAGTACTTCCTCAAGTAGCGGTCCTGACATCCGGCCCAGCCGAAGAGGATTACGATCGGGGTTTTCTCCTGGGAAAAGTTCGCGCTTTGCTGGGAGGGACTGGGGAACCTAATGTAGTATTCGAGAGTGTCCTGTTCCTCTGCCATCCCTCGTTTTCGTTTTTATTACGCTACGTGTAACAAAAGTGCTGCTTCATCTCGCCGCATAAGTTGTCACGGTTGCTAGGCAACGTGACGTAATCGAGTATCGACAAAACGTCCCTTGCCCCCCACGTGGTTTTACAAAGAAACGCGACTAATCAACGACAAATTCGCTTCTTACGAAAAATTATTAGTAACTTAAAGGTGTCGTGTTTTCAGAATTTCCAATTAGTCGCCTTTAAGATGATTGGAATTTTTTGTGTTTCTACGGAAACACGCGGCGCATGCGTCATCTCGCGTCAGCACTTGAAGGTTTGCGATCTTCCATTTCTTTCCTACCGCCGCTACATCGGCGAGTTAGACAAGGAGAAACGCGCACACGTATGCGGAAAATTCAAAAAGTGACAATGTGACATCACCGCTTTAATTTCCCGTTACGTTTTACTCCACCACTCTGTTAGATTTTCTCGTGAGAGGCTGTCGTGAGAGTTTTCCATTCGTTTTTCGGTCAATTTCCCAATCTTCAATCATGAGTGTACACATCACTAGCATGGTAAGTGCGTTTTCTCTTTTGAGCAATTCTCAAAGTGGATGGGATGTTTAAAAAAGTGGGTGTGTGGATCTTTTCCTCCAATTTTGAAGGTTAAACCTCGATTAACGTCAAAACTATCGATTGGCGCGTTTTACGGGCGCCTTTAATCTTATCATGTTTTTTAATGCAGGACGATTTCAACACCAAGCTCAAGGACGCAGGTGACACCTTGGTGATCGTCGACTTCTTCGCGACCTGGTGCGGACCGTGCAAGATGATCGCGCCCAAACTGGAGGAGCTCGCCAACGAGCTCGGCCAGGCCATTCTGGTGCTTAAGGTCGACGTCGATGAGTGCGAAGATATCGCGACCGAGTACAACATTTCCTCGATGCCAACATTTATATTTTTCAAAAACGGCAAGGTCATCCAGCAGTTCAGCGGAGCAAACTTCGATAAGCTCAAATCTATGACTTTAGAGAATAAGTAGTAATGTTGTGTGTGCGCGTCTATTTTAATGTTGTTAAATATTTTTGTATAAATTTAAAACTGTTGATAATTTTACTGGCGATGCATAAATTTAGAAGTGTACGCAAGTAGGGGCTTGCTTTTGTCACACGCTCATAGAAATTGCCTTAAAACTCGAGCAGCACCTGCAATATTTTGGCTATTTGTGAAAACTGTTCTATTTACGAAAATAAAGAGTTCAAAAATGCACTTATTGATTTGGTCTTTGTTTGGATGAAGGTGACCTACTCTCCTAAAATCAATCAATGTCTCTTAGAAGGTCCCTTTCTATATTTGTGGAACAATATGACTAACTTTACATGTGACAATCCTTTTTAGGCCCTTTTGCAAAAGACAAATATCTTAAAAACCCTAAATAGTTTAATGAGTTCATTCTGTCGTCTTTCCAAAAATGGTATAGGCCCTTTTTACAAGAGTCAATTTTAAAAAGAAAATCACTGGCGCAAACAGATCTCTAATCGTTTGGCCGCTAGGGGGCGTTTCTCGAATTTAGTTAATTTCCACATAACTTCCTTATTATTAAAGCACTTTTTATGTAAAATCCATTGCGATGCAGTTTTTATACAGGGTGTTTGGTTTTTCTTATACGACCCTAAACTATACCAGGGTGGGCCATTAGTGTATGGGTGGAAGATTGTGGATTTATTAACGTAAATATTTAAAATTCATTGTCGGGGCACGTTGAAGAGCTCATAAGCCTACAACCTAAAAATATTTTCAACGAAATTGCAATTGTTATACAGGGTGATTTATATCAAAGTTGCATTTTTTAAATTGAACCCCCATATCTATATCTAAAATGAGTCGTTTAGCCGCATTTCGGCTTTAGCGTCGCCCACTAGAGCATATAAGAAATAAAAAAGTAGTGTAGCCTCTACATCTAGTGTGTTATGGAAATTCTATTAACAGATTCAGATCTGAAAAACAGTGCCCTTAGAAGATGATTTAACTTACACTGTATCTCTCACCGTTGCAGAGATCCCAAGGATGTCTACATCGATTATGTTCTCCTGGTATTCAGAAAAAATGTTCTAACAGGCTGTCCATGTAAACACAGCAACACCTGCTAGAATTTTATATGCTCCTTATACAAAACTTGTAAAAGAGTAAACGAATTACTCTCGAGCATGGAAAAGACCTCTTGTTCGATTATAATCTCCCGGTAGCCAGAGAAAATGCACGTATTGTAACTGTACCAAAAACAAAAACACTTCCTTGCATAATACCTATATGTTCTCCTGATACAAACGATAAAAAATAACCTTTCCATTGAAGAAGAAACATATTCTCTCTGTGTGTTAGGATCAGATATTCTCCTCATACAAAACTTGTCCAAGTTTAAACGAAATTAAAACGTTGAAACCTCCTCAGCGATTATGATCTCCTGGTACCTTGCAAGAATTCTTGATAGCCGGACATTAATTTTCCCTAAAATTTGGACTAGAAGGCGACGGAAATAAAGAGTTCAAAATGCACTTATTGATTTGGTCTTTGTTTTGATGAACGTGACCTAGTTTAGTAAAAATCAATCCATGTCCCCGATGAGGTCCCAATTAGGACTTCTCTTTCTATAATAGTAAAATAATTATATGGTTCGAGTTCCACGGTGTGAAAATGGAAATGCAATCGACCACTTAACCTTGCACTGTAGATACGATTTGTGCGATATTTGGAAATTCTCTACAACTTTCAATCACTATAGGTATACAAAGAGATGAATAATAATATTTAAATCTTAACGTCCAGAGGCAGGGGGGGAAGAACGAATTTTGGAAATTTGAAAGTATTGATTGTGCGTGCGTCAAATGCATTCGTGCGTATTAAATTGCTCCAATATTAAGTAATTTCTATATTAAACATTAACCCTCCACCCAAAAATCAACCAACTCCCTTGAGACGCGTGTCCATTACAGTATTACGAGCATGAATAATTTAGATGTGATCGCTTACCGAGTGTTATTACATCACGTTACCTTTGGGAACCTGAGGGGCGTGCTCGCGACTTATAAAAGACTTAGCGAAAGCGGTAAATTAAGCGTTGTGGACCGAGGATGGTCGGCGGCCTACACAAACGATCGTAGCCTAGGCTAACATTAGAATAAAAGGGTTGGCTAAGCACTACTCGTCGAAAGCGTTGGTGTCCAAGGTGCAAAACATTCCGTTGCGCCAAATTTGTAGTGACAAGTTACATGAAAAACCAATTGATTAATCAAAGTTATGCATCTAATTTGTTTATCTGAAGGGCGAACAAAATTATGAACAAAACGGCTACCGGTAAAAATGACAATTAATTCAAGCTTTTTATTTGACTGATTGGGCGGGAGGTCCCACAAACCCACAAACATATTTCAAAACCAAATTAAATTTTAAATCTTCAAAGCCAAATTTCGTTTTAAATCTTTACAAATGTTATATCAGGAGCATATAATGTGCGAGGAGGTGTTTCTGCTCCTAATACACAAAGTGCCAATCAAAAAATTCTTGTAAAATTTTGTCCGGCTAAACCGATTGGAACCAAATTTGGTACACATATTTATAGTCATAGAAGGGCAGAATCGCCCATGCGCAGGTGGTATCTGTGCTAGCTTTTACTTTAATTTATTTATTGAAAAAGACCACTGCACTTTCGTGAAGCATGTCAAACAAAGAAAGCGTGCACACAAAATGGCTACCATCACAGAGTTCGAACATGTTTCCTATAGGCCATCAGGGCATAAACCACTAAATTCTGACACAAGCTGGAGACAAAAAAATTCAATACCTGTTTAGAGGAACCGAGCGGTGTCAGCCTGTTGGAAATCCTGTTGGGAAGCCTACTCACATGGTTCACATTGGGATCACCTAAAACAAACATGTTATTCCTCAGAATACAGAACATACTCGTACAGACCACGTTGCACGTTTGTGTGTGAGCCAGCCGTTGCCGATACCTGACCAGTACAGAGGGCGCCACCATCGACCACTTAGTTCCACCAGTAGTTTTTTTCTTTTCGCCATGGTAAGGATCTAAATCATCTAAAATAAACCGATTATTCTTAAATATGAATTCTCGAGGTGAAAGCTTAACGTCCCCTACACTATGCGCTTAGTAGTACAAATGATGCTTATCCACTACCATTGTTTCACCAATACTAGACAAATACAGACAAAAAAAACCAGCATGAACTAACACAACTTTTATACACTTACTGATCAGATCACAAAAACTTATAACATAAAAAAAAAGAAACATTAAAAATATATAGTAGATAAAACAATTGTACTTATAAAAAATTTACGTACTTTATAATAGGTGCACCAAAATATATTTCTTTATTAAAATGTGCCAAGTTCTAAACTAGGGAGTATTATCAATGTTTGTGTCTCTTTACAATAAATACAATTTGGTACGAATACATCTTCTATCTGTTTAAAAATATCATCTAAAACAATTTTCTTTCATGAGTAAATAACAATCATGTACATATGGACGGATCGCAGGTTTGGTCTATTATTAGCAAGTTGATCAACGGTAAATTGTGTCGCTTAACATTTAACAAACATTTAGAGGTTATGTACAGGAGTATTTTTGACTAAACGCTACTTGCCCTCCCACTCCGACTATCCAATTATTAAATAATTCATTTAAGTACATAGTTATTGCTACCTATGTCTGACGACATCACAAATTATGTAAATGGCTTAGAGTCCACGAAGACTTAGTTTGCTACGGCATGCGCTACTCATCACAATGACGGAAAAAGTGAAAGTTGTACTCCATAAATTCCAAACCGACCTTCGACGGCGACAGCATGCAGATGTCCTGCGTTTGGCCCAACGCCGCGCGGTACGTCATAACCTTCGACTGGTATCCGACCATGTCCACCTCGAATAGTACACTTCGCGAGCTAATGAGCGGATTCGGCACTTTCTCGTCGACCTTGCGCTGCGTCAGCTTGCTGCTTTCGTCGAAACCGATCGGGGCGCCGCACTCGTGCTTGCGGTAGCCGTTGTAGCAGTGCTCAATTTCCTTCATGTTCGCCTGCTGGGATCTGCAAACGGGTTCGTGAGAAACGAAAAGTGCGATCGCGTCGATTACCGAAAGATTAGGCTGACGTACTGGTCCGCCATATACTTGGAGATCGGAATGTAATAGGTGAAATTGTTGTTATTGTTGTTGATCATGTATTTCGACGAGAGCGTCACGTTGAAACTCTTCCCCTGTATCCCGATCGCGAACAGGTGATCCTCTGCAAACATCGCGCGTCGATCAAACGCAAGCGGCGGCTATCGGTAGTGAGCTCACCTGTCGCCTCGAAGATGTTATCTTGGCTGCTCCAATCGTCCGAGTCGCGCTTCTGCCGCAGCTGTTTGTCGATGTTGTTCGTGTGGAAGGGATTCGCGACTTTGTTCAGCAGGCCGGTCTTCGTGAGGTTGTCGGTTTGCCTTTGGATGCGGTCGTAAATTGTCACGTCCGAGTCCTCGGGCGACGGGGGAATGCAACAGTGTATCTGCAATTACTCCGAGTGAACGGCAAGCCACGATAACAACCTAACCGCTCTTGTGTACCCGAAAAATCGCTCAAAACGTACAAAAACAAAACCTGGAAGTTACCAGTTTAAGTGATCACTCTGTAGATGAACACCCGGTATCTAGAGGCGCTTCGTTGCGAAAAGTGTCGTGCCGAACGTAAAGATTTAATTTCTAGAGCTACCGTAAACAAAAGCTGTAATTAATCCGCCGTTTGCAACCGTTCCCATCAAAATATTTCAATTATCTTATGTTAATTGAAAACAAACTTAAAACCAGTCGAGGCTGTGCAGTCTACGTGTTCCATTGTGTCAATTGAACTACCGACTTTGGACATTTGAATCCGGTCAATTAAGTAAGTGCAATTACCAGTAGCTAAATGAATGTTTTGCATTAAACGTTATCAGAGTCAAGTCGTGGGAGGTGCCCCGGAATGCGCTCTAATTTTCTTTCTTTACGATGACCAGAAGCTTTCGTAACTGGTACGCTGGCCGGTTGCTGTGTTCCTTGTGTTTTGTTGCTTGCATTCCCGCTAGTAATTTTGTTTCAGTTTTTTCGAAGTGACCGCCGCCATTTGCCGAGTTCGTCCGATTCCTGGTGTTGCCGTTTACTCCGATTGAGTTTGCCCGGCCGTCCCGCGAAGAGCTGCAAGCGCCGACATTGACCGGTGGCAAGGCCGTACCCATTGGTAGCGCTCGAGTGCGTCCGTTCCGCCGTAGCATTTTTAATTACGGCAAGCACAAAAAAAAAACAAAAATTGGACACTCCAATAGGATAGTGCACCCGCGCACAACGCCCAATCGCGCGAGAATACCTATCGGAGGAATTTTCCATTTTCCAGTGTACGATGGTTCCATTGTCACATCCAGAAAACGCCCATGAAAGTACAGAAGGTGATCAAGTCCAAGTACAGCTACCCCCTTCCCCCGAATTAATTCACTGCAACAACCCTGAGGGCTAAACCTTTGTGAGAGAGTGTTACAGGGGGTCTGGGGGGGTATGTGTACGATGATTCCATTGTCATTTCCAGAAAGCGTCCATGAAAATACAAAGGGTGATAGGATAAGGAGTTATTAATACGGAGTTATCAAGTCCAAGTATGGCTGGGGGGTATTCCATACCCCCCAGACCCCCCGGTACTACCTCACTTCAAGATTTCTTTAGAAAAGAGCGTCTGAATGATAATCTTCCCACAAACGATTGTGAAAACCCTAAGGGTGAAAGACAGTGTTACGGGGCGGTCTGGGGGGGATATCCCCCAGTGCACCATAGTTCCATTGTGATTTCCAGACAGAAGAGACTAAAAATACTCACATCGTCTTTGTGAAAGAACATCTTCGCATTACTGGGAATGTAAGTATACGATGTAGAAACGAAAGTTTCTTGTAAAACTAAAGATAACATTAAAACAACCCCCCTCCCCAACGTTTCGCTATTTCCAAAATTTTACCCGGAGTCTACAATTGCGGTAAAGCAAATTACGAGAAATAAAAAAACTTTACATAAGAAAATGGAAGTAGAACAAAAAACAAAAAAAAGTCTATTTCAATAAAGCACGGAACTTGCCTGGCACAAAATATTGGCGTTCTCAAAACCGACATTGACGTCGAAGCAGTTGTTGGGTCGGCCGATGGTCGGCGTGTGCAGCTCGACAATACTCGAGGAGTCCTCAGACGCTTTGATCACTCCTAAAACGCGGCGCTGATTACGCGTAAACGCTCAACGATCTTACCGAGCTCTTTATAAGGCACCACCGTCTGTTGCGAGTAATTGTTCTGCCACGTCTTCTGCTTGACGGTCTTGATCGGTCGCTTCGTCGTGAACGACCTGTGCCCGTTCTGCAGACTCCCCTGCGGCAGTTGCGTGTGGCGCGCCGCCTCGATTAAATACAGCGTCGTAATCGCGGCAAGACAAAAGGCCATAATTAAGACTAAGACGACGATTATAATTTGAATGAACTTATTCGTGCAGAGTTCTTGCTCTTTATCCGTGTAGTGGCTGCCCTTGAAGCACTTCGAGGAATGTATGTGCTTACCGCTACTCGCTAGAAAAAGGTCGACGTTAACGGGTGTTACGCCTCAACTGCACTCACCCGTACTGGTCGACTTTAAACTATCGTCTCTTCTCAATTTATTTAATCTACGATTTATTCTCTCCAATTGATCTATACGCGTTTCGAGGTTATCGGTAACCTTGCATAGCTCCTTTACCGCCCCGATATTCTCCATAAATATCCTCTCCTTGTTAACGACTAGGAAATTATCGATGGACGCGCCGTTTTCGAGCACCAAATTTCCCGCCTGACTGACCGCTTCCGGTAGCACCTCGGCGACCTCCTGCGCGATGACGCCAGTATCGGTACTTTCGCATATATGATTCAGCTGGGCGGCGAATCTCGGCTCGTACTCGTACCTAAAATTAATTAGTTTTTTTTCGCCCGAGGCAATTCGGAAGACGACCTACTTGACGACCCGCAATCTCTGCACGTTTCGCAACTGCTTCGCCGTGTCGCACTCGACGATGTTCTTCTTCGCCCGAACGTCGCTCGGCTGAATGATGTGGCCGGTTATCTTGAGGTTGCCGTGAATGACGAGCGACTCGTCGGGCCGGTCCGTGTTTATTCCGACCTTGCCCGCGTGAAAGATCGACTCCTGCGTCTGCCCCTTCTGCCAGCAGAGCTCGACGTCGTTCTCGAACTGGCCCGGATTCGACGCCTGAAACCGCGCGCTGGCGATCACGAGTTTTTTTCGGGGACGCAACTCACCCTCACGATAATCTTCTGACTCGCGTGACTGACGATCGCGAAGTTTCCGTGAGTCGTGTGCGCGTGCAGACCGACGACCAGCTGAAAGTATCGCTGCTCGGGATTCGGCTTGCCCTTCTTGCGCATGTTGTTCGAGGTCGTCTCGCTGAAGTGCAACCGGCCGACCGTCACCTTCGTCACTTGCGAGTTGATTAATTCCACGCTGAAAGTAACGTCCGAATGAGACCGAGTCGAGCCGCTGGTGGCGCCGTACTTACAGAACGGGATGAAACGGTTTCTTGCTCCGATCGCTCTGGCTCTGCTCGACGCGTATTGTTTGCGTCGGACAGTCGTATTTCACTCCGTAAAAGTGCAGGTGAAAGCTGGATATCTTCTGAAAACCGTCGGGCGTTTTTACGAACTGCGCGTCCCCCAGCAGCTGTATATGGCAAGTGATCTGAAAGCCACATTAGCAAACTGATACATTCGCTGCCTATTTGCTGTTAGATTTCTCGAATTAAGGCTCTAGACAAAGTGAGAGACTAGAAACAATTTCTTCTCAGAATTTTGTGCACTTACAAAAGGCGAAAATAGGCATCTGCTACGCCACTGTATATGTCTTGGCGGGAATATTAATAATTCAAATGCACAAGGACGAAAGCTCGCAAGTAGCTGCGCGCTATGGCTTTTCCTCGAGCAAGAGAGAGAAGGATGCGGGTGTTTTTATAGTTGAGCCGAAAGAAATAAGGTAGCTTTGTGTAAATTTACACTTATTCTTCTTTGTAATTAGTGTAGGTGAATTGCCCTTGCATTGCTTGTATTTGATGTGCGAACGTTATGGAGTGTGCGTTCGGCAGCAGTAGCACTATCAGTTTCCGCGCGGCAAGGGGGAGGGGGCAATTTCCCTAGGTCCCTAGGTTTGAAACTCTGCTAGCGCGCGTAGGGCCGATTCTAAATCAAAAATTCACTACATTTGAAAGTGACTAGAAAAGTAACTAGGTTTGAATCTCTGCTAGGAGCGCGTTATATAGAGCCGATTCTAACTCGAAAAGTATCTAGGTTTGAAAATGTGCTGCGTGAGTTCGAATATTAGCTAGTACGGTTCTGAACTTGTCACAGTGAGTGATTATCGATTTCTTGGGCATGAGTCATAGAAGGCCAGTCGATCGTTCGGGGGCATGCTCCAATGAGATACTGATTTATCGATTTCGGGGCCCAGCGACCGCGCTATATACAGCCGATTCTAACTCAAAAAGTCACTAGAAAAGGTTTGAAACTGTGCTGCTTGGGTTCGAATTGTTGCTAGTACGGTTCTGGACTAGGGTTCTTGATAATGTAGGACGGGACTTCGAACGCTAGCGTTGTGAGACTTCGCGAGGGGGGGGGGGTTCCTTCCTCGTACCCAGAAGACTCGTAGTTGGAAATGCAACAACACGTCCAACGGAGTGGGAGGTGGGGAACACGACGGACGACGCGATTATTCCGGCAACACCAGCTGAGTGTAGGAGGAAAAGAGCCGAAATGGAGAGCGGATAGTGACACGGACTGGTCTCTAAATATCAAGAGACAACAGTGCAGGAGCGAGCAGATACGGTTATCGTCTCTCCAAGGTCTTCGAACGAGTCGTTCTGCAAGGATTAATCAAGCAGATTCGGAAGACCTTTGCTGGTGGTAGAAAACAAGTGGTCCAAGTATGTGGGTGACCTGAACGTAGCAGATGTGGACATTCACGGCAGCGGAGGTCAGAATTGGAATGGGAAACACAAAGGAAGAGAAAGAGGACTAAGAAAATCAAATCCGGGAATGAGAGTGGGGGCCACGAACTTATAAATTAAGATCGACTGCTGATCAAACAGTTGCATAGAGGTAGAAATGGCCCTAGCATGGGCGCGGCCATGGTGTGCACGTTTTAGTTATTTTCTAGGGGAATTTTCCTAGTGCTCAAGTTTTGAGACTATTGCAGCCTTGGAAAATGACATGTGTCACAGTAATTTATTTAGAAAACGTGAGGTTAATGCTTGTTTATTAGTTGATTTGAATTTCGCGCCAAGTAGCCCCCATGTAGATGTCATTTGTCAATTCAGCATTAGCAGTCCATCTTAATTTATAAGTTCGTAGTGGGGGCACTCAAACTACGGCAACAAACCCCGAGGAGGCGGCGCTCGTGAAGTTACAGCCAATCACATGGAGGAGATACTGAGGAAAATAAGACAAACGGACATGTCGGGGGCGATGACTAAGATTGAAAGTATAACGAAAATTAGGAACGGCGACATCCTCCTCCGGTAACACTATTATTATTATCATTTGGTGTAGATGAGGCATTATATCGGGCACCCCAGCGGCAGAACTTTCAGGCACAAGTGCTCCGGCTGCACCAGGCAAGGGAGAGCGCTCCACTAGAGCAACGGGGCCCAGTTCTGTTGCGATAGAGGGGGCTTAAACCATCGCTATCGACCTCGAAGAGGCGTGAAGATTACTACCGGCGCCCTCAGATATCGAGAAAGATGCAGTTGAGCTTTTGGTTAGCTGACCCAGACTCGTCCCCTGTAAACCCAAGGTTCTTGTATGAGGCATATGCCTGCTTGGGTGGAGTCTTTATCATCTTCGGTCCCCCCACAGATACGAGGAAGGAAGCGCCCCCCCCCCTTCGCGAAATCTCACAACACCCCGTCCTACATTATCAAGAACCCTAGTCCAGAACCGTACTAGCATCAATTCGAACCCACGCAGTACAGTTTCAAACCTAGTTACTTTTCTAGTGACTTTCCGAGTTAGAATCGGCCCTGTATAAGCGGTCCCTCGACCCCAAAATCGATAATCAATCAATATCTCATTGGAACATGCCCCCGAACGATCGAATGGCCTATGACTCATATCCCCGAAATCGATAATCACTAACTTTGTGAAACCCTAGTCCAGAACCGTACTAGCAAAAATTCGAACCCAAGCAGCACAATTTCAAACCTTTTCTAGTGACTTTTTGAGTGAAAATCGGCCCTGTATAATGCGGTCCCTGGACCTCGAAATCGATAATCAATCAATATCTCCTTGAAGCATGCCCCCGAACGATCGAATGACCTATGACTCATGTCCCCGAAATCGTTAATCACTAACTTTGTCAAAGCCTAGTTCAGAACCGCACTAGCAAAATTTCGAACCCAAGCAGCACAGTTTCAAACCTTTTCTAGTGACTTTTTGAGTTAGAATCGGCTGTATATAACGCGGTCTCAGGACCTCGAAATCGATAATCAATCAATAACTCATTGCAGCATGCCCCCGAACGATCGAATGGCCTATGACTAATGCTCTCGAAATCGATAATCACCAATTTTGACAAACCCTAGTTCAGAACCGTATTACCAAATATTCGAACCCAAGCAGAACAGTTTCAAACCTAACTACTTTTCGAGTTAGAATCGGCTCCTTATCGGCTCTATGTAACGTGCTCCTAGTAGAGTTTCAAACCTAGTTACTTTTCTATTCAATGTCAAATCTAGTGACTTTTTGATTTAGAATCGATAACGTATTACGGGATCCCTAGCAGAGTTTCAAACCTAGTTTTAATCAGACCGCTCGTTGCGCCGTGAGGGCCCTATACTTTAGTGTTTGTCGCGCGGAAACTGATAGTGCTACCCCTGCCGAACGCTATCAAAATGTCTGGTGAACGACTCGCTAGACATAATCAGGAGCGCGTTATAAGCGCTACTTATGAGCGGTACGCGTACACTTGAACCAATGTCACGCAAAGGAATGACAGTGACATTTTACGAAGGGAAATAAAAAAATTGACATTCTAATAGGTTTAAATGAGTAGGCTAAGCGCTCTTTGACCGCAAGGGTAGATAAAGTGAAACAAATCATTGTGATCCGTCATTCTTATTTTAAATGGGACGCGGAGCACGAAATAAAATGATGTTCAGAACATAATACAATGCTGTTTCTATGGAAACTACCGCGACAGCAGAACCTAAGCTTGCTATTTTTGACGTTTAATTTAAATAAAATAAATAAATGTTAAAAAAAGGTTATAGTTACACGTGTAATTTGTTCGAGCGGCTGGGGAAGTTACAGGTTTTGGACGTGGACTACTACTACTACTGGCACTAAAAATAAGGCAAAGAGCTGCGGAGTGCGATAAATCTATTTTATTGCAGAATCATGAGCCATTTTTGAATTAATGATTTTGGATTTTTTTAAGTTAACCAAAAGGGCAAAATGACGCAAAGAAGGAAATTTTTCCAAAATTATTGATGAAAAAATCATCTTTTTTAAATTCTTCAATTGCTCGGGGAAATATTTTGCAACAAAAGATCAAGACTATTTGCCAGTGCAAACGGCATACCTCTTCATCGCTTACCTGAAAGTGGTTCTTCTTCTGACAAACGAACGCGTCGTCCGCGTTCGAAAAGTTGAAACCCTTATCGGCGTCGACCCGATAGTGCGGCGCCGGCCTGAAAAGAATTTTGCATTTGCGTATCCGCCGACTCGCCAAAGGTCGACTTACAATTCGGTGAGGTTCTGGTCGCACAGCATGTGCCACGCGCTCTGCTGGAACGCCGAGAACCGTATGCACTGATACTGCGCCTCCGACAGACATCCCTCGGATCCGGCGAAGTCGTCGTCGATCGTGCTCGAGAGCGTGCCCGGCGGGCTCAATTGACTAGGGAGGCAGTGCTCTGGAAAAGACGCGAGTTTCGGGCGCGAGTCGGCGTTTGGCGCGTTCGTACCTGGCTCGCTTTTGACGAGCGGAAGATCCTGCGAGAGTTTGCGCTTTTTCGACGCGTTCTGCAGGTTGGTGTAGACCGCTTGGATGTTGTCGATGCTGCCCGTCTCGCATAGACCTTCGGACGGCTGCCGCTGGGGAAGTTGCATTTCGATGTTCGACGTGAAGCCCAAGTGCACCAGCTGCGATTCGTCACTTTTGACGAGGAGAAGATCGTTGGTCGTTCGGCGCACTTCGGCACGCGGGCAATTCTCTAAAAGAATCGTGCGGTCGGTGTAGTTCTGATTCGGGTCCGCGCCGTTCTGTATGATGATCGGACGGTTCGGTTCGTCCGCCACCAGGATTCGATTGTGTAGGATGGCGGCATCGGAGTGGATGTTCAGTAGGTTGCTACCGTTTCGTAGATCGTTATTGACTAAAATTCGAGCGTCTTGGAGTATTCCGCTGTTGTCGAGCAGTTGAGCATCGGCGCTCTGATCGGTGACAACGATGTGAGAGCCCAGGATTAGGTTATCGCTAATTATCGGATTGAGTATATTCGATTTGTAGATCGGCTGGCCCAGTGTCGTGTAGATCGCTTCCGAGGTCGAGATCGGGGGATCGCAGCTCTCTTGCGGACTGTACGGATGCTCCGAGCTGCTGTCTGGAGGACTTTCGGGCAGTGAGTGTCTGCAGAAAATTTATGAACGCGGCCGTTTGGGATTATCCAATGCTTACCCTGGCGTCCGTTTGCTGTCGACGATGACGTTTGAGAGCTTTCCCGATGTTGGCGTTGTCGAATTGAGAGATTCCGCGAAGTACGTTCCGCTACCTTGAGATCCATCGCTGTTGATGAACGCTTCCAATTGCGAAAAATCCAAAGCTTCATTGTCGATGCCGCCGACGAAATCTCCTCGATCTACGAAACGATTGAATTTCATTAAGAGTTGAGTTCGACTTCCCAACGTATCATCAAGGTGCTGGGGAGTAGCCTTTTAGACAAAAAAATGTTTTGGTCCTTCGATCCGGCTACAACATGTTCATCTTCTCATTTGCGTATCATGTCTGCAGTGGTTCGTCCGCCAAAGCGTAACAGGTGGCGCATTCCCTACTTAAAACAATCGAGCCCTCTGCCCCAGAAATCGGTGGCGACGAGGCGGGGGCAAGACGAATTCGCGGGGGCGCTGACGAAAAAAATATCCGTAATAATCTTAATAAAAATCCCATCCTAATTCAACATTGTTTAATCGATATTTAACTGGGATCGCTATTTACCTGTCGCCATGGCGACCGGTGTTCTAAAATTGGGAAAGGCAAAAGACGCAAATTTAAATAAACGCACACCGCGATTTCACCTTTTTTCGTTTTTCTTGGGCGAAAAAAAGCGCGTCCGTCGCCGCAACGGCGTAAAAAATATATTAATTTGTTTAACAGAGCACAATACTTTTACTATTTTCCGCTACTTTCATTAGAAAATTAGCATGCGAGATACGCTACCTATACCTGGTAAATTTCTGGATTTAATTTCCCTTCGCTCCTCCATCGTCCACGAGTATTCCATCGTTTCTAGATCACCGCCGCCATACGTAAATTGGAAAAAACGCGCGCCCTTTTCATTTCCGGTTGCGCGCAATTCTCGCGGCACTTTTTTTCCCAACCGAAAACCCAAACGCCAACGCAAAACAACAAATTTAAAGTGCGACAAGTGCGAACTGCATTCAATTCAAAATTCAATAATATATTTAACAAGTTAAACGCTATTTATCCCCCCCGCCGTTCCTATGGTTACTGTAAATAGTGGGTACATAAGAAAGCAGGACCCTCCTATCAACAATATTAACGACTCTAATTGTTTTTGGCGTTAAATAAATATACGGCCGATCGAGAACAACAAATGGACGAAACAATGAGCAGTTATGGCGAAGAACAATGCGCGTTATTCCATTTTTTTTTCCGTTGCAAAACAATAATTCAATGCTAATCGGATCGTAAAACTAAAATTTGTATCGATCTAACTTTTATTTTTGTTCGGGGGGCGAGGAGGGGGACGGCCAAAATCTATATAATTAATTACTATCGGATCGTCCTTGAATTTGTGCATTTTTTTTTACAAACACGGCCTTCTACGAGGGCGATTCCGAAAGAAAGTTTCGAATGACCCTTCTTCCCGTCATTACAGCGGTAAATGTTAAAAGAAAATTATTGACTCGTCGTTTGCTGAGGGCAGTCTGCATTAACTGTCCCCCCCCAGAACTACGTATGGAATACCCCCCAGTAAAAAAAGATTCGATTATCTTTTACGGAATACGACATCGAGAGTGCTATAGGTAAAAAGTTATCGAATACTCCTTTGTTGTAGAATATTTTTCTGGGGGTATTCAATACGCCCCAAACTTTCCGGCTCTACGTTTCTCCCTACAAACGTTTGGTGTTACTACTGACTTTTCGGTCGTCTGATCATTTTTTATACTATTCACAATAAGCAGCACTCGTAAAAACAAATAAATTACACAAATCATTAAAAAAAAGACATAATAATAGAGGGAGTTGAGGCGGCGAAGCCGCCAAAGCTAAGTGGTTCTAGTGAAGAGCATGGGAAAAATGTGTGCCGATCTGAAGTCGCGAGACCGCGAGTACCAGCGAAGGTTCCCCTTATTTGGAATATCACAGGAGCATGTGGCGACTCAAAGTTAAGGAGTGCCACTGACCGACCGTGTGTTCCAAGGTTAAAATTAATAGCGTTATACAAAAACGTGAGACACGGCGACGCTGCGCGGTTATAGTACCAGAAAACCTGAAAGGTCAAGTAATTTGAGTAGAATAAAACAACAAATTAATTTCATGAATTCAAGATTGTATACAAAACATAATTAAAACTAGTTTTGGTCAGAGGCGGCTTGACTCATTGAAAGTTGACTAGCAAAGGGGCAAAACATCACACAACTGTCATAAACACACGTCAGAAATGAACCCCCATCACACTTAAAAAATTTGCGGCGCCACTGGAGAGAGCACTGATTAATTAACCGCAATCGTCCAATTTATCGAAACTGTCTTGGCAGACGGCTTGCGCTAAAAACAGCCAGGGCGATTACGTCATCTCATTAAATACGTCTCTGGTCAGTACTTTACGAAATGAAATTTTGCAATAATTGATTTTAATGGCAAATCAAACTTTCCCCGCATTCCTTGCGCCGCCTCTGGCTTCTGCCGGCGATGAGAAAGCCAAATTATTGCTAAAGGTACAAAGTTTAAAGTACGTCCGAGAATAAATAATTATTTTCTCCTAATAAAAACATTCCGTGTAACAACGTCCACTAAACAACAATGCTACAAGTTGCAAAATTTGTTAGAGCGAATTTAAGACATACCAGGTAACTGTCATAACCTCACTTACGTTCTTTTGTTTTAATTTGGTTTTTTTAGGTGTCTTGCGTCGACAGCTGCTCCCCAACCCAAAAATGCGCCCGAAAAGGAACCCTCGCCCGCATCCGAAAATTTATCCTTCACGCTGAACCTATTCCGGGGTCAGCTGGAGGCGCGCGAAGTCTTCCCGTTCCCGAACCCGCTAAACGAAGATCAAAGGGATACGGTCCGCATGCTGATCGATCCGGTCGCGAAATTCTTCGAGGAGATCAACAACGCCAAGAAGAACGACGAGCTCGAAAGCATCGAGGAAAAATCGCTAACGGCACTGTGGGATCTGGGCTTCTTCGCCACGCAGGCCCCGACCGAGCTCGGCGGACTCGGACTGACCAACACTCAGGCGGCACGCGTCGTCGAAATCGTCGGCAAGCACGATTTGGGGCTGGCCGTCACGCTCGCCGCGCATCAGTCCATCGGGTTTAAGGGGATCTTGCTCTACGGGACGCCCGAGCAGAAGGAGAAGTACGTCCCGAGACTGACGACGGGCGACTTTGCCGCATTCTGCCTGACCGAACCGTCGTCCGGATCGGACGCCGCATCGATTCGGTAAGCCGGCAATGTCCGCTAGCTTCCTCGTTAATTGTTCTGTTGCAGAACGAGGGCGGAGCTGAGCCCCGACGGCAAGCACTACATTTTGAACGGTTCGAAGATCTGGATCAGTAACGGGGGACTGGCGAAGGTGATGACCGTGTTCGCGCAGACCAGCGTCACCGACCCGAAAACCGGCGAGCGCAAGGACAAGGTGACCAGTTTTATAGTCGAACGCGCCTTCGGGGGCGTAACGAGCGGACCGCCCGAAAAGAAGATGGGCATCAAGGGTTCAAATACGACCGAGGTGTTCTTCGAGGACGTCAAGGTGCCCGTGGAGAACGTCCTCGGCGGGGTCGGTAACGGATTTAAGGTCGCCATGAACATACTCAACAACGGGCGTTTCGGTATGGCCGCGTGCCTGGCCGGTACGATGAAGGCGTGCGTAAAGAAGGCGACCGAATTCGCGGTCAATCGCACGCAATTCGGCGAGAAGCTGCGATCGTTCCAGGGAATACGGGAGAAGCTGGCGCGAATGGCCACGTTGCAGTACGTAACGGAGTCATTGGCGTACATGATCGCTGGTAACATGGACAACGGTTCCCAGCACTACCATCTCGAGACCGCAATCTCAAAGGTGAGCTATTGTGTGATTTGTTCGGGTTTGGTGGTGGGGGTAACCCAAGAGCAGTGTTTTTTTGTTTTCTTGGGTGAACCGAACAGAAAAAAAAAACCCCAAAAACCCATATGGGTGTTTTTTAAATGTCAATCCCGGGTTGTAACTTGGTGTTTGTTTCTAGTGTGTTTCGTCCGAGGCGGCTTGGAACGTTTGCGACGAAGCAATTCAAATTATGGGCGGTATGGGTTTCATGAAGGAGACGGGCTTGGAGCAGGTAATGCGCGACTTACGAATTTTCCGCATTTTCGAGGGGACCAACGATATTTTACGCCTACTCGTCGCGCTGACCGGCATACAGTACGCGGGGGCCCATCTCAAAGAGCTGCAAAAGGCGTTTAAAAACCCGGCGGCGAACCTGGGCGTACTGCTCGAGGAGGCGTCGAAGCGTGTCGTCCGCTCAGTCGGTCTGAGTTCGCCCCCGCAAATGGATCATCTCGTGCACAAAGACCTCGCCTCGTCCGCCAACCTTCTGTCTAAGGTACCCACCCAGAAATAACCCAGTCATCTCAGTTTCGCTTTTGTAGAGCATCGACACCTTCGGACAATCGGTTGAGGCCCTCCTGATCAAGCACGGCAAGAGTATCGTGCACCAGCAGTCGCTGCTCAACCGCCTCGCCAACTGCACCTTCGACATTTACACCAGCGTCGTCATCCTCTCCCGCTGTACGCAATCGCTCAATAACAACTTGCCAAGCGCCCAGCACGAGAAACAGATGACCCAAGCGTGGATTGTGGAGGTACGTAGCATCTCGCTCCCACTAACAATAACTCTCATAACCGCAGGCAACCGAGAGAGTGAAACACACTTTGGAATGCATCCGAAAAGGCGACTACATACAGAACATCGACACGCTGAGCGACATCGGAAACCAAATCTGCGAAAGCGGCGGGATCATCCACCCGACACCCCTCAATTTCTAATATATTCTATTTTTTGTAAAACAAAGTATTAAATATAGGTTATGTTTTTCATTGTGTAGACTTTGAACCCCCCGAAAAGGCAAAGCGAACACTCGCGAATCAACAGGTGGTTGTTGTATTTTGCCGCCACCCGCGCTCGTCGCAAACACCTCTGCGGCCCCCTTCACGATTACGCCCCCTTAAAACTTGGACCCGATCGCCCCCTCGACCAACAAAAACGGACACTCACCCAGAACGTCTTGTAAAGTTAGGTCAGCTGTCATGGAGTCCATTGCTGGCTCGTTGGGGCACTAAACGCTGCACATTCTCCCGAATTAATTTTCACGCCGTCCCCGACATCGCAAAGTCACTTTTGGGCACTTTTTCGAAAAACTTTCAGAAGTTATATTTTTGTTGTCAAAATGTCGTACACGTGATATGACAATTCCCATTCCATCTAACTTAGACGTCATCGTACAACTTTTTTCGTCTAGTCCGACGCCGACACTGGGCGATAAAGAGGGCCCCCTTGAATACGTGCCCGCTAACCAAACGGGCCTCTTCACGGACGAACGTGTAGATTGGCGTTAAACTTCAAATTCGAAAAATCACGCGCAAGGTAGTCAGAATGAAGTGCGTCCAGTTGATAGGTTGCATTTTATTTTGCATAGATGTCGCTGTTTTGTTTTTAGTTTTTAATTTATTTATAAAAGATAGATCCGATTATCTTCCAATGCGGATATAAAAACAAGTAAATAAAACTAGCACGGTTCGTTGATTGTTGGTTCATAAATAAACACGGCTGCCTGTATGAATGTACAGTGCGTTTCAGCATCTTTGTGCCTTGAAGCACAGATCTAAGCATACACAGATTGCTAACCTTTTAATAAGAAAGTGTTTTTTTGAGAAATTTTGGTGCAGTCGATTTTTGATAAAAAAGGAAGGTAATAACTGCCTTTTTTTGGGCCCCGAAAAAAAAATTGTCTCAGATCGACCCGGAAAAAAATTTTCTTATAGAATGTGGCGTGTAGAATCCATAATTTCAAACAGTTTCAATATTGGGCTACTAGTTCAAAAGTTACAGCCCTTTGAATTTTTTTTCGAAATTGGTTTCTAGACTATAACTTTTGATTTCTTATAGAATGTGGCCTGTAGAATCCATAATTTCAAACAGTTCCAAGATTGGGCTACTAGTTCAAAAGTTACAGCCCTTTTAATTTTCTTTCGAAATTGGTTTCTAGTCTATAACTTTTGATTGAGAAGTCTGATCGAAAAAGTACGAATTGATTTGGATTCTACGCACCCAAATTAATAAGAAAAAGTGTTTCCCGAGAAATTTTGGTGTAGTCGATTTTTGGTAAAAAAGGAAGGTTATACACTGCCTTTTTTTGAGCCCCGAAAAAAAAATTTTCTCAGATCGACCCGGAAAAAAAATTTTCTTATAGAATGTGGCCTGTAGAATCCATAATTTCAAACAGTTCCAAGATTGGGCTACTAGGTCAAAAGTTACAGCCCTTTGAATTTTCTTTCGAAATTGGTTTCTAGTCTATAACTTTTGATTGAGAAGTCTGATCAAAAAAGTACGAATTGTTTTGGATTCTACGCACCAAAATTAATAAGAAAAAGTGTTTTCCCGAGAAATTTTGGTGCAGTCGATTTTTGGTAAAAAAGGAAGGTTATACACTGCCTTTTTTTGAGCCCGAAAAAAAAAATTGTCTCAGATCGACCCGGAAAAAAAATTTTCTTATAGAATGTGGCCTGTAGAATCCATAATTTCAAACAGTTCCAAGATTGGGCTAGTAGTTCAAAAGTTACAGCCCTTTGAATTTTCTTTCGAAATTGGTTTCTAGTCTATAACTTTTGATTGAGAAGTCTGATCGAAAAAGTAAGAATTGTTTTGGATTCTACGCACCAAAATTAATAAGAAAAAGTGTTTTCCCGAGAAATTTTGGTGCAGTCGATTTTTGGAAAAAAGGAAGGTTATACACTGCGTTTTTTTTGCCCCGAAAAAAAAATTGTCTCAGATCGTCCCGGAAAAAAATTTTTCTTATAGAACGTGGCCTGTAGAATCCATAATTTCAAACAGTTCCAAGATTGGGCTACTAGTTCAAAAGTTACAGCCCTTTGAATCTTTTTTCGAAATTGGTTTCTAGTCTATAACTTTTGATTGAGAACTCTGATCGAAAAAGTACGAATTGATTTTGATTCTACCCGTCCAAATTAATAAGAAAAAGTGTTTTCTCGAGAAATATTGGTGCAGTCGATTTTTGATAAAAAAGGAAGGTAATAACTGCCTTTTTTTGATCCCCGAAAAAAAAATTGACTCAGATCGATCCGGAAAAAAATTTTTCTTATAGAACGTGGCCTGTAGAATCCATAATTTAAAACAGTTTCAAGATTGGGCTACTAGTTCAAAAGTTACAGCCCTTTGAATTTTTTTTCGAAATTGGTTTCTAGCCTATAACTTTTGATTGAGAAGTCCACAGATCTAAGCATACACAGATTGCTAATCTTATTGCATTTTTTGTGAAAAAAATTTAGGTATACTTAAAGGCGCCCTCTATTGTGGAGCAGTATAAACATGTATCGTTTAAAACTGTAATATGACGCTTATGGATTTAAGCGTTACATGTCGCTGACACAAAATTAAAGCGCTAAAGTTAGCACAATTCGAATTCCTTAATATTTGTATTATTACAGTGATATGATGTGATAGGAGGTACGCTGAGCCATAATTGTTTAATTTAACACTGGAGCTACTCATTCGTCGTAAAGGAGTTATTAAAAGCGCGTACCCTGTGGTCACAGATACACACGAACATAGGTTCTTAAGGAATTTTAAGTAGTTGTATTGGCATTTGGATATTGGCAACACTGTTTTCGAACTATACAGCTGTGGGCCGTTTTCAAAAATGGCGGTGTAAAACAATTTGTGAGCAGAGTGTAACAGAAAATCGTCCTTTTTGATTATTTTGAAGAAGAAATGCGCGATTTTCTTGCTAAATACCACATTTTAAGGCGTACACCTTTCAAGTTTGACAACGATGTGACTCATTCAAGTGCAAATTTTGCAAAATTTTAGAATGACCGACGAGAAAAGGACCATGAAAAGACAGGAGCGCAACTTTCCCAGTCTTGATTTGTCGTCGACTTCAATGCTGAATACCAACAATAATCAGCCCATTCTGGTCGTCCAAAGCCCGAAGACGCCGACGCTTTCTAGGAAATTAAAAGCGGTTAGCCTGGACTCAGATCCCGTGAAGGCGCTCGAGATGAAACGGGACGTCTCGTCGATGCCGAACACGCCCAAACGGCAGTTGAAACAGCGACAGATGGAATGCGAAGAGAACGGCCATAGGGCGGTCAGTTTGGGTTCGAATTTGAAACGATTTGCCTCAAATACGAGCATATCCGGCTCACAAACCCTAAAGACGCTACCCGAGGTGATGACTTTGCAAGACTTCTCCGACAGCAAACCGGAGCCGGTACGTATCAAAGCCAAGGGGTTGTTGGAGCGTCGCGGCTCGAATGCCAGTTTGACGATCGACCTCGGTTCGAACTCGAGCCTATCGGAGAATCGCGGCAATCTCAACGCTCGAACGACGAAAAGCGCCTCAAACCTCAATCTCTCGAGTTACTCGTCCGACAAGTGCTCGTGCGAGCTTCAGACCGTCGTCAAGAAGAACGTACATCGCGACGAGGGCCAGACGACACGCGGCAGCCTCTGTAAAAATCGGTGCTACACCTTCCACAAGAAGTGCAACTGTTTGTGCAACTTTAAGTGTCGCCGCAAGTCGCTGTCGAACGAGAATCTGTACGTTCCCCCCTGCAGTTTTTGTCAGATGCGGTCGTCGCGCGAGTGCGGCCTCGGACTGCGCAGCTGTAAGGGTTGCCGACGCGCGATGTACCCACGCCAGCCCGAGCTCGAACCCACGCACATCCTCTCCGAGGACTTCAAGCTGCACCTGCAGAACATCCAATATTTGCAGACGGCGGGGAGCATTCTTTCGGTTGCCGATCTAAAAAGTGCTTGTGAGGTAAGCATGCTAGCCCCCCCCCCTTTCCCTTTTCCATTTCCTGAGCAATTTTAGCGATATGGGGGCGTGACTAGTTCTAAAAAGAACTTAAGTGGCTTTGGAAAGCACTTAAGGGAAAGGGGATGCTGTCCAGAGCCTACTAAATTCATTTAATAATAATAATAATAAACTTTGGTTGCTCAATATGTAAATCCCGTCATGCAGTTTGCCATCTTTCTAATAGCAATTTTGTAGCCGTTGAGGGTGCCCAAGCTGCACCAGGAGTTCTGGGAGGTGCCGCTGAACCTGCAGGAGAAGTGCATCGTGTCGGGAACGCAAAGCAAGAACCGCTACAAGGGCGTCCTGCCGAACGAGCACAGTCGCGTGCATCTGCCGAGCGTCGCCGGATACATTCACGCTAATTACATTAAGGTAGGTCGCTTACGGAGCGCCCGCACGAGCGCTAATGCAATTTTTGTGGTTCAGGGACCGGATTACTCGGAGACTGCGTATATAGCGACTCAGGGACCGATGGAGCATACCTGCGAGGATTTCTGGGAGATGGTGTGGTCATCTCGGGTAAGCGGGCATTCTGTTCTACCGCTTAATCCTTTACCATTTGTTTTAAACATGTGATCGATTAAACAATTGAATTATTCCCACCTAGGGACGCTTGCACTGAAAATTATGTGGAAAAGCTGGCGCACAGATAAAATCCCTTCTTGTGTTTTGATGTACAGGGTGAGTCAACGATTGCGCGGAGTAACTTAATGCCTTGAAGATAAGATTTTTCGATAGAGTGCTTTTGTATTATGATATGGTTGAATATTCTCCACATTTTAAAAATATTTTTGATAATAATGTCCTATACCTTTCTCTGATATTTTTCAAAATACCTTGGTTTTCCTGGTTTTTATATTCTAATCTTAAATAAGTTATATGTAATTTACATAATAACGAGGTGGCCATGCAAAAAAAGGCAATTTTTATCTGCATTCAAATATAGGGGGTTCTATTTAAAAAATGTACCACGTAGTGAGCGCACCCTGTATAATTCCAAATATTTTTAAAATGTGACGAATATTCAACCGTAAGCACTCTATCGAAAAATCTTATCTTCAAGGCATTAAGTTACTCCGCGCAATTGTTGACTCACCTTGTACAGTGTGTTCTATTATTGGTTGAGATTGCAGTGTATCTTGGCTGTTTTTAAAGATAATTAGCGGCTTTCGCGATCCTGTGACACTTTTATTACCTTATACAGAAACAATCTAGCTACGGTTGTTTCTGAGATACAGGGTGAAAATGAAAAGTTTGACTTTTTGAGATGCCATCATATCTTACTAACCATGTAAGATAGAAAGAATTTAAAAACTGTATATTTTAGATATTTTTACGTAGAATCCAGTGGCATAGCAAAAAAAAATTTTTCGGACCACTGTTTCTGAAAGTTGATCTGAAGTTACTATTTTTGAAACAAACACCCTGTATATCTTTAAGGTCAATTTTTTGCATTCTTTTTCCTGATTACATTGATGTATCACAACCTATATTTTTTTAAATTTTAGCCATGAAAATCAATAAAAATCTTATTTTTTAATTTTTAAATAGTAGGCCATGCGATTCTTACAAATGCGCGAGTAACAATCACGATCCTCGAGATCTCTATGTCCCACGTGTCTCTCGTATTGGAGGTATGTTAATCTGCTGGTTTGCATGGTGGGGGAGGCTGTGCGGAAGAGTAGAAAACGGGATTTATTCGAACGCGTCAGTTATTATACGATCGCTTATTCGACTGCTTTAACTGCTGAAAGCATTGCACTTTATTGACGATTTGTTTTTTAGTTGCACTCGGATATTTCCGTAATGCTTTCCGCTAGGAATACAGAAGTTTTTTTGTTGGTTTGTTGTGAATAATTATCGGTGTCGGTTATTATTAAATGAAGTGCATTTTTTTAAGAGTTTATATTTATGAATATAACAAAAGGTTAACATTAACATATTGCAAATCAAATTGTTTAAAAACTTAAAAAAAAAAATTATTATTGGTTGCTATATCGCAAATACTCACTGTGCGCCTGATACTGTCTTCATTCAGGGTCACATAATTGATTTTTAAAAATAAAGGATATTTCGCGTATTTTACTGATAGCGAGGAGAGTTCTCTTCAACTATTTCGCTTTCCAGTGCGAGTGCATCGTGATGCTGACCGGCCTAATCGAAAAGGGCAAGAGCAAGTGCGAGCTGTACTTTCCGCTCGGGAAGCCGCCGTCCGAGGGCAAGTCCTACCTGTACGTAACGACGACGAGGCCGAGGGAGAAGTTCACGTTCGACGTTGTTCGCGACGAGACCGAGACGATCGCGTTCGAGGAAGTCGACGAGCTGAGGTACGGTAACTATAAGATTATGTTCTGCAAGAAGGAGAGCCTGGGCGAGTGCGTCGTGCGCGAGTTTCGCCTGAGCAAGGGGGGCGTCGACGTGCGCAAGGTCGTTCACTATTGGTTCGCGAACTGGCAGGATCACAAGATGGCCAATCCGCAGCAGGTGCTCGAGATCGCGTTGCACATTTTGGAGTCGGCCGGCGCGAGCAAGCGCAATAATAACGTCGGCAAGTTTTCCAGTCGGCCGGTGAAGGTGAAGGAGTCCGACGGAGTCGTGCCGATCGTTGTGCACTGCAGCGCCGGCATCGGCCGTACGGGCTGCTTCCTCGCGATACTGAACGGCATTCGGCAGTTGAGGAGTAATTTTAACGTAGATATTTTGGCGATTTTGTGCTCGTTGCGATTGAACAGAGGGGGAATGGTACAGACTGCCGAACAGTACGAACTTATACACAGGGTGTTGAGCTTATACTCGGATCGGATGCCGTTATGCTAATTGGCTTCTGTTTACCGAGATTTGTCACAACGCAGCGTTTACAATTTGAGGGGCCAGTGAAATAGTCTTACTATCGCATTTTTTTTTAAATATTTTTTAACCGCCGACTGAGTTGCGTGACAATGATTAGTTTTCAATTTTAGACTTAATGTTAACCGTAGTAGATGGTAAAAAAAATGTTGTATTTTGTCGTATCCGAGATGCCGCTTTCAACACACTAACATTTGTGCCAATTGCCAGGTTATGCTTTCGCCGCGCCCCCTGGCGGAGCGCGGCGCAAGCGTCTCGATCAAAAAATTTATTCATCGTACGATTCGTGTTAGTGTAAACTATATTTTTAAATTTAGGTGTATCGATTTCTCCTGATTTGTTTGTGTACCGTTGATGTTATTCATATTTGTGAAACAGTTGAGGGTTTTCGACTAGTGCTGGCGATTTTTAGGGCCTCCGTATATCTTGCCTTCACTACCAAATCATTCAGCTGATTGGTTACGATAATATTACCACGGCGAGATGAATTTATTATTTGGGGGCCTTGGGGGGTATACGAACACTTGGTTTATATGAGCGTACGGATAATCCCATGATGATTGTAGGGAAAGGGTAATTGATTTCCCCTTCGCTGGGGGGTATTCCATACCCCCCAGACCCCCGGTGGTGCCTTCTCTGCCAAAACTGTCTTGCTTCACCACTCTCATTACAGATTTCAGTAAAATGCCATCGAACGTACCTCTGGGGGGTATGGAATACCCCCCCCAGCATATCACTACTTTGTTTATATGAGCATACAGATGGTCCCATGATGATTGCAGGGAAAGGGTAATTGATTTCCCCTTCGCTGGGGGGTATTCCATACCCCCCAGACCCCCGTGTTGCCTTCTCTGCCAAAACGGTCTTGCTTCACCACTCTCATTACAGATTTCAGTAAAATGCCATCGAACGTACCACCGGGGGGTCTGGGGGGTATGGAATATCCCCCAGCATATGAACACTTTGTTTGTATGAGCATACGGATGATCCCATGATGATTGCAGGGAAAGGGTAATTGATTTCCCCTTCGCTGGGGGGTATTCCATACCCCAGACCCCCGTGTTGCCTTCTCTGCCAAAACGGTCTTGCTTCACCACTCTCATTACAGATTTCAGTAAAATGCCATCGAACGTACCACCGGGGGGTCTGGGGGGTATGGAATATCCGCCAGCATATGATCACTTTGTTTGTATGAGCATACGGATGATCCCATGATGATTGCAGGGAAAGGGTAATTGATTTCCCCTACGCTGGGTGGTATTCCATACCCCAGACCCCCGGTGTTGCCTTCTCTGCCAAAACGGTCTTGCTTCACCACTCTCATTACAGATTTCAGTAAAATGCTATCGAACGTACCACCGGGGGGTCTGGGGGGTATCAGCATATGAACACTTTGTTTATATGAGCATAGGGATGATCCCATGATGATTGCAAGGAAAGGGTAATTGATTTCCCTGTCGCTGGGGGGTATTCCATACCCCCCAGACCCACCGGTGTTGCCTTCTCTACCAAAACTGTCTTGCTTCACCACTCTCATTACAGATTTCAGTAAAATGTCATCGAACGTACCACCGGGGGGTCTGGGGGGTATCAGCATATGAACACTTTGTTTATATGAGCATAGGGATGATCCCATGATGATTGCAAGGAAAGGGTAATTGATTTCCCTGTCGCTGGGGGGTATTCCATACCCCCCAGACCCACCGGTGTTGCCTTCTCTACCAAAACTGTCTTGCTTCACCACTCTCATTACAGATTTCAGTAAAATGTCATCGAACGTACCTCTGGGGGGGTATGGAATACCCCCCAGCATATGAACACTTTGTTTATGTGAGCATACGGATGATCCCATGATGATTGCAGGGAAAGGGTAATTGATTTCCCCTTCGCTGGGGGGTATTCCATACCCCCCAGACCCCCGGTGTTGCCTTCTGTGCCAAAACGGTCTTGCTTCACCACTCTCATTACAGATTTCAGTAAAATGTCATCGAACGTACCACCGGGGGGTCTGGGGGGGTATGGAATACCCCCCAGCATATGAACACTTTGTTTATGTGAGCATACGGATGATCCCATGATGATTACAGGGAAAGGGTAATTGATTTCCCCTTCGCTGGGGGATATTCCATACCCCCCGACCCGGTGTTGCCTTCTGTGCCAAAACGGTCTTGCTTCACCACTCTCATTACAGATTTCAGTAAAATGTCATCGAACGTACCACCGGGGGGTCTGGGGGGGTATGGAATACCCCCCAGCATATGAACACTTTGTTTATGTGAGCATACGGATGATCCCATGATGATTACAGGGAAAGGGTAATTGATTTCCCCTTCGCTGGGGGGTATTCCATACCCCCCAGACCCCCCGGTATTGCCTTCTCTGCCAAAACAGTCTTGCTTCACCACTCTCAGTACAGATTTCAGTAAAATGCCATCGAACGTACCACTGGGGGGTATGGAATACCCCCCAGCACATGAACACTTTGTTTATATGAGCATACGAATGATCCCATGATGATTGCAGGGAAAGGGTAATTGATTTCCCCTTCGCTGGGGGATATTCCATACCCCCCCCCCCCCTCCCAGACCCCTGGTGTTGCCTTCTCTGCCAAAACTGTCCACCTTTTGGTAAAATGGCATCGGTGGTACCGCCTGGGGGACATCCAATACCCCCCCAGCATACGAGCACTTTGCATCCAGATGATCTCATGATTCCCGCCATTTTGGAGCTTACTGACCGCCTGTGAGACACACCTTGTAAGATGTAAAAAAGTGTTTACTGTTTAAGTTCTGTGGTCTTATCTTTTATGCGCTAATAAATGTAAAAAAAATCAATTTAAATAATTGGACACTACATGCAGGACATGGGACGTTTCGCAAGCGTCATTTGTGAGTGGGTTCGAAAATGGCGGACGAGTCGGCTGTCCTATATACAGTAGCAGTAGCTATAAGGTGTGCAATATTTGTACAAAACATCCAAAATTCGTATCTGTGAAAACCAGCCTTTATTCCAGTAACTATGGCGCGTTTGCACAGCCAGTTGCAGTGTCAGGGCTTATGTACTAAATGCCTCTTACTAATTTGCGTCATTCTTCGATAACGCAATGATGCCAAACTGACATATGATTGATTTGAAGTATTAAACCTGCTTGTGTTGTCATTGTCACGTTTGGCAACCATGTAATGTATAGCTGGAGGTTCGAATGTCACGCCACGTCGGTAGTCGGTCTGCCATCCAAAGATTGGTAGTGGATCGGTAAGTACTAGAGATAATAAAAAAAAGTGGAGCTCTATCGACAGCACTAGTTCCTTCCGGGCAGGTTGCTTTTGATTTATTATTAATGTCTGTTTATGATAAGTCTTCAAATGTGATAATTTTTCTTGAATATTAGTCATACGTACGTATTTACATATACATATTTATATTTATATATATTTTTTTAAGTTACAACTTTGTTAACGTTCTTTTTTATATATTCGTTGCGGGCTGTGAACTAACTCGTTAAGTCGGATAGATCACTCTATAGTTTCTATTCGTGCACACGATCTTAACGTACCTACTAGCTCTAGATTAACAGGGGCGGCCACCGGGATTGTTTCGGAAGGGAATTGGGGGGGATAAGCAAGTTTTCAACTGCACGTCATCTATTTTAAATCTTGAAGTCGAGTCCCTTGAGATTTGCACAGTTGCTTGTCCATTCCAACGTTGCGCGTTCTCCTTTTGCGTCGATTAATTTAGATCTGCCGGTCATTAACCTTATTCTTTTAGTACAAATTTTTGCTTTTTGTATCTGCGGAGTTGGTGCAGAGATTTATGTCGAAGAGGGAACTGTCGAAAGAAGCGGTTATTGTGAACAGACATAAACACCAATATCAGTAGATAGAATATAATTGTAAGACATTGTGTAAATAAATATAACAATAAAGTTGTTGCTAAAATTCGACTAAACGTGTACAACCTCGAGTGGAGGGCATCGGAAGTGGCGCAGATTTCTGGGCATGACCATACCGTGCTGGGCGACGCTGCATTCCTTCATGTACTTCTTGACGTCCTCCACTAATTCGTGTGGAACGATCGGGCCTATCCCTGGAATCGCGTCGACCAGTATGTAGTTCAGCCTTTGCTCCACTTCGTCGACCCCTTCTTCCGATACCATGTCCTGTCGTTCCTCCATTGAAGCATCGGACAGTACTGTTTCATCGACCGCCGCTTCAGGCGCACCCGGCGCCATCTCCAGCAGTGCCTTCAACTTTTGCAAGTCCTCGTCCACTTCCTCTTCCCCTCCTTCTTCCTCTACCTCGCATTTCTAAAACAAAAACGCAGATTCCCCCAGTAACACTTCCTCCGCATTTACCTGCACCTCCTCCAAGTACTCGGCGATCCCTTGACGTTCGGGCATGTACCCGATCAGAGTGTCGACTGATTCGTCCGCTTGCTGCTGGCGTTCCTCCTCCAAATCGGCGTTCTCCAAAGCGATTACTTCGGCTGGCACCACGGGACTGTAATTGTTTGTTTTCAAATTTAAAAGTCGCAGACTGAGCCTACCTTTGATAATCGGCCGAAGGCCTTCCGACGGTCTCCGCCATAAAGTCGTCTTCGGTCTTGTTGTCATCGATCGCAATATCCGGACACGAGATCACCACCCCGACTAGATCCTCGACCGGTCCCGCCTCCGCCTCCTCAACCTTCTCCTCCTCGCTTACGGCCTCCTCCTCGACCACCTCCTCTTCGATCTCTATGGTGCTCTCCGATGCCACCGCGGGCGGTGGTTCGCGGTAGAGGCTCAGCAGCGAGTCCGTGAAGTACAGATTGGCCAACCTTTGGGGTTCCGACGCGTCGATCGCCGCGAGAAAACCGTACAGATCCGCGAAGACCTCGAGCGGAACCGTCGCCGAGCCGCCCTCCGGTTCCTCGGTCAGTATCTCGCACACCATCACCATGGTCTGCGTGAGGTTCTCCGTAAGGTGGCCGGCGCACAGCGCGACGAAACGGAACCACGGTATCGCATTGGGATCGGCGAAGCCTCCCAGGACCAGGATTTCGATTAGATTCTCATGCTGGAGGCACGCCCCGATCCAACGGTCCCACAGCACCTTGAACGATACCGTCAGGTTGTTCTGCAGCTGGTACATCAACGCCCTCAGCCATCCCGGCGTTAAACCGAAGTGAGACTTCGGTATCGGGTACTCCAACCTCGGTTTGACCGGCGGCGGAACGTTGAGCGCGAGGCACCGGAAGTAGGCGGTTGACCATCTGAAAGGTGCGGTCAGCGAGACGGCGGACACGGGGGCCCGACTTACCTCAGCAGGTCGGCCGGCTGGGTGCGTATCGCCGCCTTCGCGTACTGCCTGAGTAGATACGGGAACGTAGGCGGAATGCAAATTTGCTGCGAGCAGTACATGTCGTCGTTGAAATCCGGCATTTCTTGACGGAATGTGAGGGCAGGTTAAAAATTGTTGGGGGTGAACGACAGCTGATGTTTGCATTTTCGTTGCCCTGGTGACGATATTGATCATTTATTTGTAGTTTGGAGTTAAAGTTTGAGGATTAAACTCAAATGACGGATGGACATGGATGATAAAAGTTATGCCGAGCTCGCCTTCGGCTCGCTCGGCATTGGATTGTTCAATTTATCTCAATGAAGAGCGAGCCGAAGACGAGTTCGGCATTTCGCATATTCCTATTCTGATTACCAGTGGCCTACGAATTGCTCTACCATTTAATCGAATACAATATTATTTATTCTTAACCTAATCAACGATGGCTTATACATCAAAAAGCGACCGCCGAAAGTACCCGTAGAAATACGACGTACGTCAACCAGATGAAGATGGCACCGAAAACGATATTCTTCGCGGCGTCGAGATAGTACAACCTGAAACGTTCGGCGTTAGTGGCGCCTGCAGGTGAAGATCGCAACGTCGTATACCTTCTCAGCACCTTTCGGGCGTAGGGGATGGTGCTCGGCTCCTCGTGGACGCAGTACTTGCGCGCGCCCAGAACGTAAGACAGCAGGTAGTTGCTCCAATTCAGGTCGACCGTGCTCGTGTAGAAGACGAGCGAGTCGTGCGAGGTGAGCGACCTCGCGATCTTTCCAATGCCCTCGTTCTTGAAATGCCACGTTCTCGTCGTGTAGTACTGGAGAACGCCCAGACCGTTGGCGATCCGCTTCTGCGTCCTCACCAGGCTGAAAGAAGCACCGATCGGATTCGCGGCCACCGCTCGCGGCCATACTCACAAGGGCTTCCCGCGCGTTAAGATCAGCAGGAAGTCGATTAGGTACGCGGGAATGACGTGGAAGAGCAGCACGCAGGCGGCGTGCACCCAGTAGTTCGACGTGATCCCACCGTCGGGGTACCAGAGGCAGACGCTGAACGGGTTGTTGTAGAAATGCCGACGGCCCATCTCCAACGCCTCGCCCCAGGTGATCGAATTCTCCTTTAAGACGGTAATTAACGCGCGCACTCGAGAGGGTGACTTACGCTGGGCATTGTCACGTTGAGCACCAGTGGCTCGCCGGAGGGGGCCGTGGTCCCCAGCTTCCACGCGGTGAGTATAATGGAGTTGGTGCAAATGTCGACGGGTACGAGATCCGCTTCGTAGCTGGGATCGCAGTGCATCGATCGGATGACGCCCTTTCCCGCTCCGACGAGTAAGCCAGTGGGACCGTTCAGGTTGTCGATCCAACCCGGCATGGGTTCCTTCCACGAGGCGATCACTGAAATTGTACGGTTAGAGGGTGACGTGCGACGGGTTATAGACCTATGGAGGGGCGCACGATTGCGATGGGGAATTTCGCGCGGTATTCCCAGACCAGCTCTTCGGTGAGGCACTTGGTGTACGCGTAGGTGTTGGGGCTGTTTTTGAGGAACTTGGGGGTGAGACCTTTTAAAATGTCCTCGTCGATCCATGATGCCAGGTCGAGCATTTTTCTGAAAGCAGTCTAAGGTATTGGGAGGATAATGTCGGGGAAGTACCTCGGGCGGTGGGGTGCGAAGTAAACCCTTTCCTCGAGCACGGTCTCGTCACAGTGACAGTAGCTGGTGGAGACGTGGACGAAAGCCCTCAATCGCTTGAAGCTCGCAATAAGCTCGAGCACCATCAGCGTGCCTCCAGTGTTCATGACGAGCGCCGTCTTCAGAGATTGGTCAAAGCGCACATTGGCCGCCATGTGAAAGACGACCGTGACGCGGTCTTGCAATAGCTGAATGTCGTCGTTGCTCATCCCCAGCTCGCTCTGGATCAGATCGCCCGAGACGCAGTGCAGCTTTTGGAAGAGCTTCACGTTCGTATCACGGACTCGATCGAAAACTGGCGTGTTTACGAAATCCTCCAGACGCTGCTGGGGGTTGCGTCCGCGCTTGGGGCGCACCAGCACGTAGATCGTCGCGATCTTCGGGCAGCAGCGGAGCAACTTCTCCACTAGGACCTTCCCCATAAAACCCGTCGCTCCTGTAATTAGCACGTGCTGATCGGAGAACCATTCCGAAACGGTCGGCGTCATTTTTACGACCGTCCAGGACGCGCGATGTACAAGAACTGCACCACAATGGACGTAACACTTTTTGTATACTTGCACCCGATAAGGAAAGAGGTAATATTTTAACTCGTTTCACTATTCGTAGGTATATTGTGCAATGAAATGGAAAGGGGACGATTTGTAAATCGGTCCGTTTCGGACGAAATTAAGGGCTGAATATCTTCGGGGCATGTTCGAAGGGTTACCACCCCAAAAATGTTACCGAAAGCGGGTGCGGAATTTCGCAAATCGCTGATGTACATCGCGATTACGCAACATCAACGTAACTTGATCTACAAATCGCCTACTTTCACGTTGTCGACAAAAATGTAGGTTCTTAAACTGTTATGTAATGAGAAAATCTATTATGCGTACTTACTTAGAAACGATTCTGTTTAGCAATGGGGAGAGTATCGGCACGAACGTGGTATTTGAAATGTAAATAGCGATTCTTTGCGGCGGATGATCTACAGAAACGACGCTCTGTACTTATAGAGGCACGTCGGCACGCAAAATTAAAATAGTTCCTGTTTCTCATCCGCCAACTGGTCTTTCGGGCGTTTTGCATATTATTTTAATTCGGATGGAAAGGTTATAACATTAGGTAATCGTCAATCATCACAAAGGAGACGTCCCTCCGGGCGCCTAATACATTTCACGTTCTGTGACCACTTGGGGATTACTTATGTATTATTGGCAGTGGTGTCATTCATAAAAATCAAACTTTGGTAGTATAATAATCGTTCCTCCGGCGAAACTTCGATTGCACGCCCAAAAACCCCCCATTTGTGATTGAATCTTACACATATCCAGCGATATCAGGCTATTTTAAACAAAAAATCCACGTAGTCCTCCCTTACAAAAAATACCACCCCCATATATTAGAAATGGATTAAAACAAGTTGTAAATCAGCATATGCATGATCAAAGCGCATTTTTGGTAATACACATCAGAATTTTATTAGCGAATTATTATTATCGATCTCACGAGTAATTTTGGCTGCGTTAAATAATTAATTTTATTTAATTACAATTGAGGGTACGTCTTTATTTTGTAAAACAAATCACAAAGTAAATAATTAAGTTGTTATACTGGTAGCGCGATCTAACGGTAAAATTATAGTACCTCCGAAAACCATATCGAAATTATTTTCTTAAATTATTAATCTCATAAGTAATCTAACTCAAAATTGACTAGAGGCTACACACCTACACTGTAGCAGAAAGCTTTTAGTGAAAATTTGAAGTCTCTAGCTATTGTAGTTGCTGAGATCTCAGCCGGCCGGCCAGCCATAACGAATATAATAGCGTATTTTTTTCAAAAATGCGCTAAAAAATAGAATTATTCGTTAATGTATGGGTCCGACTTCATTTGGCTGCACGTCCCCTCAGCCGCCGTATGTGATTGAATCTTACGCATAATCCATAATCAGTGGCGTAACTAGGTAGGTGCCGAGGCACCGTTCTGAGAGGGCAAGGGCGCGCCGAGCAGTACCGAAGGTGCTAAGGCACCCTTGGCCCCGGATGCGCTCTGGGGCACTACTTCCGGGTGAGCAGTACGGTGTATAGACCAGTATAAATTGTGCAGATAAAGCGCATTTTTTTAAAACCGAAATAGCTTAGGAAACTGTTGGGTTATAGGGGGAAGAGTCTCTTTACACATAATCGTTTAAAGACCGCCCGGCATAAACTTCATTCTGCAGATATTTGCACTGAAAGCTTCGAGTTCACCATGAGACATGTCTCGTCGAGTCGATTCATTTTGCCCGTGAGACTACTTTCCTCCGACAAACCGTTCTCGAGATATTCGCTCTTAAAGTTTTGAAATCACCAATGGATATATTTCTTCCGGACGTCCCAATCGCCCTTTGTGAGTACCCTCTTCCGACAATCCGTTCTGGAGATAAAAGTGATGTATCCGATCACGGCAAGGGGTCGAGGAGGAGGACTATGGTTGGTAGAAATAAATTCCTTTCGTTGAGACCTTTCGTTAGAGTACCATGAAGGATAATACCAATTCTACTGCCTCCCCCCCCCCTCTCTAACCCCCTCTTTTGATAAGGGGTCAGAAAGTCAGCAGTAGTAGAAAATGGTTCCTTTCGTTGAGCCCTTTAATTAGAATACCATGAAAGATAAATTTAATTCCTTCCCCCCTTCCCCTCTCTCACTGATCTCGAAAAAGAGTCGCGCGGGAAAGTTATAGTTTGTGCAACCCAAATTTATTTTAATGAGACCTTTCATTAAAATACCATGAAGGGTAGAACGTGCCCCCTCCCCCATTTTTACAAGTTTAACTTGGCATCACTAACGGCATGCAGCTCTAGGACCTTCCCCTAAAAGGGCAGAAGTGGGTCCGGCCGGATGGACGGACAAAACGCGCACAATAGCCCCTTTTTTTTTAATTAGGACGAATCCTATAAACGGACGATATATGTATATTTGATGCTATAAATTTTCGTAATTTCTATAAACAAAAAATGCTGGGCTCGATCTGTTATATATTAAGGAAGTGATAAATTAACGAAATGGATATTTAACTTATAAAGAAAGCGTTCATTAGGTAGTCAAGCATATCCATAATAATAATTTATTGGTGTTATAACAGTATAGTTTTACACAAGTCAAAAACAAAATGGACAAACCTACACATAAATGGACAAACCTACAAAAATTGAGTGCTCTCAAACCGACAATCCGTTGACAAAGGTGCAACTTAAACGAGCAACTTTTTTTGTTAGTGAAAAAGCCGTGAAATGTGAAATGTAATCTTAGGAATAAGATGATTTTCATTTATTCTGAATAATTTAATTGAATACGTAATTTAATATCGCTTTTGTTTATAAGTCACAAAACTTATTGGTTTAATTGTTGGGGGCGTGGTCCGAAGACCGACTTAGTTACATTTAACGTTGTCAAAATGATTAATTAAAATTTGTGAAATTATACGTTCGGCCGTCAATTATTCGTAATTGGAATTAAGTTTGCTAATTACGTAAGCTGCTAGCAAATTCTATTAATTAGTTCCTCCTCTTATAATAGACCTATATTTTAATTTTATCACTTCACGAAGATGAATTGAAACGTGTCAAAGAACTTCTACTGATTTAGGTGAGTTTTGGAATGGTTAATGCGGCTGACAGATTACGGGACATTTCGACCCTAATATACTAGTCCGCGGTTGCGTGGCCAATCGGTGCCGAGTACTTCCATTTATGCGGTGGCTCGTAGGTAGATCGGTAAAATGCCATTTGTCTATTGTGAAACGCCCGCATGCTTTCTAATTGACGAGGGTGATTGTTTCTTCCATGACCTTGTCTTTGTGCTACTTCAAATAAAAGAACCGTCAGACGATAACCTCTAAAATTTTAACTCAAAATACTACAATACACAACGTAAAAATCTAGGGTTCTGACACGAAAATCGAGGAGGTCTGAGTCTGAGAGGAGGTGAGTGGTATAATAAACAAATGTAATTATCCGTATAGAGTACAGTACAGTAATTACCTACATTGTTTAAATGATTAGAGCTTAATGGTAACTGATCGGGTCTATTCAAAATTTGCCTTTGAAACTACTTTCCTCCGCCAAACCGTTTTCGAGATATTCGCTCTTGAAGTTTTGATATCAGCAATGGATATATTTCTTCTAAACGTCCCAATCGCCCTTTGTGAATAGTACCCTCCTCCCTGGAGATATAAGGAATATATCCAATCAGAGTCGAGGAGGAGGACTATGGCCGGTAGAATTCCGTTGAGACCTTTCATTAGAGTACCATGATAAAACCAATTCCACTGGCCCCCCCCCTCTAACCCCCTCTTTTGATAAGGGGACAGAAAGTCAGCAGTAGTTGGTATAGAAAACGGTTCCTTTCGATGAGACCTTTCATTAGAATACCATGAAAGGTAGAACGTGCCCCCCCCCTCCTCCCTCCACCATCAATTTTCATCAGTTTTACTCAGTGTACTGAGTTTCTACAGTTTAACTTGGCACCACTAAAGGCATGTATATGCAAAATCTAAGACCAATTGGTTGTCGTATGTAAAAGTTATGCGCGTTTTACTTTCAAAAATAGCATTTCAGGAAATAATTAATTCGTGGGGGGCCCCCCTTTTAGACGGTGAAATTTGTAGGCCGCCTGGCACACCTTCAAAGTGTAGGCTACCTACTGCAAAAAATTCCAGGACTCTAGGACCATTCCCCTAGAAGTAGTTCAAAACGGTAGATGTGGGTCCGGACGGACGGACAAAGCGCAAACAATAGCACATTTTTTTTTAATTCTTAAAAAATGGGCTAAAAATCGATATCTCCGTGTACAAAACGTAGGACAAAATACTGTATTCAGGAATGTTGTGTTCTTGATTTTGGGAGAACAAGTGAATATTGCGATAAAGAGGCGAAAGTGAATGAGGGCGCGAAGAAATCATGAAGTAGGCGTGAATTATTTGCGATGGAGCCATTAAAGCAGAAGGGTGAAGGAGACAAAAGAGAATCGTCCCGAAGAAACAACAAACTCCGCTGCTGTACGGGTTCAATTTTCATATTCCCTGTTTATTCCTGGCCGCGAAACGAAGATTTAAAAACGAACTACCGACGCCTGTAGGTCAAATGACCCGAGCCCCCACTCAAAATCGATTGCAGAGGCGTGGTTTGAATTTTTGTTCCCAAAATGTTTATTTAAAAATATTTTTATCTCTGCGGCCCAAACGTCGAAAAAAAGCGGCTTAGCCAGAATGGACGCGAGTATCTCGACCAAACCGAAGATTTGCCGCACCTGTCTCGAGGAAAAGTGCGATTACTTCGTTCTTGTGACTGATGCCGGTCACGAGTTGAGCTACAAGCTGTCTTCTTGCGTACCCGAATTGGTAGGTAAGTCCCGAGGGAAGTTTAACTTGTAGCCGTGCGTTTCAGAACTTGAGTGTCGCTCGTGATGCGGTCGTATGCGTGGAATGCACGAGTATGCTCGAGTCGGCCTACACATTCCGACTGATGTGCCTCGACACTGAGGAGCGGATTAGGATGTTTACGTGCAGATCGCAGATGCAAAATTGTGTCGAGCTCGGCGATGTCGTTAGTGTCGAGCGACGGGGCGTGAAGAAGGAGGTGGACGAGCCGATGCTCGACGTGTTCAAGACTGAGGAGTACGATTGTGCACCCGAAATTAGCTTTAACCCGACAGTATTTTACCAATGCTATCACTGCGGGTACGCTGTCGATAAAAAACAAAACTTAAAGACACACATTAAGGTCCACGAACCGGGCCATCAGGCAGGTAGGATTTAATGTGGAACGTGTCTTAGTGGCCGATGAGTAAGTATTTGTGCCGATATTTACCTACAACTTCTTTTCAAGGTACGAGTGAGCGCTTTATGTGCTCACGGTGTGAGTATAATTGCTCTACGCGAACTCTCTTAGATCGTCATCAGAAGTTCCACGAGGCAGCGTTGGCATGCTTTATGTGCGGTTACTTCTGCAAGCAAAAGGCCGTATTGCAAACGCATCTACGGTCGCATACCAAAAAGCCGTTCAAGTGCATCGCCTGCTCGTACAGCAGCGACTGCAAAGCCAGCTTTCAGAAGCACGCGAAAAGTCACTCGAACGACAAGCCGATACAGTGCACGTTTTGCAACTACAAATGCAAGCAGCGGAGCAACCTGCAGACGCACATGCGAATTCACTCGGACGTAAAGCCGTTTAAATGTGAACTCTGCAATTACAGCTGCAAGCTGAAGAGCAGCCTGCGGATACACACGAAGACGCATTCGTACGACAAACCGTTTCAGTGCCCCTCCTGCGACTACAAGTGCAAATTGAAAAGCAGCCTGCAGATTCACATTCGAAATCATTCCGACGAGAAGCCGTACCAGTGTGCACAATGCGATTACCGGTGCAAGCAGCGCAGCCACCTCCGTACCCACATCAAAGTGCACTCGGACGACAAACCCTTCGGATGTCACCAGTGCACGTACAAAACCAAACTCAAAAACAACCTGCAGGTGCACTTACGCAGTCACACCGGCGAAAAGCCATACGCCTGCACCGTATGTCCGTACAAGTGCAAGCAAAAAAGCAACCTGCGCACCCACATGATGATCCATTCCGAAGTGAAGCTCTTCAAGTGCCCCTACTGCGACTACAGAAGCAAGCTGCGCAACAGCCTCCAGATACACCTAAAGATCCACTCGGCGGAAAAGCCGTTCAAGTGCGCCGTCTGCGATCACCGATGCCGGCAGAAGAGCCACCTCCGCACGCACATGAACACGCACACCGGCGTCAAGCCGTACCCCTGCCCGAAGTGCGAGTACCGCAGCAATCGTAAGAGTCACCTTCGCATACACATGAACATTCACTCGGACGACAAGCCGTACGAGTGCACGCTGTGTGAGTATCGGTGCAAGCTGAAGGAGAGCCTCAAGGGCCACATGAAGATACACTCGACCGAGAAGCCGTTCGAGTGCGGTCTGTGCCAGTATCGGTGCAATAGGAAGAGCAGCCTGCAGATTCACATGAAGACGCACTCGAGCGAGAAGCCGTTCAAGTGCGCGATGTGCAGCTATCAGAGCAAATTGAAGAGCACGCTGGAAGTGCACAAGAAGATTCACTCGCTGGAAAAACCGTACAACTGTCTCGTGTGTTCCTACAGAACGAAGTGGAAGAGCAACCTGCAGTTGCATATTCTTAAGATTCATTCTAAGTCTGATCGTAAGTAAGTTTTTTGTGAAAAAAAAAATTAATTAAATCCATGGAGATTTGCTTTTCTCTCATTTATTGTACGCCCTCTGTACGTACGGTAGATCAAATGATCTGGGAGTAGTTTTAATGTTAAAGAATGTTAGTTCAGATGGCTCTCAGAAGAATTTCTGCTATTATAAAATTTATCTTAACGATCGCGATCTTTTTCTATTTCAAGCTTATTTTCGTTTAAAATTTTGTATCGGGAAAGACTGCATGTGAAAGTCAATACTCCTAATTCACAAATTCTCTGCTCGAAGTATGTCTGGCTACCAGAGTAACACCATCCCTGAGGTTTGTTTTCTATGCTCAAGAAACCATGTTTTCGGTTAAGCCTTTGTATCAGGAGAGAAATATTCTAATAATTTATTTTCTTTGATAATCAAATTTTAAAAAATTAGCGCTTTTTTACATTCGAATTAGCAGTGTAAACAGGGCATTAGATGTCCAATTATTTCTCTAATAAGACAAAAACAAAGTGCCTTCAAATGATAATTAAAGACAATGGGAAATTGACACTGTCCCTGAACACGTTGTAACTCATTATTGTATTAGCGAGTAATTAAATGCAAAATTTTAATTAGCGTGGACCTTGTATACATCAAAAACGGCAGCATATAAATACAGCGGTAGCTTAGCCACTTGTCTCATATTTTTAATTCAAAAAATTCATGAAAATTGATATTAAGGACCTGCATTCAGTGCGCCTTTAAAATGAAATGTATTAAACTGAATAATGGCTATGAAATTCCCATCATCGGATTCGGCACTTACAAGGTAAGAAATGAGCCAACGTAAGGCCACCGTAAATACTTGATTGCAGTCGACCGAAGGTGAGGCCTACAAAATTGTAAAGAAGGCGATCGACGTCGGTTATCGCCACTTCGACTGCGCGCACTTCTACGAGAACGAGGATGAAATCGGAGCGGCATTCTCGGAGAAGATCGCGGATGGCACAGTGCGGCGCGATGATTTGTACATCACGACGAAAGTAAGTTTAATATCGTGCTCCTTTTCTCATTGGCATTTTGCCGAAGCAGCTGTGGAACAACTTTCACGCCAAAGAGCTGATCATGCCGATGCTAAAAAGTCAGCTGAAGAGCTTGCAATTGGACTACGTCGATCTCTATCTCGTCCACTGGCCCTTTGGTTTCAAGGTACGTTCTGTCCGTTGTCCTCGCTGCGCTAAGGCACTAATTGCAGAAAGACGCGGGTCTGTGGCCCATCGACCAAGGTTCCGAGGCGTACAGCGACATCGACTACCTGGAGACCTGGGAGGGCATGGAAGAGTGCGTTCGTCAAGGTTTAGCGCGCAGCATCGGCATATCGAACTTTAACACGGAACAAATCGCGCGACTGCTGAACGTCGCGAAAATTAAACCCGCCGTCAACCAAATCGAAGTTAACCCCAACATTAACCAGAAGAAGCTGATTCGGTTTTGCAAGGACCGAGATATCGTCGTCACTGGGTACTGCCCTCTCGGCCGAATGTACGCGTACGGTTCACAGGACATACCGAAACCGACACTGCTCGACGATCGGGTAATCGCCATCGGTGCTAAGTACAAGAAGACGGCTGCCCAAATCATTCTTCGTTATCTGGTTAGTTTCTGTAGGTTTAGAGGGGTCTTTAATCTAGAACCTTTTAATAGGCCCTTTCTAGAGCGTTATAGGGTCGCCTAGCTCTGAAAAGGGAGTAGTGGTTTCGCAAAAATAAATGGCAAAATTACAGGTCGATTTGGGAATCACCCTCGTTCCAAAATCGACGAAGCGAGAGCGGATGATCGAGAACTTGAACGTGTTCGATTTCGAGCTGGAACCGTCGGACGTCGAGTACTTGGACTTGCTCGACAGGCACGTGCGGATAATCATCTTCGATGAGTTCAAGGATCACAAATACTATCCCTTCAATATCGAATATTGAAATACAAGCTTATGTTGTTCATTATAGATGGCGTTTATTTTCAACTGTATTGAAGGTTGCAGCATTGTAGGCAGCATGACAACGTTGCTTTTGAGTCTCCTCATATTGTGGAATACTGTACAATTTAAAAATATCTCTAAAACGCAACGGCGCATGCGTAACCCAGCTTTGAGGAGAGGAGGCTCGGAGGGTTCATAGCGTGTTAAGATGCCCGGAATCTATGGCTGTTGATCCTAGTGGGATTCTTGTCCCTCACGCATTTTTCCTGCACATTATTTTTGTCTGCCTCTCTTTCATACCTTAACGTATTCTTCATTGCGTTTACTCTTTCAATTGCGTTTCGCATCTCCACAAAATCGTTTAAGCCGGCCTAACGCCCCCTCTCCTCCCCCGGTCTCCTTCACTTCGTAGTTACACCTACGCTCTTTGTTACGCCTTCCAGGTTTTTCATAAACACTTTCAACCTCCATTCCCCTTTAAAACTTCGTAAAACTCTCACTCCTCGTCGTTCTTTGGATCTTCATCTCTTTCCTCCTTGTCGTGCTCGATTTAAACCTTATTCGCGCGTTTCTATAACTTTATTTTATTCAAGTGTTCTCCCATTCCTTTTTCACGTCTACCAATTACTATATACGCTTGCGACATTCTCCCATAGGCCATAAGAACGCTTAGCTTTCAAAATAGCAGTTCGAAAAGAACACTCTCTTTCCTGAGGAGTATTCCATACTGTGGCGGACATGGTCCAGTCTCTCGGCCAAGGACATCAAAAAGTTCTTGCCTCAGACCTCGGTAATTACCTCAAGTGCATTTTAAAAATACGCAATCGGATCTTCATATACTGCGGCGAGGGAAAGATCCCATACACATCGAGGAACAAAATTGTGGGAGAAATTCAAACCGACTTTAAATTTTGTACCGCCCTTTACAAGTGTTTGAACGTAAAATCGCGACGTTGCCGCTATCGTTCCGCCGCTAACTTCGCCACCGTTCGAACCCTATCAAAAAAAGTAAAATGGCCGTCTTAGATCGATAATTCCTATGCCGTATTTTCTCTCCGTTTTACTCATTTTCGACCGAATAAATGAATAAAAAGTGTATTTACCCTCGCGTAGACATGAGTGCCGGTGATTTAGTCGTTTACTGTGATCATTTGACGTAATAAACCTTCACGGAGGATAGGATGAAGTGCTTATTATATATTCAATTGGTTTATTATTGGTGAGTAGGATATTTTGTATTTTCGGCTTTGAAGGCAATGTCTCTTCCTTGCGGATTAATTAGACGAGTGTGTGTATGTGTTTCGCTAATTGCTTTGATTGACAAGTTAATTGTTATGTATACAACTCCCTCGGAGGTGGGGGAGGATTCGGTAATTTATTAGCGAGGCATGTTTTTGATGTGTTTATAACCTTCTGACGCGTCGATTGCCTATTACTTTCGTTGTGGCTCACGCGGGCCGTTGGTTTTCAATTTTTTTTCGGGAGTCTGGAGGCTTTTCTTTTGTTTTGATGTGTGCCAGTGGGCGGTGCTTAGGTCGTTAATGTTTCTGTCAATGGTGCGGAAATGCATTTTACACACCTTATTTGTAATGTATTTGTTTTTTTTCATGGCTGTCTTAATGGAAATGAGGCACTCACCTTCACTTTTTGCAGGTGATGGGAGACTTTTGAAAATTGCCGACTTCGTAGACATGGCCACGACTCAGGGTGAGATCAGGGTAGGGCCCAGCAACCAGGTAAAGGATGTTTATGTATGTGAACACGACGTCGACTTTTTCAAGCCGACACTAAACGTTAACGTTGACAGGCGCGTCTTCCCGACTATCGTCCGGGCGTACCGCCTGAGCAGCTGCCACCGGATCCCGAACAGTCGCGTACACGCGAAGAGCTCCGATGGATACCGGCGATGACGCTCGATTCCGATCTCCTAATGTACTTGAGGGCTGCCCGTTCCATGGCCGCTTTCGCCGGGATGTGCGACGGAGGTTGCCCGGAGGACGGCGCCACCGCCGCATCTCGTGATGATACGACTATTAACGCATTGGACGTGGTCAGTAGCCGGCGGGCCGCTTCCTTTTAATCTCTGCCTCCTCCATTTTAGCTGCACGATTCCGGTTATGACCCCGGTCGCGCCCTGCAGGCGTTGGTAAAGTGCCCCGTACCCAAAGGAATCGACAAAAAGTGGACGGAGGAGGAGACAAAACGATTTGTAAAGGGTCTGAGACAGTTTGGCAAGAATTTCTACCGCATTCGCAAGGATCTTTTACCGCACAAGGATACGGTAAGCTCACCCGATGGAATAGAATAGTGAGACAACTTTAAGGGGATAAAAGGATATTGAGTCATCAAAAAAAGTAGTTCTTTGTTATGCCAAAAGATGGAGTTAAGGTCACTTGATTAGAGGTATATTATCACAAATTCTGGGAAGATTCATCAAGGGTGGCTTTTGAAAAGCAAATTTCTAAAAAAATCTCGCTATTTTATTGGTTATTGGATTAAATACGGTTAAATTCTAGCCGGAGCTGGTCGAGTTTTACTACCTGTGGAAGAAGACGCCGGGCGCCAACAACAACCGGCCCCATCGGCGGCGCCGCCAGGGCTCGTTGCGTCGAATACGCAACACCAGAAACAGTCGAGGCGGCGCCGGTGGCACGCCGCCGTCGGCCGGACGTACCGGAGCCCCCGTCGAGACGGAAACCAGTCGGCCTTCTCCCCAACCGGGCAAGGAACCTGGCGAGACTAGCTCGGTTACCGAGGACGATAACTCGGAGGACGACAGCGACAGTCGCGAGCAGTACCGCTGCCAGCATTGTTTTACCACGAGTACGCCCCCGCTCCCCTTGTTCGGGGGCCAAAGTAGATGCTTTCTTATGGAAATCAATGTTTGTAGTTTTAATTTGGGATCCGGTGACACGGTTTTATTTTTCCTAGGGGCTGGTATAGGTTGAGCTTAGTAGTCCTCTATACAGGGTGTGACAGGTAAGTGTGACGAAAAGAGTATTCTTCAGATATCTTAGAGATTGCTTAAAGATCCTTTGAAGATTTTTCGTATGCATATACAGATCTTGTGGGACTTGGCCCATGTGCAATTCTCTCTCACTATTGGATACAGGGTTGCCACATGGCCGGGATTGTCCCGCAATTAGCTGCACTGTCCCGAATCCCGGGTTTCCAGATATAAATCCAGGAAAAAATAACACAAAGTCTAGAATCAAAGTTGAAAAGTGACCCCCACACCCCCTTTAGTACTAGCAGCGACACTGCACGAACCTGATCTTGAGATCTGCGCATGCGCCAAGTTCAAGGTCATTAGAATCTTATGTTTGGGGCCGGAAACAGGTGTTTTTATGCAGAGATGAGTATCAGAGGCACATCTGGCCATTAAAACCACATCTGTTCCATATAAACGTGATCGAAATCCCCCCCCCCGTTTTGCATTTTTCACCAAAAAGCGTTTTACTTCACCACTCTCATTGCATATTTCGGTAAAATATCATCAAACGTAGCAGTGGGGGGGTATTCAATACCTCCCCCCTCCCCCTCCAGCATATGAACATATTGTTTATAAGAGCATACGAATGATCTCGTGATTATAGGGAAAGGGTAATTGATTCTGTCTTCCCTGGGGGATATTTCAATACCTCTCAGACCCCATGGTGTTGCATTCTACCCCAAAAACCGTTTTACTTCACCACTGTCATTATAGATTTTGGTAAAACGCCATTAAAATTGGTTCACAGAGGGATGGGGCGGTCAGTGTGGCCACCCTAATTCTTTTTGCACTGTTGATTTTGAAAAAAAAAGAAGTTTCTATAAGAAAGCGTCAATTTTGGCTCACCCTGTACACTGTCTAACCCGTCTACTATTCCAGACTCCCGCGACTGGGCAACCGGCGGCAAAGACCGTCAGCTGCTCTGCTGGGATTGTCGCGTCCACCTCAAGAAGACCAACGAACTCCCCCCACTAACAGCGCCGGCGGCCGGCGGAACACTGCCCACGCCCACAATCAAAGACCCGCAAACCAAAGACCTGAAGGACACCGCCGTCAAGGACGCGATCTCGATCAAAGACACCTCGAAAGACAAGCCGAACGACAAAGACAAGGAGACGTACCTATTTCGGCCGGTCGCCGAGAGCCCGGACGCGAGTCCGCAGCGCATGCGCACCCGCAACAAGGCGGCGAAGGAGCAGTTGCCGAATCGGATACGGCCGAAGCGTGGCGAGACCGAGACGCCCGAGCCGAAGACGCCCTCGAAACCGGCCGCGAACAACAACAACGGCTCGATCGAGAAGGCGACGTCGACGCCGATCAAAAACAAGAAGGGTCACAAGGGCGAGAAGACCGAGTCGCCGGTCAAGAGTCGCAAGCGCGGTCAGGAGAAGACGGAGGAACCCGACAGCGAGGAGAAGGAGCTCGGGCTGTTCAAGAAGAAACGAGAGAGAGCCGAGGTAATTATTTATCGTGCGATTTTGTCACACAGTTTCATGAACAAATTGCAGTTTTAAAAATTAGGTTTTCGTTTATTATTTACACATATACCGCTTGATAGTAAACGTGAACGAAAGTATGTCGGGAGATAACCGGCGTACATTTGCAGGCTGTTCTTAGTAGATAAGCGCTAGCTTGGCCGTGTTGTCAGTTCTAAAAATATAGAATACCCCCCCCCCCCAGCGTTTGCAATATTTTATTATAGGTGTAAGGAAATGAACATATTTATCTCTCCTGGTCCTGGGGGTATTTCAAACCCCCCCCCCCCCGTTTGTATATTTTTGAGAAGTTACTATCAAACGTAGCACTTGTAGGTTGAGGGGAGGGGAATGCTCCTTAGTTAGGTCTGATCATTTTGATGGGACATGTTGAACCGGTGGGTCTGGGGGGGGGGATCAGATCTTGCAAGATTTCATTTTAGGTGTAGGGAAATGAACATATTTTTCTCTCCTGGTCCTGGGGGGTATTTCAACCCCCTCCCTGTTGTATATTTTTGATAAGTTACTAACAAACGTAGCACTTGTAGCTTGAGGGGTGGGGAATGCTCTTTAGATCTGATCATTTTGATGGGGTATGTTGAACCGGGGGGTCTGGGGGTATGGAATACCCCTCAGTTCTTGCAAGATTTCATTTTAGGTGTGGGAAAATGAACATATTTTTCTCTCCTGGTCCTGGGGGGGTATTTCAAACCCCCCCTGTTGTATATTTTTGAGAAGTTACTAACAAATGTAGCACTTGTAGCTTGAGGGGAGGGGAAGCTCTTTAGATCTGATCATTTTGATGGAGTATATTGAACGGGGGGGTCTGGGGGGGTATCAGATCTTGCAAGATTTCATTTTAGGTGTAGGGAAATGAAAATATTTTTCTCTCCTGATCCTGGGGGGTATTTTAAACCCCCCCGGTTGTATATTTTTGAGAAATTACTATCAAACGTAGCACTTGTAGCTTGAGGGGAGGGGAATGCTCCTTAGATCTGATCATTTTGATGGGGTATGTTGAACCGGGGGGTCTGGGATACCCCCCAGCTCTTGCAAGACTTCATTTTATGTGTAGGGAAATGGACATATTTTTCTCTCCTGGTCCTGGGGGGTATTTCAACCCCCCCCCCCCGGGTTGTATATTTTTGGGAACTTATCAAACGTAGCAGTTGTAGCTTGAGGGGAGGGGAGTGCTTGTTAGATCTGATTATTTTGATGGGGTATGTTGAACCGGGGGGTCTGGGGGGTATGGAATACCCCCCAGCTCTTGCAAGACTTTATTTTAGATGTAGGGAAATGAACATCTTTCCCTCTTCTGGTTCTGGACATTATAATATTCCTAAGGGAATCCACCTGTGAATATCATAGTTATAATAATCAGGTCCACAATTTATCCTGCTCCTAACGATCATTCTAATTATTTTAGAGTCCGTCGAGCATAACGACCGACTCGGGCTCCTTCAACGACGAAGTTGACAATAACGAGCCGGATTCGGAACCCGTCGACCTACTGAGCCTCTCACTGCCCGCAATCAGCAATCCGATCGTGCCGTCCTGTACGAACGCGAGCCTGATGCAAACGCAACAACAAGAAACTGCCAAAATGATCAAAATCGAAAATCCCGAACCGGAAAAGGCGCCGCCGCCCCCGTCGGCGACGCTGATCCCCATCATACCTACAGTACCTGTGATAACCGCCGCGAAAATGTCGTCGTCGACCGAGACGAAGCCCCTAAACGTTTCGATACGGCTGCCCGACGACATAAACGAACGTAAGAATTTAATTAAGGCTTCGGAGGAGCACAAGTTCAACCCGCATCATCCCGAAGCGCTGAAATTCGGCGAGGTTAAGAAGGAGAAGGTCGAGGATATCAAGGTGGAGACCGAGGTGAAAGAGGAAGTACCTGAGAAGATAAAGACGGAACTTATAATACCAAAAGTTATTGTTAAGGAAGAGATCGAAACGAGTAACGACGGGCACGGTTTAAACGTGATGGGTGCGAAGGACGATTTAAAATTGTATAAGGATAGTCTATTTTTACCGTACGGGTTAGGGCAACCGCTTAATCTCAAAGATACTCAAAAAGACATTAATCATTCGTATTTGAAGGACCAGTTTAGGCCGGAGCTGACGGGCAAGGACGCCACTACCGTTAATACCATAATTAAGCTTGAGCCGCACGACGAGCCCATGGAGTTGACGAATCCCGCCCGTGAAAGCTTCAGTCAACCGCTCAACATTCCGACGGTCGTTCCAATGTCGCAAATGCCAAATCGACAGACCGAAGGTGTGTTCGAACCGAAAAAGGTGGAGCCGGAACGGCCCGAACGGTTGGAGAGGCCCGAGCGATTGGAGAAGGGCGATCGAGTGGAAAGGTTGGACCGTTTGGAACGGCCCGACCGTACCGACTTGGTGAGCATGGGACAGTCGATCGGACAACCGCCTCTGCCCAACTTGATGCAGTCGAGTAATCTGGTGACCATCGGAGGGCAACCGTCACTGAACCACTACGGGTTTATGTCGTCGAATCCGTACGGTCGACCGGTGGACAAGCCGCAGTTCGCTCAGAATCCGCCACCGAATTACGCGAGCTCTCAGAGTGAGCCCCAGAATTTGAAAATCAAACAGGAGACTCCCGAACTTTGCTCGAGTACTAGTCAAAGCCACGCCCCGCCTCTCTACCAGCCACCCGCAATGGTTTCCTCCCATTCCAATAGTCAACCTCATCCGACTCCCAGTTACTCGGTCGCCATACCTCCGGCTAGCCACGTGACGAGCGGACCCGACCCGCTGCAGAGCCTGAAGGATGTCAAGGTGCCCGGATTTACGCTGCCGTCGGTCGTCGCTTCTCCCAACACCAGCGAGCCTCTGTCAACCGGTCCCCCTCTGGACATCAAGAAGGAACCCGAGTATACGCCGACGCAAACCAGTAGCCCCGCCCAGCCACCCAATGAGAAGAGTCCCGCGCCGAAATACTCGAGCAGCATCGTCTCGCAAACTCCGCCCCTGAGACAGCCAAATTCGGGCACACCACCCGTAATGGTCGGGCACTCCGCTATGAATCTGATCAGTCCGACCTCGTCGTCTCAGCCGGTGATGCACCCCAGTCAGCATTTCAACAGCAGTCCGATGCCACCACCTCACCCGCTCATGCATCATTCCTTCCTGTTCCATTCTCACCCGTACTCCGGCTACCCGTTCTCGTATCCGTACCCGTATGGCCCCATGCCACACCAGCCGCAAGCCATTCCCCCACCTCAAGGACCGATCAAAGTCGAGTCGACGACCTTGTCGAGCGCCCAGCACAGCACGACCAGCTCGGTCACGACCCGGCGCGAAATTCGCGAGCCCGACGACGTTCAGGGCGAACGCAGCCAGACGCACGAGGCGACGCTAACGCATCACCAGTCGACCGCCCATCACAGCGCAATCCACACGACGACCGATAAGCAAAACTACGGCGGCGCAACGAATCACACGATCAGTATCTCCCACTCGACCAGCTCGAGCTCGAGCCAATCGCTACAGCTGAAGGTCAACCAGAAACCGGTGCGCGCGAACTCGCCGCACACCACGATCTCGCAGACGTCGACCTCGGCGACGATCAACCACACGAGCTCGACCAATCAGCACACGCACCACCACATGCATCACCACGAGCAGGTATCGCTCGGCGGCATGCGCCACAAGCAGACGCCGGCGAACCCCCACCACCTCATGATCCAGCCGCCGAGCATGGGCCATCACCCGCCCCTCGGACCGCCGCCGATAGGCAGCAGCTCGCTGGACGCGCTGCGCGCGCACGCCGCCCAGGCCGCCGCCAACATGCAGCAGGGCTCGCTGCACCCGTCGAGCGGCTCGCCGATGTCGGCGCCGACGCGACCTCCGCCGCTCGCCGACGACGTCATCAAGGTTGAGCCCGAACTCGAACCGCCCGAGGAGGAGAGCCAAACCAGTCCGTTGACGCCGGCGAGGGGACCTTCGCCCGAACCTCGCATCGAGGATTCCGAGTGTCACCGCAGTCAGTCGGCAATGTAAGTAATATAAATATACAGGGTGCTTAATTGTTTTCTAACCATTTCGTTGCGCAATTAAACAGTTATTATAGTGTTACCTCTACGCATGCGAAGACTGCGCAATGTCAAATGTCAAAACTTTAGCGCATTTTTGATGAACTTTTACATACGATAACCAATTGCTATCAGATTTTCCATACGTGTGCCTTTTGTGAGATTTGCGAGATCAATGAGCGACTGGCCTGAGGGGGGGGGGGGTTAAAAATTGATCTCTGATTGTATTCTAATTAAAGGTCTCAATGAAAGTAACAGTTTTCTACCAACTACTGCCCTTCTTTTCTACCCTCTTATCCAAGTAGGGGAGGGGGGTGGGGGGAGTGGAACTAGTTTCATCCTTCATGGTACTCTAATGAAAGGTCTCAACGAAAGGAATTAATTTCTACCAATCATAGCCCTCCTCCTCAATCTCTTATCGTGTTTTGGTATATTCCCTTAGGGTACTCACAAAGAGCGATTGAGACATCTGCAAGAATTATATCCATTGGTGATGTCTGATGTCAAAACAAAAGCTATTTCGGTTTAAAACAATGCGCTTTATATGCACAAGAGTTCAATTCATACTTGTTTGTTTATGAAGACATTTTTTTTTAAGTTTTAACCACATGATTCCAGTAACGACAAGCATATCGCATATTGTAAAAATCAGATGTACGCATGCGCAATGTTAACTTTCGTATTTATGGAGATATTTTTTTGAAATTTTAACCAAAGATTGTTCTATAGTAAAGGTTTGCATTCGGCACAGTTTTTGACGTAATCTATGATTGGCCTTCTCATTTCGGTCCAGTAAATTCGGAGGTGCACTCCTCCAGGGGGACTACCAGCTGGGGTTCTTCTTCTTGTCCATGTGTGAATCGGTAAAGGATTCCTTCCTTGCTTTCCGAGAGTGGGCTCTCGAAATGCTTGATTAATTTCTCCGCCTCCGGGTCGGATGTCGCTTGCTGAGCGTGTGGGGATATTGATGGAGATGGTACAGACGGACCATGTTTCTTTAAATTTCGCTGAGCACAGGGGTCTCGAGAGGGCGTGCCAAAGTTAATCGCGTATCGTGGGTTCGATTCTCAACGCAAATTTAAAAAAAATTCTATATAGCAATCACGTGACCGATACAAGATGGCGGATGGGGTGCGACACGGTCCAAAACGGCGCTCATCAAAATGGCTGATTTAGTGACTAATAAAATGGCGACCGATCCAAGACGGCGTCCAACAAAGTTGCGGAATTAGAGACTCATAAAATGGCGACCGATCCAAGATGGCGGATTTAGTGACTAATAAAATGGCGACCGATCCAAGATGGCGGGTTTAGAGACTCGTAAAATGGCGACCGATCTAAGATGGCGCCAACAAAGTGGCGGGATTAGAGACTCATAAAATGGCGACCGATCCAAGATGGCGGATTTAGTGACTAATAATAAAATGGTGACCGATCCAAGATGGCGCCCAACAAAGTAGCGGGATTAGAGACTCATAAAATAACACCGATTCAAGATGCCTGATTTAGTGACTAATAATAAAATGGTGACCGATTCAAGATGACGGACTTCGTGACTAATCAAATTGCGACCGATTTGGTGAGTAATAAAATGGCGCTCGATCCAAGATGGCGGACCAGGCCCCGCCTACCGTATCCCATTGGCCAAGGGGAGTGGCATTGGGGGCTTGCTAATCTCTGATTGGCTGTGACGTCACGTGCTCGTCTCTGATTGGTGTAACGTCACATAGGTCTTCTACTCATATCCAAATGAAGTCCTTCTTTATCAGCGCGCTTAAAGGTTTGGCGTTTTTTTTGCGAAGTCTGGAACGAGGCGTCTGTACCACAAGTAGGTTTGTATGAAGACCATAAGGTGCTTTATGTTTTTTAGCACCGGAGGATATCGTCTAGGTAGGCGAGGATGTTTACCCCGACTAATTGAACCTTCACGTGATCAATCAGGCGTTGGAACGCGACAGGGGCGTTCCTTAATCCAAAAGGCATCCTTTTGTACTGGTGCGGTTTCAGGCGCGAAATGAAGGCGGTCTCATCTGTGTCCGTGGGCGCGATTGGTACTTGCCAGTTTCCGGCTTGTAGGTCTATGGTTGAGATCTGCGCATGCGCAATGTTCACTTTCTTCTTTATAGACTAGTTCAATTGCGCAACTTACAGGGTGTTTCAAAAAAGTAATGTATTGTTGGTCTTTTGAATCAAAGAAACCCTTTTGTATAGTCAAAGTTAATAAAAGAGCTAAACTAATGTACAGGGTATTGTAAAAGTTTGCGTTCTAACTGGCGATTTTTAGATTTTTAAGGCATTGGAATCGAGGGGATTACAACTCGTGCGCCCGCACCGATCTCACCTTCAAACCCGTTCCCGACTCGAAGCTGGCGAGGAAGCGCGAGGAACGGTTGCGCAAGCAGGCCGAACGCGAGCGCGAGGAACGCGAACGGGCGCAGCAGGCGCAAACGCGAAAAATAACCACGCCGGAGAAGCCCGAGGTGAAACCGCCCTCGCGCGGTCACCTGGAGTCCGTTTCGTCGCCGTACGATCGCTTCCCGAGGCCCGGTTTCACGGACACTCCCGCCCTTCGAACTCTCTCCGAGTACGCGAGGCCCCACGCCGGGTTTAGCCCCGGTCACATGCCCCGCTCCCTGCTGCCTCCCGCGCATTGCATGGATCCGATGCTGCAGTACCAACTGAGCAGCATGTACGGGCCGGGCGCGCGCGAGCGCATCGAGTTCGAGCACTTGGAGCGGGAGAAGCGCGAGAGGGAGATACGCGAGTTGCGCGAGCGCGAGCTGAACGATCGGCTGAAGGAGGAAATCATGAAGAGCGGCATGCGAGGACCTCCCAATCCGATGGATCCGCACTGGCTCGAAATCCAGAGGAGGTACGCCGCCGCCGGACTAGCGGGACCAGCAGGACCGACCGGTCTGCCTTTGCATCATTTCGCTTTGTATCCCGGAGCGAGCGGTAGCGCACAGCTGTCCCAGCTGGAGCGCGAGCGCTTGGAGCGATTGGGGATACCACCTCCCGGGGGACCCCCCGGTCCGCCCACGGGCCCGCCCGGTGGGCCACACGTTCCGCATCACCCCGCGCACGCAGCCCAGCTCGAAGCAGCCGAACGTTTGGCCTTGGCCACGGATCCTATGGTAAGTTTCCCATCCGCACGGACACCCTTGATAATTGCGGATTAGGTACGGCTACAGATGGCGGGAATATCGCCGGAGTACCACGCCCACACGCACGCCCACACTCACGCCCACACTCACCTCCACCTCCACTCGCAGCAGCAGCAAGCGCAGCAGGAGGCGGCCGCGGCCGCCGCAGGATTCCCTCTTCCAGGTGACCGTAACTCTTTCCCACAAGCGACCGACTAACTTTCTACATTAGGCACGCCCGGGTATCCGCGACCGAGCTTAATTCCGGGACGAGACGGTCCTCTAGGCTTACATCACCCCGATCTCCTAGGCCGACCTTACGCCGACCAATTAGCTCATCAGGTAACGAGGGGGGGGATAGATATCCGAGATCGCTAACGAAAGTCTTACAGGCGGCCGCCCACGAGCAATTGCAAAGACAGATGCTACTCGAACGGGAACGATTTCCTCCGCACCCGTCTCTGGTCGCCCAGCACGAGGAGTACCTCAGGTAAGCGTTATCTTTCACTTTGGGCGTCCTCATGAACACAGCTTGCCGCTACTGGGATCATCGCTATCGATTATATATGCGGCAAAATCTTAATGCATGGCTGTTGTGAATACAGTGAGATGCTCGCGTTCGGGGGGTTCGTTTGCACACACTTTCCCGAATTGAAAATTGAGAAAAAAACGCGCGGCTCGTTCGAGTGTCTCACCCATATTCGCCGACTTGAGTATATATAATCGTGCCCGCTTACGCTAACAAAACCATTGACACAGTTGCTGCACTCGCTAATACGTTTTGTGTCGTTATGTGTTCTCATACTTTTCTTTTCGTTCGGTTTATGAGTATTAATTTTGTCTATTGTATTTTTCATAGGTACCTTTTACGATCCAATCTACCTCCAAATTATAAAAAATAAAACCCGAGTACGATGGTTGTAGCGCGAAATAAAAATGTCAATGTCATGTTTAGCTTTTCCCTTGACATTTCTAAGACTTTTTGTTTGCAGACAACAGAGAGAAAGGGAACTTAAAGTCAGGGCGCTGGAGGAAGCCGCCAGAGGATCTAGGCCTTAACGGTTCGTTACAGACGCGCGCGTGACGCTGTAATTTAATCGTGTGCCTATTTTTTCAGAAACTAGTACGGCAGAGTACGGCGTTTCATTCCCCTTTTCTTTTGTTTTTGCGTTCAGTTTTTTTTTATGAACCGCGTACTATTTTCTATACGTAGCGAGCAACTTAGGTGTATGTCTAAATAAATGAACCGCGTACCGCTATTTCTAATTAATCAATGTATACAAGCAAAACCGTTTCATTTTTTAAATATCCTTTGCAATGATAGTACATAATTTTATAATAAAAGTGAAGATATCGATGTTAGTATTAGATAGGCCCAAACCTTAGGTGCGATAGTTGGTTGTTTTTGTTATTAATTTTTATATATAAACGAGTGGGTCAGATTGTACATAAACTCTTACAAATCTTGGTGTTTTATCTGTGTTATTTTTATTTTCGCAATCTCCTTTGTGCCTGTGACTGTATATTTCTTACTCGTTGCGTGACTGCACCGGTAAGGAAACAACCGCCTTCCTTTCCGCAGTATTAATTCGTCGAGTAAGGAATTTTTGCTATTTTTATTGTACATTATTTTAGACAAATTTTACAATGTAAATATGGGGTCGACTACTTTTTATTTATTTTTTTAATTTATTTTAAAAACGTTTTTATTTGTCCCCTCCCCCTTTCTCTTTTTTTTTCATTTAAAAATCGTCAATAAATGTTTTGCCAAAGAATTTTCATTTGAATATGATTTGAGAAAAATAAATACAAAAAAGTGTTCATCTCCTCAAACTTTCTTTGAAAATAAAAAAAATACTCTAGTTTTTAAGAAATTCAAAAATGTATAAATTTACAGTATTTAAATAAATTAATTGATTTGTATTTTAAATTTAGTCCCTCCTTCTCTCACACCGGCAACATCCCCTGATCATTTCGAAATATCCCTTCAAACTTTCAGAATACAATGTGTCTTAATTTGAGTAGGATAACATGGCTATTTTTGTTATTATTATACTTACAGATTCTCGGCTAAATTGGCAAAGTTTTGTAGTTTTTTATGTTGATAGATATTCCGATGCGATATTAAAAAAAAAATAAATTGTTTTTAAGTTCGAATTTTTTTGTAACAGGGCTATCGAAAAAAGTTGCAAGAGTCGATGGGATCAATTCAATGGACATAGAAAAAATTTTTCAAAATGGCGGTTTTTGAGATATGGACATTACCCTTATTTTAGATGGACGCCATATTGGATTTTTTGTATTACAATCAAATAATAAACATAGGTAAAATTACAATTTTCACTTTTTCTTCATAGTTGGCCAAGCAAACAATTGACATTTTGCAATGTTACAATTGTCTGGCCGGCCAGTAGTTTTATTAAAGAATTAATTAACATAAAAAAATATAATAACGGAATTTAAAATTACAGCATTCGTTATTACCTAAGCGCATTCGGCACGGTTTGGCTACTACAGCACCTTACGCAATGTATTCCTATTAAACAAATATTATATTGTAAAATGACAATTAGGCCTCTATGCTAGTTTTGTTTCCATGGCCAACTATGAAGAAACAATCACAATTGTTATTTTACCCATGTAAAAATCTAATATGGCGTCCATCTAAAATAAGGAAGTTGACGTCAATATCTCGAAAACCGCCATTTTGAATAAATGTTTTCTACGTCTATTGAATTATCCCATCGATTCTTGCAACTTTTGAAACTGTTATTTCCATTTTTTCCAATTATCTACGAAACAATTGATTTTTTTCAAAATATCGCATTGGAATATCCATGAGTATCAAAGACTACACAACTTTGTGTTAACCGAATTTGTAACTATAACAATAAGTAAGATAGCCGTTATCCTACTCAATTTAACACCCTGTATAGGTATTAATAATTATGCTGCCTCGTTGAAACGAAAAAAAAGGACCAATCCGCAACAAGTTTGGCTTTCCTGCCATTTGCAGTGGAGACATTCGGACCATTGTATGAAGAAGCAGGGAAAGCGGCGGCCCCAAATCCAGATCATAGCTGACTCGGTGCATAGGAATTGAAATAGAACGCGGGAACATTCCAATCTGGAGAGACCCTCTCGGAAATTTTTTACAATTTAGACACCCATTATGGTTAATAATAATGATAATAGTTATAGATATAATTTACGAAGGCGTAGAACGGACAAGGTATCTCAAATTATATAATCCCGAGAAAAGTCGGGATTAAAAAGTCAGGATTATACTAATTCCGAGAAAAAAGTCAGGGTTATACTAATCCTTTTTTCTCGGGATTAATATAATCCCGACTTTTTTCTTGGGATTATATAATTTGAGCTACCTTGTCCGTTCTACGCCTTCGTAATAATTACATATTGTAAACTTCATATTTTATAAACATAATTAGTAACGAACGACCCAGGGCGATCATAATTTTAGTTTTTCTATCTTGTCTGTGTACAGGGTGATCCAAATTGGATACTTTTCTTATGGAAACGCCCTTTATTTTAAGAGATAGGAAAAAATGGACCTAGGTGTCTGAAGCCCAATTTTAAAGAGAAAATCGCTGGCGCAAAAACTAATCGTTTGGCCGCTAGAGGGCGTTTCTCGAATTTAATCTATTTCCTCAATGTCCGATAACATTCTTATTATTAAAGATAATTGATTTTAGCAAAATACCACTTTTTGATGTAGACTCATTTGCGATACACGCTTTTTATACAGGGTGTTTGGATTTTCTTATGCGACCCTAAACTATATTTTTTCGTGTGGACCACCCTATATATTTTGGAGTTCTTGAAAAGAGCGTAAAATTTGATGTATCACTGCATTTTATACATTAAGAAGCTTTTGTTGTAGGCATCAAGGTTTCCATGGTGAACAAAAGATTGCAGAATTGTTTAAAACGGCAATTTCTCGGTTAGCTGTAGTGTCCATTTATACAGGGTCGCCGATAAGTTTGGAAACGATCAATTATCGGCGAAAATATACAAGATCTCGAAATATGTTTTATATAAAAGTTTTGGGGGTCTTCAATGTCTACTAGGCAGTAATAATTTTAGTTATACAGGGTTGCTCATACAGGTGCGGCACACCAAAATTGCATTTTTTTAAAATGGGACACCCGGTATATTTTTCAATATTTCAATTTTAAGTAAAATTTGTAATAAGCATTAAATTCAATCGTTTCCGGGTTATCGAGTTTTGAAAATTAACGCTATTATTTCAAAATGAACAAAAAATAATAATTGATATATCCAAATAATTATAACAAAAGAAATTCGTAATGTCACTGATTATTGTTCTTTATTCAAAACTCGAAAACGATTGCATTTATTATCGCTTTTTACAAATTATGCTCAACATTGCGAGAAAAATTTAAATATCGAACAATATACAGGATGCTCTATTTAAAAAAAAGAATATTAGCGTGCCACGCCTTTACGACCAACCCTGTATAATTAAAATTACTACTGCCTAGTAGACATTAATGAATCTCAAATGTTTAATAATATATAATAATAATCGACCGTTTCCAGACTTATCAGCGATCCTGTATATGACTTATTTGATTTATTCGCATGTGTTTTCACGTTCTTTCTTTTTTGTGTTATTTGAAATTAAAAATATTTGGAAAATAATAAACATTTCCAAATAATCAAGAAATTATCTTTTTACACAATCGGCACGATCTTTTGTTCGCCATGGAAGTCTAGATTCCTACAAGAAAAACATTTTGATGTATAAAATGCAATATTGCAAATAATATTTAATATAAATATAATAAGTGATACATCGAAATGTTCTCTTTTCAAAAACTCAAAAATATATCAGGTGGTCCATATAAAAAATATAGTTTAGGATGCTATAAGAAAAACCAAACATTCTGTATTAAAAACTGTATTGGGATGGATTTTACATAAAAAGTACTTTATGAAAGACTTTATCAAAATCAATTACCTTTAATAATAAGAAAGTTATTTGGGGGGGAGGGGGGCATTAAGGAAATCGACAAAATTCGAGACACGCCCTCTAGCGGCCAAACGATTAGTGATGGCTGAATTCGATTTTCTCTTTAAAACTCGGCTCCAGACACATACGTACGTAGGTACAATGTTTTCTCTCTTAAAATAAAGGGTGTTTGCATAATAAGTGTCCAATTTGGACCTCCCTGTACATAATAGCTCGCGAACAGTTTCGAATTTTCCAAGCATTTTTTTAGGGCGCCAATGTCTATGATCATGTAAGGTAAATTTAATCACGTGAATTATTTATTTACAACTAACAACTAACTTGAAAATGTCTAACAGCGCGAACTATTTAGTACCTACTTCGCCGTTGAAAGTGGCACTGTCTGAAACGCAATTCGCTTGGCTTATATAGCAAACTAAAGTTCTCGTACGCTTCCGAGTATTCTAAAATGTTGTCGAACAAACACGTCATATTTCCCGGAAAGATCGCCCTCACATCCGCCTTCGTTCTTTATCGCCGATGTCTAATCTTTCATGGTGCGCGATGTCTATCGGGATTTCTAGAATATTTGCTACAGTATTTTACACGCGTCAAACAGATTAATTTGTCTTGCGGTAGACTTAAAAAAGAGTTTGGATGCCTAGTATACAGGGTGCCTGTTTTTCGAGCTCCAACATGGGAATCTCGGTTATTTGCAATATGCGAAAATTCGTATGTATATTCAGATGTTGGCGAGATTTTTGAAATTTTCAATTTTAGATTTTCCCTTGTATTTCGAAAACGCATTATTAAATCACTTTTATCAGGAATCCAAATATGTTATCGAAAAATTCAAGGCACTCTAGACTTGAAAGTTACAGTAGATAACTTTTTTATTTCTTATGGCAGCCATATTGAATTTGAGCATTTTTGAATAAAGCTCGTTTATCTGATTCAAATTATGAAATGATACTGTATGTGTTAATCCTCTACAGGGAGCTGTACCTAAACGATTCTGAGAAAGTGAAATAGGTAGATGTTTTTGAAAATTTCTGCTTAGGAGGTAGTGACCTTTGCATTTCTTTATATTGTATTTGTGTTTGTATGTCGCATTTTATATTTACTGTTTGTTTCAACCTTTGATTTTGAAGTTGATCGTATTTGACCTTTATGCTGATTCATGTGTTTGATACCGTTAATCTTTTGTCTGAAATCGCGTTAATTTTGGGTGTAGTGTTTGTCAACTTAGATATATTCTATTTTTGATCATTCTTTTAAACATGTGGAACGAATTGTTTGATGTGTACTGACTTGTTCGTAAACTAACATTTTCGCTTTGAACAGACGGTCAGGGGGGTGGAAAAAACTGTAACCAAACGAGTTAGGACACTCTATACCTGGACTGATATTGATAATGAACTGTATGCTCGAGACCACGAACGAGGGGTTAGTTATCTATCTCGAGGGCGAGATTCCGCTATGTATCAAACTTTTTGTAAAATTGGAAAGGTCTTTTTGGATTGCTATATCTAGGAGAGCATTGATATCGCATTAAAAGTACGGCTTTCGCAATCGATTTAATAACAAACTTGGTATAATATATACAAATAAACGGATATGTCTAAACGAGTTAATTACACGCGGCCTGATGGCTGAGCAACTGGGAGGCGGGTATGAGATCCGAGCAGAATTCGCACGGCAACTCGACGTCCGGCGATCCGGGCTCGGGCGAAAGTAGGAAGCTCATGTCGTCGATCTCGCGCCGCTGATTGTAACGGGCCAGGTCGGGACGGCAGCCGGTCTCGTGCTCGATCAGCTCCTCGTGCGGGATCGGCGTGCCGCAAAACTCGCACGGAATCACGAGGGCGGTGGGCGGATTGCGACGGGCGCGGTAACGCGGGACCGCCCCGGTCGAACGTATCGGCGCGGTGATGCTGGCCGAGTCGTGAAGCAGGTTTCTTATGTACTCGGTCTTGCAGTCGAGTCGGCGCGATATCTCTCGGCTCGTCTCCAATTTTTCGCCGGTGCTGCTCGTGGTGGAGAGCATGGAACGACCGGGCGGGTGCGACGAGTATATCGGAAAGTCGAGGTCGGTCATTAGAGCCGTTAGCGGTACGGGACGGCGAGAGGTCTGGGGGGCGGGTCGCGTCCCCGAGCCGACGTACCCGTGATTGCTATCGAGGTGCAGCTGCCGGTACTTGAACATGACGTTCTCCCCGCAATCTTGGCACTTTTCGGTACGAGCGCCGCAGTAGTCTTCGTGCTCGCCCAGCTCGAATTTGGGCAACTCGATTTCGCAGTACTGGCACGGGAGTAAATCTTTCGGCGGCGGTGGTCGTTTCCCGGGAGGCTCCTTTGCTTTGGAATGACCTACGGTCTCACCGATGTTTGTGAACTTTTCCAGTCGTTCCATGCGTTTTTCCTGACGCTGTTGCGACTTCTTATCCTCGATCTCTTTGCGTGCGGTAAAATACGAGCTCTGCTCTATTTTGGTTGGAGGCACGGTAGGCTTTACGATCGGCTTCGCTTTCGGCACACAGGTCTTTGCGTGCTGCTGAAACTCGTTCTTCGGTATCGGCTCCTTGCACGTGCCGCACAAGGTGATGTTGCGAGCACAATGCGCCGTGTGCATGACATAGTTATAGTGCGGTATCTCGCGCTTGCTACAACTTCCGTTTAACAAAGAGCTCGGCCACAAATGAGTAACTTACCAGTTCGCGCAGACCTCCAATTCGACGTTATCGGCCATTTTCCTAATTCACTGGAACAAAAGCTAATCGGTTACTGCATGGAAAGGCCAACTAAAAAGGTCAACTAAAAATATAGTCCAAGCAGAATTAGCATAAAGTGGGATAAAGTCTCTTACCTTCCCGGATATTTTGGGATTACCTTTAAACATCCAAAACTTATTTCTGGAACATTTTAATTTCGCATCCACTATTTTTATATCAAACGTAATTCGTGAACGTAATACAAATAAATCAATTTAACGGTTAAAAAAAAACTTATTCCTGCTATGCGCCGTTACTCATTCCCGATAATGCCTAATCTTCCCCTTCTATTAAAGAAGATTGGTTCATGAATAAAAACCTTGTTCACTTATCAGTAATGCATAATAAGATAAACTGCATTTAGATTTAGCATTGTCCTTCCGCCCGGTACATACGTGAGTAGTTCAAAAGTAACACAATGATGGCGAACAGTAGTTCTAGTCGTACAAGAAGTAGTTTGAAAGTATCGCGTGAGTAGTTTATTTGATCCATTTCATGAAAAAGAGTGTTTTTCCACATTTTCTTAGGCCCTTTCTCATTCGTTTCTAGGTCATTTCCCGGGGAAAAATCTAGAAATCACTGGGAAATCGACACAACGCCCTTTAGTGCAGATGCTGTATAAATCCTCATACAGGGTGTTTCCGAAATCTACTTGCATAAAAAATGTAGACATAGGGAAAAACAATACACCTAAATCCCTATGTCTACTTTTTAATAAATAACACCGTATACGACTCTTAGAAAAGGCCTAGGAAGCTCTTAATAAAACTGCTCCAGATAGTTTTGTAAATCCCTAGAAAGTCCCGGAAGGCGCTTAACTTAAAGCGAACATAACAGCACGATCGATTGCTTTAAAAATAGGGTGTGAGGGAGGTAAGGAGGGACGTTTTTTTCATTAACAATTCTGACTGTGGCTCAAATACCACCAGGCGCTCTAGGAGATACTCACATAAGTGCTTTCAATTGCTTCCCCCATTAAAAAAACACTTCAACAGTCTTAAATGTACAACAAAAAAATGGCGAACATTACAAATAGCATTTACTTTTGTTGAAATGCTCAAATTTCAGCAACTCAATTTCGCAGTACGGCCCCGGGAGTAAACCTCTCGCCGTGGTTGTTTCGCGGGTGGCTCTTTTACTTTGGAATGACCTGCCGTCTCGCCAATATTTGTGAACCTTTCCAGCCGTTCCAGGCGCCTCTTTCGACGCTGTTGCGACTTCTTATCCTCGATCTCTTTGCGCGCTGCAAAATACGGGCTTTGCTCTATTTTGGTTAGCGGAATCACGACCGGTTTCACTTCGGGCATGCAAGTCTTCGCGTGCTGCTGAAACTCGTTCTTGGGTATCGGCTGCTCGCAGGTGTCGCACAGGGTGATGTTGCGAGCACAATGCGCCGTATGCATGACGTAGTTACAGGGCGGTATTTCGCGCTTGCTGCAACTTCTGCGTAACAAAGAACTCGGCCAACAAGTGGACAACTTACCAGTTCGCGCAAATTTCCAATTCGACGGTATCCGCCATTTTTCTATTTCGGAGATAATAGGGATGACTAATGTGTATGATAAGATAAATAATCTGTTTTCGTTACGCTTGGTGCAAATGGACAAAAACATATACAAATACATAACAGATATGATATTGCGCCTGCGGGCGGAGTTGTGGGGATTTTCTCTTTCAATGAAGTGCCTTTTTGTTGAATTTGTTAACAAAATGTGGCGTTCTGCGGTTGGTTGTACCACAACTTTTTATAACGCGAGCGACCCATTTCTTCATATTTTGCGCAGGTCCGTAGCCAGGATGAAGTGGCAGAGGTGGCAAACAGCTTTCTAGGTGGGCGGAAGAAAAAAGCATTGAGTACTGAGTACCAGCTCTCTACAGATCAAAGGCTAGAAATGACAAATTGGACAATCTTTAACGTGTCATTGCTATCCTTTGAGGTTTATTTATCCTCGCTAAGGTAATAAATAATTAATACTATCGTAGATGGGGCCAGACCATGCTCCAGGTGCTGGCTACGGGCCTGATTTTGCGTTTACGTTTATAATTTCAACTTTCTCCCATAAACAATTACAATGAAGAAATTTTAGTAAACAAATCCCATAAGAATTTCACTTTAAATTCAAATTTTAAGCTTCGCATGACGTCATGCGCGGATATAAACAATGGCGGGGAACAGTAGTTCTAGTCATATAAGAAGTAGTTTGAGTGTCGCGTGAGTAGTTTATTTGACCCATTGCAGAAAAAGAAAGTTGAACTGTTCTCCAGGGCTGGACTGCACATGCACATTTAGGGTACCGGGAAAATTCCCAGAGCCCTTCACTATTTTTAAAAACTCATAAGCACTCAAAAGACCCACCTTTTAGAGAGAAGAGAGGATCGTAAGGGTTCCAAAAGCTTCTGAAGATTCTTAATGCTCTTCGAAACTGTTTCAAACGCTCAAAAGAGGGATTTCTAAAGGCTTCAAAGTGCAGTGGCGTATTTACGGGGGGGGGGGGGGACGGGGATGAAGGGGATATATGCCCCCCACCCCCACCCACCCCCAGAAGAATTGAGTTATCATCATAGCTATTAGGTATTTAGGTAATACTCCGCTATCCGCTTCGCCCACTTTAAAATAAAGGCAATAAATATATAGGTATATATAGGAGCAATTTTGGTTTTGGTTAAAGTCTAATTAAAGTCACTAAAATCTAAATATTCTGTAGTATTCACTATTCAGTGACTGATCAGTGTTGGCAGTCAACGATTTGGCTATTCGGCATCGATCGGCAATTCGCTACATTGATGCCCAAAATAACAAATAGGTATCAGGTACTTAGTACTGCTACTGAGGTGAGGTACCTGCGTCCTGCCTTTCACAAAATGACGAAAATAAGACTTAAATTTTAAAAACAGGAATTTTTGTTGGCCAGAACTTTTGATTGAGACGTCTAATCGAAAAAGTACGAATCGTTTTGGATTCTACGCACACAAATTAATAAGAAAAAGTTTTTTCCCGAGAAATTTTGGTGCAGTCGATTTTTGGTAAAAAAGGAAGGTAATAACTGCCTTTTTTTTGCCCAGAAAAAAAATTGTCTCAGATCGACCGGAAAAAAATATTTTCTTATAGAATGTGGCCTGTAGAATCCATAATTTCAAACAGTTCCAAGATCGGACTACTAGATCAAAAGTTACAGCCCTTTGAATTTTTTGTCGAAATTGGTTTTTTGCCCATAAATATACCTATTATTCAAAGTTTTCGTTGACTAATTAAAGCAAAAGCAATAAAGGGGCCTGTCAGCAGTAAGAAATAAAATACCGTTCTAATCTAATCTTTTTCGCCTGCAGCTCAGCAACCTGCAACCCAATTTCTATTTCTTACCCCCCCCCCCTTCTAGTACGCCAGTGGTGACTGTATGTGCCACGAACTTGTTTAATCCCCCCCAGAATAAATTTCTACGTACGCCACTGTCAAAGTGTATAGTATTTTCAAAAGCCCCTAAGGACATGCAAAACTAATAAAAGTCGTTGAATTCTCATCTCAAACTTCTTAACATTTACTTGGATCAGATGAATATAATCAACGAGGAGTAGTTTCTGCTCCTAACAGGCGGAGAATCAATTATTACATTGTTGTACAATTTCTACCAGGAGAACATAATGACTGTGGAGCTGTTTTTCCACCTACAGATACATTTAACCCATTTAGAAATACAATAAAATAAAAAATTGAATTTAAAAACTATTTGCATTCGAAATGTTATTTAAATGAGAAAATTCCGGAAAACTTCAAACTATTTCCATAGCTCTGGAAAACTTTTAGCTTTCCAGGACCTTATAACGCTGGAAAACACTTTTTGCGTCTCTCTAGAACGGTCTAGATTTTTTTTTACAATGTAGGTCCTTTCTAAACCGTTTTCAGACCTTTTTCCAAAATTTCTCCAGAAACATGTGCACCTAGAAACACTGGAGACATTCAGGGAAATCGACACAATACTCTACTGATACTGCATAAATCAAAGTTGGGTGCGCTACTTTTTCTGTCCGGTCGTCTGTCCGAGGCCTTATCTATTCCACAGTTTTCAATCTATTTAGTTCGTTCTTTTTACATGCTACTGGCACCTGAGCGAAAGAAAATCTTGACGCAATTTTCTTATTTACTAATATATTTTGCTGAAACCACAAGTGCTTCTGTAAAGGCAAACATATCGCATATTGTAAAAATTAAATGTGCGCATGCGTAATGCCAACTTTATAATTTGACATTTTAACCATAGATGCTGCTAGTAAAGAAACACATATGACGCTCTAAAAAGGCATTGCAAGGTCCTAGAAAGTTCCGCCGGAGGGCGTCCGCGATCAAACGGACCTCCTAGCTGTCATAATAATAATAATAATTTAAAGGCACATAAGATGCAGAAGTTTCCTGAGGATAGTTTTCGAAGGCCTCCTTTGTACTTTGACTAAAAGCGTTTGAAATTTCAAATTTTGTCTACGTCCACCCTCGGCGAGGTTACTGTTTTGCCCCCCCCCCCCCCCCCCCATTAAAAACACCTCCCAACAGTCTTAAATTTACTATTTACAAAAAAAATGGCGAACATTATTACAATAGCAATTGTTTCTTCTGCCTCTTTTCCGAAATTTTGTTCTTCAAATCCTGCTTGATGCTGTACGTCGAGTACGCGACCTCCTCGTCGTATTTGAGCGTCGTCGTCGACGTGTAGCTGTGATCGGTGTACTCCGTCTTGCATCTGATCGCCGAGGTCTCGAGAAGTTTCTTCGGCGAGGGCGCTGCCGACTTGTTCTTGATCTGGAGCTGCTCCTCGTAGGTGTGGTTCTTGACGTGCTTCCTCAGGCTGCTCGGGTCCGTGTACTTCTTCTGGCAGCCGTGGACCTGACAGGCGTAGGGTTTCTGCAAAGGGTCGGTTAGTCGAGGCGGAGGTTTCGCGTGGGATTACCGTGTCGAAGTGCGTGCGCTGGTGTTTCGCGCGGTCCGAGCTGTTGGAGAAGCTCTTTTTGCAGCTGGAGAACTGGCAGAGATAGGGACGTTCGCCCGTGTGGCTGCGCTGGTGTATTTTTAGGTTTTCCAAGCGTGAGAACGCCTTGGTGCAGCCTTTGAACTGAACCCACTGTTAGTTGACATTTTGGGAAAAGGTGGTACTTACGGGGCATTTGTTGGGCTTTTCTCCGCTGTGGACGCGCATGTGGATTAGAAGTTTGTAGCGGGCGTTGAACGGTTTTGTTTTTCGTGGGCAGTTGCTCCAAAAGCACGTGAACTCTTCGCCTGCAAGTGTTTGGGGATTAATCGGTGGGTGGATCGCATACGGAATAGTTACCTCTTTTGATTTCTACGTGATTTTTCTCGATGTGGCGTACTAAGGACGACTGGCAATCGTAGAGCTGGTAGCAGTCCTCCCACTTGCACAGCAAGTGCTTGGTATCTTCGTAGTCGGTGCTCACTTCCGACTCTTGGCTTTCGGAGTCGTACCGCTGGGCGCGTATGGGGTAGATGAGGATGCTACTGGAGCTCAGAAGAGGATCGTTGCGTAAAAGTGCAGTCTCCTGGTCGACAACGATTTGGTTGGTCAGATCGCTTTGGTAATCGAAGTTGTTGGTAATTTTTCCACCGATCAGATGCCCGAAGGACGCCGGCGTCGTCGCGTGGTCACCGAAACGCAGCGACCCCGGCTCCGTGTAGCGGAGGAAGTTTGTAAAGTCGGGCGCCTCGACCGGCTGCTCGGAGAAGGCCTCGTCGTCGTCGTCGCAGAACTCCAACGGAAAACTGTCGATGTCGAAGGAGGAGTTCGAGAGTGTTTCGCACAAATCGGACAGGTCGATGTCGTCGAGGTCCGAGCTTTGCTGGCCGAAGGGCAGGGGGACGAAGAACGGGGGGTCGCCCTTTAGCTGACGATCGAAGCATTGCGAAAAGCTGTCGAAGTCGAAGTTCGAGCACGTCTCGTTTTCGTTGTCGTTTTCGAATAAGTAATTGTCGACGACGAAGTCGTTTTCGTACGAGTCGATGTTGTTGAAGCAATTCTCGTCGAAGTTGCTCAAAATTTGCTCGTGATTATTAAATTGGGCGTCGTAAAATGCGGCCGTGAATTTTTCCGCGAGCTCCGCTTGCGTATGCATCATGTAGAAAAATCACTGAACCGAACCGCGAAAGCACTTGTGTCATATGGAGGGTTGTTTTAATACTGATATAAGCTATAATAAGACGTTTGAAATTCATTAACATCTGTCGAGGTTTAAAAGTGCCGCAAAAAACCAAACACTGCTCGCACTCCCTCTCGCTCTTTTGTTTTTATCGCGCATTGTTAACCCCGCGTGTTGCGTAACCCGAAAATGGCGGGAGAACTTTGCACGTGTGGTTTTTCAAATTTTTTCCCTTCCCCCTTCGACTATTGCGACGAGGAGACGCATCGGCGTTACCATCTTCTGCAATTGTAAAAGTAAAATTCGAAAAAAAATGCTCATTATTCGAGTTTTTGTGAGGACTTGGCTCGCTTCGAACACGTGTTTCGACAGTCTGGAAAGGAGTAAAAAAGAATTGAAAAACAAAAAATTACGCTCGCTGTGTGGATGGGAGGTTGGATGCTAGAGTTATTTTATATTTGTATAAAATATTATGATAAAAACCAGCTGCATCTCTTGTGACACGTTAATAGTGTTTCGGTTTTTTTTTTTGGTACGCTCGCTTTGTTCTTGACGAGCTTATTATAGCATCTTGTCCTACTAGGAGATGAAATTGTAAAAATAGAAGTCCATATTTACACTTTCGGCAACCTACCTGGACGAAAATGGCACATGTGCATAAGTAGGTACTCAAATTTGTGCTGGAAAACTCAGAATTTTTGTTGTAGTGTGGTTTGCAGATCGGCAGGCGCTCCTTCCGGGGTTAAAGGTGAATAATCTTACATTTGCCAAAACACACCATTGAATTGCACTTGTAAATGACGAGTCCAACGGAACCAGAAGGTTTTATGAAAAAAAATATTTATGTTCTCCTGATTCTTGCATTCGAAAAGGTGTGAAAACTAATGACGCACCTGTGTTATGCTTTCCTGATACAAGTTTCCCTTTACAGTACGAAAAATTGCCTAAAAGTCAACGTAAACAATTACCTTCTTACCTTTTATGGTGTCCTGATTCACACAAATATTGTGCATGAAATTTATTGACGGGCGCAGGTCCTCCAGATCCCAATTTCGCATCTTAGTGCAAGTAAAGGGTTATGGAAATTAAGAACATACCTCCTCTCACGTTTTATGATCTCCTGACACAAATTCCCATTAAAAGGTGTGAAATTTACTGATGGACGATTATCCGGATTTATTTTTACGTAAGTTGATCTCAATTTCGCATCAAACAGCACGTAAAAGGGTGTGAAAAATATTGCCGAGCAACCTTATGGTCTCCTGATACAAATTTCCTCAAAAATTGTGCTTAAAAAGTGTAAAATTTATTTACGGGCTGTTTCTCGCACACTACGTCCTCTGGATTTCAATTTCGCATAAAGTGCACGTAAACGGGGTGTGAAAATTATTTACGAGCTGCATTTATAGTCTCCTGACACAAATTCTCTTGAAATTTGTACGAAAAAAGGTGAGATTTTATTAACGAGCGGTTTCTCGCATATTTTGCGACTTTTTTGTCGCATATCTACGCCTTCTGGATCCCAATTTCCCATCAAAGTGCACGTAATAAGGTGTGAAAATTATTGACGAACACCTTCTCACCTCTTATAGTATCCTGATACAAATTCCCTTAAGTAATGCGTAAAAATTTATTAACGAGCAGGTTCTCGCATATTTTTACGTACTCTGGATTCCAATTTCGCATTAAAAGTGCACGAAAATGTGTCTGAATGTGATTGCCGAACTCCCTTTCACCTCTTATGGTATCCTGTTACAAATTCCCTTAGCAGATGTGTAACAAACATCTGAAATTTATTGACGGGCAGTTTCTCGCATATTTTTCTGGATCCCAATTTTGCATCAAAGTGCAGGTAAAAGGGTGTGAAAATTATTGACGAACACCCTCTCACCTCTTATGATTATTCCGATACAAATTCCCGTAAGGAATGTGTAAAAAACCATTTGAAACTTATTAACGGGCAGCTTCTCGCATATTTTTAGGTCCTTTGGATCCCAATTTCGCGTTAAAGTGCACGTAAAGGGATGTGAAAGTTAAGGATATACACCCTCGCACTTTTTATGATCTCCTGGCACAAATTTCCATATAAAGATGTGAAATATATTGACGAGCTGTTTCCCGAATATATTTTTACGTCATTTGGATTCCAATTTCGCATTAAAGTACACGTAAAAAGGTGAGAAAATTATTAACGAGCTCCCTCTCACCCCTTATGGTATCCTGATACAAATTCCCATAGGAAATGTGTTTTTAAAAAACATCTGGAATTTAGTAACGGGTAGTTTCTCGCATATTTTTACGTTCTTTGGATCCCAATTTCGCTTCAAAGTGCACGTAAAAGGGTGTGAAAATGATGACGAGCACCTTCTCACCTCTTATGGTATCCTGATACAAATTCCCTTAAGAAATGTGTAAAAAAAAACATCTGCAATTTATTGACAGGCAGCTTCTTGCAATATTTTTACGTTCTTTTGGATCCCAATTTAGCATTAAAGTGCACGTAAAAGGTTGTGAAAATGATTGACGAACTCCCTCTCAACTATTATGGTATCCTGATATATTCCCTTAAGAAATGTGTAAAAAAAACATTTGAAGGATTATTGACGGGCACCTTCTCGCATATTTTTAGGTCTTGTGAGTCCCAATTTCGTTTTAAAGTGCACGTAAAAGGGTCTAAAAGTCATTGAAGAACTCCCTCTCACATCTTATGGTAACCTGATACAAAATCTCTTAAGAAATGTGTAAAAAACATCTGAAATTTATTGAAGGGTGGTTTCTCGCATATTTTTACGTCGTTTGAATCCCAATTTCGCTTCAAAGTGCACGTAAAGGGATGTGAAAATGATTCGTGAACACCCTCTCACCTCTTATGGTATCCTGATACAAATCCCCTTAAGAGATGTGTAAAAAACATCTGAAATTTATTGACTGACAGTTTCTCGCATTTTTGTAAGCCCTGTGGGTCCCAATTTCGCATTAAAGTGCACCTAAAAGAGTGAGAAAAGTATTACCGAACACCCACCCTTCTTTACTCTTTTATAATGATTTCCAGAGAGATCTCTAGGTTCTTTGGGGACATGTCTAAGGGCGTATAGCAATGGAACATGCCTCGAAAGTTCGAAGAGCTTATGGAAACGCTTAAGAATAGACACTAGGAGACAGCTTGTTAACGTTTTCTTGAGTAATGGGGCGCAAATTAGCGCTTTTCCAGAGTATTTAAACGTCTTAACTGAAAGAAAAGAAGGTAAATAGTGATTTTCAGAAATCATCAATTTTCCGCCATTTATTTGTATATATGCCTTTACGAATTACATGTAAACACGCCATTATAGTTTGCTTGTGTTAATGTGCTGCCATCTATTGGAGACGCCACCAGATAATAACTAACCTTAAAATAATCCAAAAAGTTTAAAAGTCATTGTTTGAATTATTCATAAATAAACCACCTTTACGGGAATATTTCGTTTAATTTTCGTTTTAAAATAAAATTGGAAATGTCTACAAGAAAGCTGCTAGACTTTAGGAACCTGTTGAGTGAATCGAAAAACATCGCAATCCTAACAGGGGCCGGCGTATCGGCGGAGTCCGGTATTGGCACCTTTCGGGGCCCCTCGGGAATGTGGAGGACTCATAACGCCGTCGATTTGGCGACACCTACGGCGTTCGCCTCAAATCCGTCGCTCGTATGGGAGTTTTATCAGTGGCGACGGTCCGTCGCGTTCAACGCCAAGCCCAACGACGTACGCTTACTTCTCGACCGGTCCCCGAGTCTAAACTGACTTGTTTCAGGCCCACCTGGCGCTCGCGAAATTCGAAGAGCGCTGCAACCGGGAGAATCGGCAGTTCACCTTACTAACGCAAAACGTCGACGGTTTACACATTAAAGCCGGTTCGAAGAACGTTCTCGAGATTCACGGCTCGATACGGAAAGTCGTGTGTACAAAGTGCAAGTTTGTCGACGAAAATTTGGACCAGCCGATCTGCGAGGCGCTACGAGGAAGAGGGTAACTGTCCCGACGCTTCCGTAAGGGTTGTAATACGATTGTAGGGATCCTAACGGGGGAAATCAGAGCGCGATTCCGGTCGGCGAATTGCCGAAGTGCAAGAGATGCTCGTCTTTGGTACGGCCGTTCGTAGTCTGGTTCGGGGAGAATTTAGATCGCGACGTTCTGAAGAAGTGCCGTAAGGTTACGCGTGGGACCGGTGGCGTTAATCGTCCTCGATTTTAGGTAAGGTCGTGGAGACCTGCGACTTGTTTCTCGTGGTGGGAACGTCGTCGGTCGTATATCCGGCGGCTTCGTTTGCGCCGTTCGTCGCCGATAGAGGGAAGCCGGTTGCCGAATTTAACATCGAGGATGAGCCTGCGTCTTCGACATTTCAGTGAGTCTGATGATGGGGAAAGGATGTTGGTGGATAATTCGCGTAGGTTTTACTTTGCAGGACCGTGCGGAACTACCTTACCGGCGGCTTTGAGTGAAGAGTGATTGGTGGTGGATTTACCAGTGGGGACCAATGCCTCCATTTTTTATTGCATATCAAATAAATATATTAAAGCAAAAAGTGACCTTAGCTTAAGTATACCATGTACCAGGAGAATGTAATGTTGGAGGAGGTGTTTTTGCTCCTAATACACAGACCGTCAGTTTGCAAACTTTTGGCTACCAACAGAACTTGATAGATGTGGAGGTCTTTCCATTAACCACTGATCCTAAGAAGCCGAAGGGTACAAAGATCGAAAAATGTCATAGCATGAGAAGAAAAGCAGCGGGATCTGAAGAACTTAGATGCTAAGTGATCCACGAATCAGAAAAGTTTAAATAATTAAAAGAGGAACGGAGAAGAGAACCTGCAACATTTAGAGAATGAGACAAGTACTAATAATCCCAAGAAATTCAAGGAAAACCTGATGAGCCTGGAAAATCTCCAGAGATTTTAGGGGTCTGAATGCTTAGAAGTGACGGAAAAATCTTGAAGATTCAGCGTTCCTCGCGCACATCCCTTATTTTATAAACAAAAAGATCTTGTTCCTGTTCCTATTTAAACTCCGGTAAGTGTTTTACTACATCATAAACCTTCGCGGTCATACTTAACTTTTTCTCCTCTCGCCAGAAGTTCACGCTTTGGATTCTTCTAGAGCCGTAGTAGACGGTGGCGACACTAGAAAGTGTAATTTTTGATTGGTTGTTGAGTTCGGCGGCCATGTTGCATCGAGTATATCAAATGTTTTATTATACGTATAAGCATTGTTTAAACAAAAGACAGTGGTATAAGCCACACGTCATACATGTATTGTGTGTTGCCTACTTTTAAATTGAATTTTCGAGGTAACTGCGTCATCTATTATTTATATTGCGATTTAAAATGACGGAAAAGGGAAAAATTTGTTTTTTAAAGGTGGGTTCATAGCTCTCCGTTCATCCGTTGCGTTGGTCTGTCAAACGGATAATGCATTTTATTAAGGTTCATAGCAATCCGTCCACATTGTACATTTGCAACATATAACCATAACCTAAATTTTATTTTGTACTGTACCCTCCGTGATTTTCAGTATGTAAAAATGGTACGAATGTAAGAGCACGTTGCTATCTGATTATTACCGTGAAGAACGAATAGGCGAACACTGTTAACGTACCAAACATAACCTCACTCTTGTTAAAAACGGACCAACGGAAACGTAAATGTTCAACTTCAACCAACTTTTCCGTCGTAAACGGACGACGTACGATTTAAAAATTTGCTGTCTTCTGATTGGCTAACGGACAAACGGAAACGTAAGAACGGAGAGCTATGAACCCACCTTAAGTCTTTCGCGTACAATTTTTTGGAAAGTATCATTTAATGCAAACTTTGTCCTGATAATAACAAAGGCAACAATAGAATTATTTAATGTGGTGCAGTCGTTCTCAAGTGATACTGTGCGTAGATATATTTCGGTGATCCATTTTTATTTAAATATTCAGTGATATTCATGTAGAAGTAGACATAGGGATAGGGATTTCCTATGTCTACTTTTCTATTTTTATTCGGTGAACTACCATTTTCAAAGTTTATTTTTGCAATATAATTTATTCCTGACTTAAATTTCAGAGCTTTCACAATCTTAATAATTGCGATCATTACTAAACCAACTTTTCACAATTTCAGTGTTTCATTTTACGTTCCTTCCCTACTGTGCTTCAGGTCAAAGCGTTGTGTACAACTAACGTAAGGGGGTCCTGCCTTAGTTGTTTGATCTCGTGATTCTCTATCTTTAATAATAACAAAGTTACCCATGCAATTCCACCCGATCTGGGACACACTGTATGTAACAATCAGGATCCGCGCATGCGCAACGCCAACTTTGTTTATTTATGAAGAAATTTCTTTGAAATTTTAACCATAGATGCCTCTAGTAAAGAAAAACAGCGCACATCAGGGATTACTAGATCAAAAGGGCGGTAACATTAAATATGTCATTTATTTTAAAAATAATGTTACCAATAACGTAAAGTACGAAAGAATATGAATTAAATGCGATAAAATATGTCAAAATTAAAACAAAACACTAATACCGTCTACAATTGATATCAAAATAGCACAAACCAATTACATCGTAAATAATAATAATAATAATACATCAACTTTAGATATAGAGTTCTTTATAAGAATAACGTTTGTTTTTTGTTTATAATTGAAGCGCCAACTGCGTTTTGCTGTCCTCCTCCTCGGGCGGTACGGGTTCCTCGTCGCTTACGTACTCCTTAACGACCGGCGGAGTGGCTTCGGCGGCCTCCTCCGTCTCCGGGTTAATTCCGAGCTGCTTCAGCAGCTGCTCCTTGGCGTGGACGTGCATGTGGCGTTTCAAGACGAAGCGCTTTTTGTACGCGTACGAGCAGATTTGGCATTTGTACGGTCGACGGCCTTGGTGCATCTTCATGTGGACCTTTAGGCTGTTCTTGTTGTTGCAGCGGTAGGTGCAGTCGTTGCACTGGTACGGCTTGACGCCGGTGTGTATGCGGATGTGGACCGCCAGCGCGGAGTTCGAGCTCGAGCTGTAGTCGCAGTAGGTGCACTTGAAGGGCGTCTCGCCGGTGTGAGTGCGGAAGTGGACCTTTAGGCTCGACTTGTTGCTGCAGCGGTACGGGCACTCGCTGCACCTGTACGGCTTTTCGCCGGTGTGGGTCCGCATGTGGACGACGAGGGCGGAGTTCGCCGACGTTTTGNTTGCTATCTGATTATTACCGTGAAGAACGAATAGGCGAACACTGTTAACGTACCAAACATAACCTCACTCTTGTTAAAAACGGACCAACGGAAACGTAAATGTTCAACTTCAACCAACTTTTCCGTCGTAAACGGACGACGTACGATTTAAAAATTTGCTGTCTTCTGATTGGCTAACGGACAAACGGAAACGTAAGAACGGAGAGCTATGAACCCACCTTAAGTCTTTCGCGTACAATTTTTTGGAAAGTATCATTTAATGCAAACTTTGTCCTGATAATAACAAAGGCAACAATAGAATTATTTAATGTGGTGCAGTCGTTCTCAAGTGATACTGTGCGTAGATATATTTCGGTGATCCATTTTTATTTAAATATTCAGTGATATTCATGTAGAAGTAGACATAGGGATAGGGATTTCCTATGTCTACTTTTCTTTTCTATTTTTATTCGGTGAACTACCATTTTCAAAGTTTATTTTTGCAATATAATTTATTCCTGACTTAAATTTCAGAGCTTTCACAATCTTAATAATTGCGATCATTACTAAACCAACTTTTCACAATTTCAGTGTTTCATTTTACGTTCCTTCCCTACTGTGCTTCAGGTCAAAGCGTTGTGTACAACTAACGTAAGGGGGTCCTGCCTTAGTTGTTTGATCTCGTGATTCTCTATCTTTAATAATAACAAAGTTACCCATGCAATTCCACCCGATCTGGGACACACTGTATGTAACAATCAGGATCCGCGCATGCGCAACGCCAACTTTGTTTATTTATGAAGAAATTTCTTTGAAATTTTAACCATAGATGCCTCTACACCTTTTCCACTTTTATTCGAGAAGTTGTAAATTGTATTTGAGAATTGTTACTTGTATTTGAGAAAACATCAAAGTAGATGAGAATAGTCAGTTGGATTTGAGAAAACAACAAATGTAGTTGAGAATAGTCAATTGTATTTGAGAAAGTATCATTTAATTTTAAGAAGTCGTTATTTGTATTTCAGAATTCAGAATGTAATATTAAGAATCAAATTTTTATAATCCCGCTACTGTATGTAGTCCCGCAACAGCAGCAGCAGCATCAGGCTGTGTTATACATGTGATTTTGTTTTTCTCTTTTTCAATTGATTCTCAAATACATTTTACCATTTCTTGAATACAATTTACTATTCTCAAATTCATTTGATGCCTTCTCAAATACAAATCACTATTCTGAACTACATTTGTTGTTTTCTCAAATACATTTTACTATTCTCAAATACAATTGATACTTTCTCAAATTAACTTTATAGTTTCTCGAATAAAAGTGGAAAAGGTGTAGTAAAGAAAAACAGCGCACATCAGGGATTACTAGATCAAAAGGGCGGTAACATTAAATATGTCATTTATTTTAAAAATAATGTTACCAATAACGTAAAGTACGAAAGAATATGAATTAAATGCGATAAAATATGTCAAAATTAAAACAAAACACTAATACCGTCTACAATTGATATCAAAATAGCACAAACCAATTACATCGTAAATAATAATAATAATAATACATCAACTTTAGATATAGAGTTCTTTATAAGAATAACGTTTGTTTTTTGTTTATAATTGAAGCGCCAACTGCGTTTTGCTGTCCTCCTCCTCGGGCGGTACGGGTTCCTCGTCGCTTACGTACTCCTTAACGACCGGCGGAGTGGCTTCGGCGGCCTCCTCCGTCTCCGGGTTAATTCCGAGCTGCTTCAGCAGCTGCTCCTTGGCGTGGACGTGCATGTGGCGTTTCAAGACGAAGCGCTTTTTGTACGCGTACGAGCAGATTTGGCATTTGTACGGTCGACGGCCTTGGTGCATCTTCATGTGGACCTTTAGGCTGTTCTTGTTGTTGCAGCGGTAGGTGCAGTCGTTGCACTGGTACGGCTTGACGCCGGTGTGTATGCGGATGTGGACCGCCAGCGCGGAGTTCGAGCTCGAGCTGTAGTCGCAGTAGGTGCACTTGAAGGGCGTCTCGCCGGTGTGAGTGCGGAAGTGGACCTTTAGGCTCGACTTGTTGCTGCAGCGGTACGGGCACTCGCTGCACCTGTACGGCTTTTCGCCGGTGTGGGTCCGCATGTGGACGACGAGGGCGGAGTTCACCGACGTTTTGTAATCGCAGACCGTGCACTGGTACGGCGTTTCGCCCGTGTGGACGCGCAGGTGCACCTTGAGGCTGCTCTTCGTGCTGCACTTGTACGGGCACTCGGTGCAGTGGTAGGGCTTTTCGCCCGTGTGGATTCGCGTGTGGACGACGAGCGCCGATTTCGCCGTCGTGCTGTAGCCGCAGACGAAACACTGGTAGGGGGTCTCGCCGGTGTGGACGCGCATGTGCACCTTGAGATTGCCGCGGTAGCTGCAGCGGTAATCGCAGAGGGCGCACTGGTAGGGGCGGTCGCCGGTGTGGATGCGCATGTGAACGTTTAGGGCGCTCCGCTGCGCGCACTTGTAACCGCACTCGACGCACACGAACGGTTTATTGTCGCCGTGCGTTCGCTGGTGAACATTCAGGGAGGATTTCGACGCGGTGCTGTACTCGCACTCGGTGCACTTGTAGGGCGTCTCACCCGAGTGAATCCGCATGTGCACGACTAAGCTGCTCCGGTTGCTACAACGGTACTCACACTCCTCGCAGTGGTACGGCTTGTCGCCGGTGTGGATGCGCATGTGCACGATGAGCCCGCTGCGCTGGGTGCAACGGTACTCGCACTCGGAGCACTGAAACGGCTTGTAGCCCTCGTGAATGCGTATGTGAACGTTCAGGGCCGACTTCGCGGTAGTCGTGTACGGGCACAGGTGGCATTTGTAGGGGCGATCGCCCGTATGGGTCCGCATGTGAACCGTTAGCGAAGATTTCGTGACCGTACGGTACGTGCAGATGGTGCAACGGTACGGCTTGCTCCCCGAGTGTATGCGGTTATGAACGGTTAGCGCGGATTTCGAGATCGACATGTAACCGCAGACATTGCACGCGTACGGCTTTTCGCCCGTGTGAATGCGCCGGTGCACGATCAACGCCGAATTCGAGACGGTCGAGTACTCGCACTGCTCGCACTTGTACGGCTTAAACCCCGTATGTATCCGCATGTGAACGTTAAGATTACTTTTCTGCGCACAGACGTAGTCGCACTCCTTGCACTTCAAAAGTCGGTTCTCGTCGTGCAACTTCTTATGCAACAGATGGCGCCGTTTCAAATTCGTCTTGTAACCGCAAATTCCGCAGTCATACAGGGGCCGTCCGAAAAGTTTGCGAATGTAACGTTGCGGATTAAACGGATCCCCTTCTACCTTGGCAGGCTCATCGTCACACACCTTCGCCGCGTCCGTCGAACTGGGCGCGTCCCCTTCCTTCAGAATCGTCTCCACCTTGTCGATTACCAGTGTCGGCTCCGGACTGTCGGGCCCCGAATTGACGTACTCGGCATCGCACTCGATTTCCCCCTCGGCTTCGTAACTCGCGTCCACCTGCTCCTCTTTAATGTTACCCGAAAACATAGCCTCCGTTTCCGGAACTGGTTCGGGCTCTCGAATCGGTTCCGGCTCTTGCTCTTCAATTTCGACATTGCACTCCGGAATCTCCTGCTTAATCTGAACCGGCGGAGCCTCGGACGCAGTCGACTTGTTGGTCGCCGCCAAGCTGAAAACAGAAAAATAGTTCCTCACAAATATTCTGCAACACCCCGTAGGGAGTTAGTCGATTGTTTTTCACCTTTGCTGAGCCGCCGCGACTGGAAACGGTCGAATGTTGGCGCGGATCTTATTAACGTGCAGCATCTGCACGAGATCGACGCGCTTCAGCGCGATCCCCATCCACCGCACGTACTTCCGTATGTCCTTCTCCGACTTCAGGCATCGCTTCTTGAACTTGTGCGTGAGATTGATGGCCTCAGTGCACTCGCCACAGATGGCCGCGTTCGGCGTAACGCTAAGATCCTAAAACGGCAATGGGAGCGAGTGCTCGCGCCCGTGTCTCTCCAACTTACCAGCTCCGGGACGCAGTCTTTCAGCTTGGTCGTTATGGTAGCCGATTCGGGATTCAATGGAACGGTGTCGAGGTACGAGATCTTGGATCCGTGGTTTATTTCGCGCAGGCATGTTCTGCACACGTCGAAGATTTTCGACGAGAAATTCGGGTCCATTATTTTCGTTTTAAGGCGTCGAAATCATTTTTGCTGAGCGCTTTCTTTTAATTAAATTTGGTTAACGTTGACAGATAATTCATTTTTAGAAAAATAATCAACCGGCTATTCCGCCTACTCTGAGCGGATGAACTACGATTCGTACGGTTTTTTGAACTACTTTATTACTTGTGAACTAAATACTCCAGTGTTTCAAGAACATCAACTAAAAATATTGTTTAAATAATGTTGTTTAGCTCCGTACTCCCAAAATTCATCATTAAAAAAAAGGTTTCTAAGGATATCACAACCATAAATACTAACGAAGATGAAGTGTTGTAACTTGAGTTCATTAAATTAAAGACTGAAATGTACTAAACGTAATAAACGTAAATAGGTCTTTTTGAAGCGCTTGGGGTTTTTTGAAAACATACGATTTGTTCAAATGAAAGATTGACAATGAATACCCACTAGGAAATAAGGATTAGAAAATCTTTGTGATATGTTGGTTGCCTAATCAAAATCTAATCGAGCAAACGACCGTTTATTGTCAGTCATCCCGTATATCTTCTGATCACCGCCATCTTATAATCCAACCTACAACTTTCTGCATTTAATTCTTTATTATAATTATTATAAACAATTTATGCAGTGTTTTAGCAACAAATATGTTTGTTCATAACTATTGCGTATATTAGAAGTCCCGCCGTAACCACAATTTATTAATAAACAACGCAAAAAGATCAGTTCGCCATCAACCACCATCAATGGCGATGTCTTTGGCAAATTTCGCCTTCAAAGGCCCCAATTTGCTGCCCCCCTTCAGGCAGGCCCTGAAAAATAGTGCCGCCTTCCTGCATACAAGGTAAGTCGAACGCCTCGGGCGTAAGTCGAAAAATTCGGCACCGATTATGTAATCACCTCCATTAGCAAAGTCGATAATGCGGCCAAGTGGTACCCCGACGCCGAGTGGATGGATCAGTTCAAGGGGCCGGTGATGATGCCCGACGAGGTGACGAGCAAGTGGATGATACCGCCGTGGAACGCGCAGATAGCGCCCGTCGAGAAGCAAGTGAAAAATCTCACTCTCAACTTCGGACCGCAGCATCCGGCCGCTCACGGCGTGCTACGGCTGGTCTTGGAGCTCGACGGCGAGGTACGTCGGCTTGTCGCGCGCTTCGATTGTATCGTGCTTGTAGGTGGTGAAACGTTCCGACCCGCACATCGGGCTTCTGCATCGCGGCACCGAGAAGTTGATCGAGTACAAGACGTACATGCAGGCCTTGCCTTACTTCGATCGATTGGACTATGTCTCGATGATGTGTAACGAGCAGTGTTATAGTTTGGCGATTGAAAAATTGTTGAATATCGACGTGCCGTTGCGGGCCAAGTACATCAGAAGTACGTAGTTTCGGCAGCGAGGGGCGCCTGATAAAATTATCGTTGTAGCTTTGTTTGGGGAAATCACCCGTCTGCTTAACCACCTGATGGCGATAGGGACGCACGCGCTCGATATTGGCGCACTTACTCCATTCTTCTGGTTGTTCGAGGAGCGAGAGAAAATGATGGAGTTCTATGAGCGAGTATCGGGTGCACGAATGCACGCCGCCTACATCCGCCCTGGGGGTGTATCTATGGTATGCTATGGAACTGTGCTGAATTTCATTTGTTAAGGAATTGAATTCAGTTGTTTATTCCATTTTAAGATTGAGATCAAGATACCTGGTAAAATTACACTGACAGATGACTGTGCAGACATGACCGTACCAAAAGATTCTGAACTGCAATTTGCATATTTTTGTTTGGAACACACTGTATATTCCTTTTAAAATGGAATTTTAGAGTTTTTGCACAGACTCGTCCGTCTTTGAGCAAAATTCACAGCAACTTCTCATTTTAGGACCTACCAATGGGTCTCCTCGACGACATCCACGATTTCGCGTCGAAATTCAGCGAACGCCTCGACGAGGTGGAAGACGTGCTAACCACAAACCGTATTTGGGTGCAGCGTACCGAAGATATCGGCGTGGTGTCCGCCGAGGACGCGCTCAACTACGGATTCAGCGGTGTGATGCTGAGAGGCTCGGGCATAATGTGGGATCTGCGCAAGGTGCAGCCGTACGACGCGTACGATCTGGTCGAATTTGACGTACCGATCGGCGTTAAGGGCGACTGCTACGATCGGTACCTCTGCAGGGTGGAGGAGATGAGGCAGTCGTTGCGGATCATCGATCAGTGCATCAATCAGATGCCGGCCGGCGACGTCAAGACGGACGACGCCAAGGTGACCACGCCGAGCCGGGCCGAGATGAAGATGTCGATGGAGGCCCTGATTCATCACTTCAAGCTCTTCACTCAAGGCTTCCAGGTCCCCCCCGGTTCCACGTATACGGCGATCGAAGCGCCAAAGGGAGAGTTCGGTGTTTATCTGGTTTCAGATGGCGGCTCGATGCCGTACCGATGCAAAATAAAGGCGCCGGGCTTCGCGCATTTGGCGGCGTTGGATAAGTTGGGCAAAAATCATATGCTGGCGGACATTGTTGCCATTATTGGTACCTTGGATGTTGTTTTTGGAGAAATCGATCGTTAAAACGTTTGTTGATAGTGAATTTTTATTTAAATATAAAGTTAGCTTATTAAGTTTTGAAACATGGGTTTTCGATATGTACACACACTCTTTTGGGCCCCCATGTCTTGCATGATTAGAGTCGTCTGCCCCCGGCGTCACTCAAGCCACCCCAATGTTTGAGGTAAACTTGAGGACACCCCCCAGCGGCTGTAATCTTGGCCATATTTGATCAGAATTCCCCCAACATGCACTCTCTTTGTCGAAAGTACCCTCTGCAGGGGGTATTATCCCTCCCACAGACCTCCTGGTGATACTTTCTTTTCAAAAAACGTTTATCTGTATATTTTTGTAGGATAATGTAGGACTGGAGGGGTCGGGGGGGTACGCCATACCCCCCACAATATTAAAATTCGATTACCTTTTCGCTAAGACTACCATGAGGGTGTTAGGGGTAGTGGAGAATAAACTATCGACCCCTCCTTTGTCGAAAATACTCTGTTGGGGCAATTTAGAGCTTCATTAAGTGTTTTGAAGGGTCTTTTGGACCACAAAGCAATTGTTTTAGTATACAGGGTGTTACAAAAGAATGAGTCACCTAAATTGGTATACAGGACTCGAATATATTTCAATTGAACACATTCATAAAAACAACAAATAAATTAATAACACTTTCTCTCTCTCTGTGTACGCCTATGGCTTTAGCTTTAAATGTATCTTCATGTGACGATTCAGGTGTGCGTTGTCGACGAACGACTTGAAGCACGCTATGCAACGGTACGGCTTCTCGCCAGTGTGAGTGCGGACGTGCCGCGTCAGGCTGTGACTGCTATTGAACGACTTGTCGCACACGAGACACTTGTGCGGCTTCTCGCCGGTGTGCGTCCGCATGTGTACGGTGAGGTCGGGCTTGTGACCGAAACGCTTTCCGCACACCTGACACTCGTGCGGCTTCTCGCCGTTGTGCGTGCGGACGTGCGACTTGAGGTTGTGGTTCTGGTTGAAGCCTTTGCCGCACGTCTCGCACTTGTACGGCTTGAGGCCGGAGTGCGTGCCGTAATGTCGCGAGAGGTGCGCGCTCGAGTTGAAGTCCTTCTCGCACAGGCTGCACTTGTACGGTCGTTTGCCGTTGTGGAGGCGGATGTGCCGCTCGAGCTTGATCGCGTTCTTCGAGCTGAACTCGCACAGGTTACACTTGAACGGCATTACGCACGTTTTCGCCTCAATGTGACGGTTGAGGTGCGACACGTGATTGAAGGAACCGTTGCAGAGATGGCAGTTGTAGGGTTTCACGCCCGAATGCGTGCGTACGTGCTTCGACAAGTCCGAACTTTGTCGGTACGCCTTCGGGCATAAATGGCATTGGTATGGCTTTTCTCCTGTGTGAGTCCGCATGTGACTTTTAAGTATCGTTTTAATCGTAAATGCTTTATCACATAGTTGGCATTTAAACGGCCGTTCCCCCGTATGAGATCGCATGTGAATCGTTAGATAAGACTGCTGGGGGAAGCCTTTGCCGCACACTTTACATTTAACCGGCTTGTCGACGGTGTGCACACCTAAAATGTGTATCCGTAGCACGTTTTTGTAAGCAAAAGCCTTCCGGCAGATCGTGCAGACGTAAGGACGACCGGTCGGCTTCGGTTTCACACAGTAGCTGCCCTTCTTCCGACTCGGAAGGTCCACATTCACCGGCTCCGCATCGGGTACCTCCTCGAGGATGGTTATCGGTTCCGTTTCAACTCCGCCCGTATCGTCTTCGACTTCAACTTTGGCTGCGAATTCACCGAAAAGTGGGTAACTGTAGGTGTAGTTGAAGAACTCGTAGGAGCTCAAATTTGAATTTTGATCCTCCTCTTCTCGTTGTTCCGTCTTGACGACCGCCACGCAGTCTTCCTCGGTCATTTTTCGAGTTATTTGACTCAAAAATTACATTTTGTTTCGTAATTTTTGCACTTATTTTGATTAACATAACCTCATTCGCGTTTAAACTACTCCCTCGCAATGTGTTTGACAAAGATAGCTGTATTTTTGGGCGATAGAGTATCGATTTTGAGATACGTGGGTGCTTCCATAAGGTTTTATCCGACATTGTTTTTAAGAAAATGTGTAAAAAATGATCGTGTATGAATCACGAACTATGGAAGTGACTACGCTACCGTGAACTGTGACAGCAGTTCTACAGGAAAAGGAAAGTGTTGAGCCACCTACAAAAATTTTGTATTTTCAAATATTAAATAAAATTCCAAATTCGTTGCAGAAATTAGTTTGCGCGCAACATGAGGGTGCCTTAAACGTATAGAATCGTCAGGCACAATGGAAAAGGCCACCTTAGCCGAGAACGAAGGAATTCTCGGTGGGCCGACCGGTCTCGATGTTCCCACACAGCTTGGTTCGTGCACAGTCTCTTGGCTCTCGACTAATGTGTTTGATTACAGAGATTATAGACGGTCTCGATGGAGTCGCCGACTTCGACACACACTTAATGCCCGAGCTGAACTCCGATCTGATGTCAATGGACACTGATCCCGAAGCGAACGTGATAATGCAGCATATGGACATAAGGGAGCCACTGTCGAAGTTGAAGAAGCTGCTTGAAGGTCGGCTAGGCGTCGAATTGCCCGGTTACGCTTTCTACCTGCAAGGAGCGCAACTTGTATGTATTGTCATAGGAAGTGGCACGCATTAATCGTTTCTCAGTTAGAGCTGCACAAAAATCTCGTCGACCAATGCGTCCAGGGAGAGGGTTTGGTTCAGGTCAATCTCGAAATTCAAACGAACATCAAACGTATCAACATAATCGACGTGCTGAAACCCGCAGAGGAGTACATCGATTTCGGTAGGTCGTCGCAACGGTTCCGCGATGATTAACAGCCGTCGTTGTAGAATCCTCGATTACGGAAACGGAGGAGACCCTGCCGCCGCTCCCCGAGAAGCACAAGAACATCGTCCACTGGCAGGTGGACGAAAACTTCAAGCAGGAGCAGGAGCGATTAAAGATCCCCTCAGATCCGGAGGAGTGGGACGCCGTCCACGTCAAACACTGGGTGCAGTGGGCGGTGCGGCACTTCAATCTGCCGAACTTGAAGCTGTCCGATTGGGCGATGACCGGCAAGGAGTTGATGGAGCTGAACCTGGCGCAGTTCCAGATTATGGTGCCGAACGATCCGGGCGATATTTTCTGGACGCACCTCGAGCTTTTGCGAAAAATGAAAGTGATAGGTAGGCGCGCGATGTGATCTCTTTAACTTGTCATTTACTGCGGATTTTAGCGACGATGAAAGTTGACGATGAGCCACGTCGGCCGCCACGATTAATGAAGCACACTAAGGTAACTTTTCTGCATGTTTTCCTTCCTTTCTACGATTTTTCATTGCGATTATTCCCAAAGGGGTCTATAAAGAAAGGATCTAGAGTGCTTTGTCTTTTCCATTTTCAACTTTGCAGTTTCTTATAGGTCAATCGTATCACGTCGAATTTTTCTTCGAACTACGGAGTACTGGAGCACAGCATGGTGAACGGGAATCGTATCGGGAATAACGGTCAAATACAACTCTGGCAGTTCCTATTGGAGTTGCTGACGTCGCGCGAGTACAAAACGCTGATACACTGGCAGGGTGACGACGGCGAGTTCAAGCTGAGCAAGCCCGAGCTGGTGGCGCAGCTGTGGGGCGAGAGGAAGAACAAGCCGACGATGAACTACGAGAAGTTGTCGCGCGCGTTGAGGTACTATTACGACGGCGATATGATATCGAAAGTGCAGGGGAAGCGGTTCGTGTATAAGTTTGTGTGCGATTTAAAACAGTTGATAGGTTACAGTGCGCTCGAACTAACGAGGCTTGTTAATACGGGCAATCCTTTGTGAAGCCTAATAAAAATTGTTGTTAGTTTTATTTTTATAATGCCTTGTTTTATGTAAAACGATTGCAAAAACACTTGGAGAGCTTCCCACAATTTTAGAATGTGTCAGGAGAGTAAATGTCTCGTATTTTATGTACCCCTGATGCCCCAATGTGTCCACTTAAGATTAAGACTTCTAGAATACTGCAAATTAAGTAGATTCAACGTGAGAACATGAATATTGGGGCACCCTGTACAAAAATTGTGAAATTCGCGTGTGGAAAAAAATCAGTATAAGAAGTAGTCTTATTATGTATGACAATTGCCATGTATCATTTTTCATACTGGTTAAAGTGTGGTTACGTTATGTATTTTAGTTTTAGGTATTTTCATTTTCTCTTCCAAAATAAATAGGGAATGACTTCGAGAAATGACGAGGACGACAACGGATTTGCGGAATGGGTAATGCAGTCGCATCGTAACTTTCTCAGTTGCCTAAAAGTTTACAGTTTAGGGGGGCTACATGGCCGCAAAGAAAGCGAAGCTCGTCGAGCAGTACGAGCAGCAAGCCTCCTCGTCGAAGAAACAGTCGGACATCCTGACCGGGGTCGCGATCTACGTAAACGGCTACACGTCGCCTTCGGCCGAGGAGCTCAAGATCTTAATGTCGGCGCACGGCGGCGTTTACCACACGTACCAAATGCCGAAGACGACTCACATCGTCGCCTCGATCTTACCGAACGCGAAGGTAATTCGCGACAAGTTACGCCAATTAGTAATCCGTGCGATTAGTAGGTGAAGCAACTCGGCAGCGTTCCCATCGTTAAGGCCACGTGGATATCGGATAGTATCGCCGCGGGCGCGCTTCTGGACCACCGGAAGTATCTGCTGTACACGGGTCACGACGACAAACAGCCGAAATTGGACTGCGTTAGACCGAAGACGCTTACGGCGGCCGACCCCGGTTTTCTCTCCGAGTTTTATAATAACTCGCGACTACACCTCATCTCGACTTTGGGCGCCGAATACAAGCAGTTGGTGAACCAGTTGAGGGAGAAGTCGAACGGCGTCTACCCGGGCAGGGAACGGCTGAGGACATTACCGCGGGGTCTCGCGCCGTCTGAAAGGGTGGTGATGCACATCGACATGGATTGCTTCTTCGTGTCGGTCGGACTGAGAAGCAGGCCGCAGTTGCGAGGTCGACCGGTTGCGGTCACGCACGGGCGGGGCACGCCGATAAATCGTCCACAGGTTTTGTGATTACCTGATATCGGCAGAACATGTAATAACTCTAATGACAGGCTAGTGTCGAGTGCGAGAACGAGCTCGTGAAGAAGTATTTCCCGAACGAGAATTTCGAGGATGTGGATTCGCACGGGTCGATGGCGGAGGTGGCGAGCTGCAGTTACGAGGCTCGGCAGTGCGGCGTGCGCAATGGTATGCTTCTAGGTAACGCCTTGAAAATTTGCTCCGACCTGAAAACGATCCCCTACGACTTTGAGGTTAGTTTACACGTTTTGCAAAGTTCAGATCTGACGTTCGTCCATTAAGGGCTATCGCGAGGTCTCGACGGCGTTGTATAAGACCATTGCCGAGTACACGCTCGATATCGAGGCGGTGAGCTGCGACGAGATGTACGTCGACGTGGCTCCGATTTTGGCCGCTGCAAACATTACGGTCGAAGATTGGGCGACTCACATTCGCAAGGAAGTGATTGCGGTCACCGGTTGTCCGTGCTCAGCGGGGTTCGGCGCAAATCGGCTTCAGGCCCGTTTGGCCAATAAGAGGGCGAAGCCGGCCGGTCAGTTCTATTTGAGGCCCGACGACGTCGAGACTTACATGGCGCAGGTCAGCCTGTCCGATTTGCCGGGGGTTGGTTCGGCAACCGTCGCGAAACTTACCAAAATGGGTTTACATAAATGTGGTGATTTACAGGTAGGTTGTCCCCCTCTCCTGTACACACAGAATTCCCTCCAAGAAATGCAAGCAAATTACTTTGAAATCAAATAATACCTAACCTAACTTTTGAGGGCCATGGAAGTTTTTAATGTACCTTTTCCGTTTCTGTATAGGGTGCGTCAAATTCGTGACTCACCATTAGCATCTCCGTAACGGTGAGAGATACAGTGTAGGTTAATGGGGGCAAAAGTTCCCTGCTTTTGAAAATCTGAAAACGTTTTCATTTTTCCTAGTTTAAGTGGTCGGAAATTGAACCGTTCCCGTTAGTACCTCTTTCGGTATACTCGTTAAGCGTTATAACGGGACTATGTGTTTGTTAGGAGGCCCTGGCTCCATTCTATCATTGGTTTTATATATAGATTTATTAACGTTATGCCACCCTCTTTCTGTAACGATCATGCAGTTTTTATTTGTATATTGCGTTCACGCCGTATATTTCATTCCTTCTTTAATGGACAGCGGGTCTTTGCTATTAGCAACGTCTAGTGCCGTGTTTGACGTTTGGCCCCGGCTCTTGAACAAGGAGGACTGAAATTTGCTCAGGAAAATGGTGAAAGGTGTTCAAAAAGTAACTTTTAAAAAAGTTAGGTTAGCTCCCATTCCATTCTTTAATTCACATTTAAAAGTTGTGAGAGTACCGTAATAAACTTTGAGGTTTGCTCTTTAAGGTGTAATTACATTGATTGCAAATTAAATTTTTACAAGCGCATTTACTTTTCATCTCCCATCTGTATTAGTTACAAAGTGCTGCCACCAGAGGTCTCACTGTTAATCCGAATCCATAGATATATAAATACATAGATACAGCCATACCCCAACATAGTTCAAAAGGACGTACCATCTATTACCATCACTTTCGGCACATTAATTACGTATAGCGCTATCCTTTATAGAGGTACCCTGAGCATGGAAGGCAAGATTCGCATTATTTATTATAACTGTCAATCAAATTGTTAGCACAAATCACACAGAAAATTATCAAATTTGAGACTTTACAACATAAATAAACCGCCTTTTTATTTATTTAAATTGCATAGCAGCAAAGAAATGTTACATTTAAAATGGAAGATGTTATTTAGAAAGCTGGCAAATGAAGAATTTGAAAAAATTACAGCTGACAACTGGAAGAAAGTGTGTGAACATGTGGAAAGTGATTAATTTAAAAGAGAAGTTATATTGGTTGATGTTTCTGAAGTTTATAATAAGTGTTAATAATGACAGTGATGATTCGGATTTGTCAATTTCATCTGATGATGATTCGGATTGTGAACTTTTACAAACGTAATGAATGTTGACTAAATGAGTATTATCACCAATTGGATATCATTGTTAAGATGTTGTATTTATTTTAAATAAATGTACACGTGTAGCTTACTTACTACAATTAACACTATAATTTCAAAAAGAAACCCCACCGATTGTACAACATATGCCGAAAGGGAGGCAAGACGCGTAGCGACCAAAATTTGATATTGCACGCACACACAGTCTATAAATCTCGTTTTCCTAAGAATATTGCACGGATCCTTCTTTGTGATCATGATACAAACGCACTGCATCAACATCATATAGGCCAAAATGATAATTGGAAACGAATTCACTTCCTCTCGCAACTTAATCTCCGTTACCAATACGCCTAAAACCATGCAATTAAAATTAAAATGTTGAACATAAACTTTACTTACTTACGGTTTTTTTGGTATTCTGCAAGCCAGCAATGAATTCACTGCAGCACATCGTGCCAAACAAGGTAAACATAGTCCCAAATTTGAATGGCGTAGCTCTATGTAATAAAACTATTTCAGGAATAACAATTATGGACGCGTCTATCATTATGGCAAGCACTAATGTTATTCGTATTCAATTGATAACGCAATAATTACATAATATTTAGTGAAAAAACCGCCCATCATGTTTAGGGCGAATATTTTTAGTTAGATTTGATTTCGCGCAATCGTGAAATGTGTCAACTGTCACATGACTTATGGGACGCGCTAAGTTTGTTTTAAGCGTCCGATTCGCGTACGACATAGTGGTTAATGCAATAAAAAGAGATAGAACATGTTTCTTCTTAGGTTAGAAAGTAATGGAGAGATGTACAAATTTCTTAGATATGTTTTTTAAAAACCGAGGTACGTTTGTTAAGGATGGCTGTATCTAGGTATTTATATATCTATGTCCGAATCGCGAATAACTGAATATTTCTGTATACTTTCTCTGTTACACAACCTTTGTCAATAGACAGTTTCAAGAGGCCAAATCCAGGCGGAACTGGGCAACAAGATCGGACAAACCGTCGCGGATCTCGCGAACGGCATCGATCACAAACCGCTCAACTTCCATCACGAACGCAAGTCCGTCTCGGCGGACGTGAACTACGGCATCCGCTTCAAGGACAAGACCGAGGCGTCGAACTTCCTGCAGTCGCTTTCGGCGGAGGTCTGCGCGCGTTTGAAGGACGTCGGAATGCGCGCGAGATGCCTGACGCTGAAGCTGCTGGTGCGCGCGCCCGACGCCCCCGTAGAACCGGCCAAGTACCTCGGCTGCGGCGTCTGCAATACGATCACCCGCTCGACGACGTCGGCGGGCGCACTCGGCGACGCGGCTAGCATCTACAGGGAGGCGAAGGTCTTGCTCGATCGCTGCGCGGTCAATCCCCGCGAGCTTCGCGGCGTCGGCGTACAGTTGACGCGTCTCGAGGCGACGCCGCCCCGCAACACCGCCATTAAGCGATTCCTCCAGGGGGAAGTCAAGGCGTCGGCGAGTAACAAGATCGATTTGCGCACCTCCGATGAGCTTCCCAACCGTATTACACCTGAGGTTGTTTACGAGTACCCGGGGGAGAAATCGCCCTTCGAAAGCTTGACTTTGGACGAACTGCGGCCGCTCATCTTAAAGTGGCTGGAATCGACAGCGACCCCTAAGAATATTGATGTGACGCTTCTGGCGGAGTACCTGAAACAACTGGCCATTGATAGACAAATTGAACGACTGAAGGTGGTCCTCAGTTTCTTGTACAGGTGACATCGTTTCCGAGGTGCTTCCCTAGCTTAATGTGGTTTTTCAGGCACATCTCCAGATTGGGGTCCTGCAAGTGGCACGACGCCTATTGGAAATTAATCGACATCGTCCAAGAGGGAATGGTGGCACGTTACGGCGGCACGATGCTGGTCGAGCGCAGCTTCTGTTGTTCTGTACATTCGTAGGAAAATAAATAAACGAGACTATGGTTTATTTCGGACAGTTACAGTTGGGTACTTTTGGCCGTCGGTTGAGGGAGGCGGTGGCGGGTTAAGTGCGACATCATGTCGTAGTAGGAGTAAGGGCCGTACATGTAGTACTCCTTCGTCTTGTAGCACTCGAAGTAGGTGTCGATACTCTTCTTTTCGGCGTCGGAGACGTCGCGAAACGGATGCGGTGCGCTTGCGCCGCATTTACATCCTTTTTTCTGACACTTGGGACAGGCTATGGGCCCCTTGCAAACGTTCGAGCAATAGTGACGAATTTCCCGAAGCAGTATCTCCGTTTTCGCGCAGGCAATGATCGATTTTTTCACAGTCTCGGGCTCGCCCAAACTGACCTTGGTATCCAACGTGTATCTGCCGATGAGGGGTTTTCTTAGTCGTTGCCTGCAAGTGTTTCGCGTATAGAATGGGAGAGTATAGTGTTCTGGCTTACTGGTGGCGGCGCACTTCTTTTTGCAGGGATCGGGGGGCGGATTTTTGGGTGGACATGGTGGACATTCCGGTTTCGGCGGTTCGGGAGGCGGGCACGCCGGTTTCGATGGCGGAGGACAGGAAGGCGGCGGCGGGCACGGCGGTTTTTTCTCGCAACCACCGCTAGCTTCACGAGTCGGACGCAACGGCGCGGTGGTCGCGCTTCTACCAAAAATGCCGTAGTGCGACCAGAAACGGGTGATAAATTGGTACGGACTGAGAATTTTGATTATAAACGTAGAAAATCTCGAAACGCCCATCGTGTAAATGAAAATTTAAAACGTCAAAATGGTTACTATTTTTTCTCATGGCTCACCAGATCGACAGTGACATTTTCAGTACTACCGTCATGGATACCATGTCTTTAGGTGCGTATTAGGGCTCTCAACACCTCCTCGCACATTATAACCTCCTGCTACCAAATTGGAAAAGATTTAAAACGAAATTTGGCTTCGAAATATTTTTCTGGGTGATGGGAAAAGACCTCCTCGACTATTATGTTCTCCTGGTAGCCAGATAAAATTTTAAAAGAATTTTCTGATTATCCCCTCGTGTATTTGGAGCTGAAACACCTCCTCGCACATTATAACCTCCTGATACCAAATTGGAAAAGATTAAAACGAAATTTGGCTTCGAAATATTTTTGTGGGTGATGGGAAAAGACCTCCTCGACTATTATGTTCTCCTGGTAGCCGGACAAAATTTTAAAAGAATTTTCTGATTGTCCCTTCGTGTATTAGGAGCTGAAACACCTCCTCGCACATTATAACCTCCTGCTACCAAATTGGAAAAGATTTAAAACGAAATTTGGCTTCGAAAAATTTTTGTGGGTGATGGGAAAAGACCTCCTCGACTATTATGTTCTCCTGGTAGCCAGATAAAATTTTAAAAGAATTTTCTGATTGTCCCTCGTGTATTTGGAGCTGAAACACCTCCTCGCACATTATAACCTCCTGATACCAAATTGGAAAAGATTAAAACGAAATTTGGCTTCGAAATATTTTTGTGGGTGATGGGAAAAGACCTCCTCGACTATTATGTTCTCCTGGTAGCCGGACAAAATTTTAAAAGAATTTTCTGATTGTCCCTTCGTGTATTAGGAGCTGAAACACCTCCTCGCACATTATAACCTCCTGATACCAAATTGGAAAAGATTAAAACGAAATTTGGTTTCGATATATTTTTGTGGGTGATGGGAAAAGACCTCCTCGACTATTATGTTCTCCTGGTAGCCGACAAAATTTTAAAAGAATTTTCTGATTGTCCCCTCGTGTATTAGGAGCTGAAACACCTCCTCGCACATTATAACCTCCTGATACCAAATTGGAAATGATTTAAAACGAAATTTGGATTCGAAATGTTTTTGTGGGTGATGGGAAAAGACATCCTCGACTATTATGTTCTCCTGGTAGCCGGACAAAATTTTAAAAGAATTTTTTGATTGTCCCTTCGTGTATTACGAGCTGAAACACTTCCTCGCACATTATAACCTCCTGATACCAAATTGGAAAAGATTAAAACGAAATTTGGCTTCGAAATATTTTTCTGGGTGATGGGAAAAGACCTCCTCGACTATTATGTTCTCCTGGTAGCCAGATAAAATTTTAAAAGAATTTTCTGATTATCCCCTCGTGTATTTGGAGCTGAAACACCTCCTCGCACATTATAACCTCCTGATACCAAATTGGAAAAGATTAAAACGAAATTTGGCTTCGAAATATTTTTGTGGGTGATGGGAAAAGACCTCCTCGACTATTATGTTCTCCTGGTAGCCGGACAAAATTTTAAAAGAATTTTCTGATTGTCCCCTCGTGTATTAGGAGCTGAAACACCTCCTCGCACATTATAACCTCCTGATACCAAATTGGATCAATTTAAAACGAAATTTGGCTTCAAAATATTTTTGTGGGAGAAGGGAAAAGACCTCCTCTACTATTATGTTCTCCTGGTAGCCGGACAAAATTTTGCAAGTGATTGTCCCCTCGTGTATTAGGAGCTGAAACACCTCCTCGCACATTATAACCTCCTGATACCAAATTGGAAAAATTTAAAATGAAATTTGGCTTCGAAATGTATTTGTGAGTGATGGGAAAAGACCTCCTCGACTATTATGTTCTCCTGGTAGCCGGACAAAATTTTAAAAGAATTTTCTGATTGTCCCTTCGTGTATTAGGAGCTGAAACACCTCCTCGTAAATTATAACCTCCTGATACCAAATTGGAAAAGATCGAAAAAGTACGACTCGTTTTGGATTCTACGCACCAAAATTAGTACGAAAAAATGTTTTCCCGAGAAATTTTGGTGCAGTCGTTTTTGCTAAAAAAGGAAGTGTATACACTGCCTTTTTTTGAGGCGTGAAAAAAAATTGTCTCAGAACGACCGGAAAAAAAGTTTTTCTGATAGAATTTGGCCTGTAGAATCCATAATTTCAAACAGTTCCAAGATTCGACTACTAGATCAAAAGTTATAGCCCTTTGAATTTTTGGTCGAAATTGGATTCTAGCCTATAACTTTTGATTGAGAGGTCTAATCGAAAACGTACGACTCGTTTTGGATTCTACGCACCAAAATTAGTACGAAAAAGTGTTTTCCCGAGAAATTTTGGTGCAGTCGATTTTTGGTAAAAAGGAAGGGTTTACACTACCTTTTTTGAGGCCTGAAAAAAAAATTGTCTCAGAACGACCGGAGAAAAAGTTTTTCTGATAGAATTTGGCCTGTAGAATCCATAATTTCAAACAGTTCCAAGATTGGACTACTAGATCAAAAGTTATAGCCCTTTGAATTTTTTGTCGAAATTGGTTTCTAGCCTATAACTTTTGATTGAGAGGTCTAATCGAAACAGTACGACTCGTTTTGGATTCTACACACCAAAATTAGTACGAAAAAGTGTCTTCCCGAGAAATTTTCTTCAAACCTCTCGCAATTTGCATTTGCCTTTATTTGTTCGGAACATCCCAACTGACTTCCCCTGTGTGAAATTATGCTTGCTGAATCCAACCAAAGCTGGTGACAAATATATTTCTCTGGTTACTTTTGTATAAGTTGGCAGCACTGACAGTTGTAAACATCTCGTGGCATTTAATGGCTTTATTAAACGAAAACTTAATTATTTAATCGATAATTAATATTGATATCCCGTTCCTAAGTGAGCACAGGGTCCAAAGCAACAATTATGACTGAAGAACGATTGCACATAGTAAGCGAAAGTGGCCCCACAGCAGGCCCGACCCCTCCACGCACCTAACCGCCATTGTTTGTATCGCAGGACTGGGGCAACGACAAACTCTACCGAACACAGAAACACGTCGAGCGAAACCCCTACGACCTGGAATCCTGGTCGATTCTGCTACGCGAGGCGCAGGTCAAGCACATCTCGGAGGTACGGCCGTTGTACGAACACATCACGCACATATTCCCGAGCGCGTCTCGATACTGGCGGATATACATCGAGCACGAGGTTCGTCCGACGCGTACGTATAACCTCCGATCGTTATTCTAAAGCGTTTTCGCTGTTACAGATGAAGTCGAGAAACTACGAGAAGGTCGAAAAGGTAGGACGTACGATAGTTGTGATTGTCTTTATAAAAAACTTGCTATTACGTACAGTCCGTAATAAAATTCGCATCGTTAAAAACTTGACACCTTTTATTTCAATGCTCTCTCTCTAATGCGTTCAGAATTCGAGAGGCAATTTTCTTAATTACGCCCCACGGGGGTGGGGATGTTTCATTTTCATTTCTTGGAAAAACAATTGTTTATGGAACAAAACATTTGAATGTAACAAATGAACTATCTCGGATATTTTTCAGTTTAAAATATCCGAGATATTTGTAAAGAAAAATGCCCACGCCCTTCCCCCCCGGCGGTAATTTCTAAGAATGCCTCTTGAATTGTTCCCCGTGGGGTAATAACCATTTTTCGACAGCTATTCCAACGTTGCTTAATGAAGATCTTAAACATTGAGCTGTGGAAGTTGTATCTGTCGTACGTGAAAGAGACGAAAGCCTCCCTACCGACTTACAAGTAAGTACCTCCCTCACATGATCGTTCGGCGGTACACGACGCCCGTTCTAGAGAAAAAATGGCGCAGGCGTACGATTTCGCGCTCGAGAAAATTGGCATGGACATTCACTCGTACTCGATATGGAACGATTACGTGAATTTTTTAAAGGGCGTCGAGGCGGTCGGCTCGTACGCCGAGAATCAGAAAATATCGGCGGTACGTAAGGTCTACCAGAGGGGCGTCATTAATCCGATGATTGGAATGGAGACGTTTTGGAAAGATTATATAGCCTTCGAACAGGTACAATAACGGGTCAATTATTTTAAGGATATTCCGATGTGCATATCCTTGGAATATATTTTTAGATAATCTGCGGAATATCCTGCTTGTTTTAATGTCACGAAAATTTAAATATATCTCGAAACGTTTATCTATAACTGCAATTTAATTTATACTGTGGAATATCCAACTTTCATGGAATATTACTCATTTTTTCTGTTTCTGTACTCGGAATAAGTTGGAGACAGACTATAACCCAAGCGAAAGTGTAAAAGGAATTATGAGTACTGATATTTTCAAATTTAGAAATTTTGTGCAATTGATATCGGAATATTCTTTGCATATCAAAGTAAGGAATATTATAGGTATCTAATATTTGACGGGTATAATAATAATTGATTGCCATATCACAGGAATATACTAGAAAATGTTGGGAATATCCAACTTTCTCATAGCAATTACAATGCATGGTCATCACTTGTTTAATAGAAAATCGTTTTCTAACTTTTACCACGACGTAATTGAGGAATATTCATTGCTTGTGACGAATGGTATGGTATTACTACATTTTTATGCATATATCAAAACAAGTGTGTCTAGTCGAGTGAATAGATTTGTATGTATCTCGGTGGTTGTTTGGAATATCTTTTTCTTAAGGGTCCCAATGTAAGTTTAACGATATCCTGTATTTACATTAATACAAAACTGTATTAGTGTAAGGGAATGAATGTTTAAGAATATCCAATATGTATGTACAATGGCAACTGATATCCTATATCTACCTGCTGGAATATACTTGCAATTTGGAGGTGGAACATATAATATTCCCTTACCTTGAGCTCGGACCATTTATATCTAATATTTTGCTGTGGGAATATACTTACAACCTAGATTACTAACTTTCATAGAATATTTTGAACGTTGTCACAGAATAATTTAGGAATATCCAACTCGAGGGGGCAGTTGAAATAAAATTATTTTCATCCGTATCAAAATAGTGGAACATTCCCACATTTAGCAGTGGGAATATACAATGCTTTTCGCAAAGTATATTCTTTTCAAGATATTCTGAGAGGATATGCCTGCAACTGGAGTTTTTTTGTAGGCAATTAATCCTATAATAGCCGAAAAGATGTCGATTGAACGCAGTAGGGACTACATGAACGCGAGACGCGTCTCGAAGGAGCTCGAGGTGCAGATACGAGGCATCAACAGAAACGCGCCGAGCGTTCCGCCGTCGGGCGGCAACGACGAGCAAAAGCAGGTGGAGCTGTGGCAGAAGTACATCGCGTGGGAGAAAAGTAATCCGCTGCGAACGGAGGATACCGCCCTGCTGACGCGGCGCGTCGTCTTCGCTCTCGAGCAGTGTCTGCTGTGTCTAGGTCATCACGCCGACATCTGGTACCAAGCCGCTCAGTTTCTCGAGTACAGCTGCAAGGTGCTGCAGGAGAAGGGCGTATGTCTGATCCCTCCCCTGTGTCACGCATCCATTTAACGCGCATTTCCGCAGGATGTCAACGCGTCCAAGCTCTTCAGCGAGGAGGCGGCGAATATGTTCGAGCGCGCCACGAGCACGCTACTAACCAAAAATATGCTGCTCTACTTCGCGTACGCCGACTACGAGGAGGGGCGCGTGAAGTACGACAGGGTGCACCAAATCTATCAGCGCTACCTGGACATACAGGACGTCGACCCGACGCTGGTACACCCCCCGCCCGTCTGTGTCCGAACTGCTTTAATCGCGCTTAACGTTGCAGGCCTACGTGCAGTACATGAAATTCTCGCGCCGCGCCGAGGGCATCAAGTCGGCGAGGAACGTCTTCAAAAGGGCACGCGAGGATCCCCGCTCCAAGTACCACGTCTTCGTCTGCGCCGCGCTGATGGAGTACTACTGCAGCAAAGACAAAAACATCGCGTTTCGCATCTTCGAGCTGGGCCTGAAGAAGTTCAGCGGCAATCCCGACTACGTCAGCTGCTACATCGACTATCTCTCCCACCTGAACGAGGACAACAACACCAGGGTCCTCTTCGAGAGGGTCCTCTCGTCGGGCAGCCTGGAGAACGCGAAGTCGGTGTAAGTGTCTCGGTGCTCGGGCGCCATGTCGTCGCGGTAACCTCGCGGCTTCGTTTCAGGGACATCTGGAATCGCTTTCTCGAGTTCGAAAGTAACATCGGCGACCTGCAGAGTATCGTGAAGGTCGAGAGGAGGCGCGCCGAGGTTCTCAACAAAATTAAGGAGTTCGAGGGACGGGAGACCGCCCAGCTGGTGGATCGCTACCGCTTCCTGGACCTCTATCCTTGCACCGGCCCCGAATTGAAAAGCATCGGGTAATTGATTTTCACAGAGCCGACCGATGGGTGCCCACCCCAAATCGTCATCTTCAAGTTACTGGACCATTTGAGGTGTGGTATCCCGATATCGTCGAGCCCGGCCCTGGTCTCGCGTTGCTAAAAACTAATTTGCAGCTACACCGACGTGATCACGATCACGGGGGCGGGGCGTAATCACATCCTGCAGCAGTTCATCAATTCGGACGTCGACTCGGGCACGCCGAAGCCTGACGTCGCGCAGATGATCCCGTACAAGCCGAAGGCGAACGCGTCGCCCGGCGAGCATCCCGTTCCGGGCGGTTCGTTTCCGATGCCCCCGAACGCCGCCCACCTCTGCACTCAGCTTCCGCCCCCCTCTTGCTTTCGCGGCCCGTTCGTCAACTTGGACCAATTGGTCGACATCTTCAATCGCATTCAGTTGCCCGAAAAAAGTGAGTGTCGCCGGTGGCGTGCGCGCGTTGTCCAAGGTCTCATTTCAGTTCCGATGCCCGACGAGAACGGCGGAGACGTGCGCCTCTTCGATCTCGCGAAATCGGTACATTGGATCGTGGACGATTCGCAGGGCGGCGTCTTGAGAAGGCGAAAACGCATCGGCTTGGCGTTGGACGGATCGGACGACGAGGACTTCACAATGCCTCCAGTAAATGACATTTACAGACAGAGGCAACAGAAAAGAGTCAAATAAGTTTGTTAGGTAGTGAGTTTTATAATTTTTTGCTGTATTTATGTATTTCTATCGGAAAGGATTAAAGTAATTCTTTTTTAAGATGCCATAGGTAGTAGCATGCGCATTGCGCAAACCAAAAGGCATTCTTGTTTCAGCTTTTTGTTTCCAAATTTAATCTTGCAGTTTTTACTGATGGACTGTGGATGCTAATTACAGTAAATAATGGGATCATAATTCGATATAACTGCTAAATCGTGTATAACCTCATTTGTAATAGGAGAGTAGACTCCTGATACATATTCATTTATATCTGGATAGCATAGATCGTAGATAGAGAGCTTCTGGACTTTTCACGAAGCCAGTAACCATCTTAATCTATGCACTCTGTGCTCCTGATAATAGATAATTTATTCTTTGTTATTTACAGGTTTTGATGATATCAGGGCAATATAAATCGCAAGAGTTTCTTGCATTAGTTAGGGAGTAACCTCTTCCACGTAGTTCTGTGTTCCTGATGTAAGCATTTTTATGCGAATGCAGATGTGAATTTCTCTTTTCCTTGGTGTTTTTCTGTTTATTTTTTTTCAATGAGGAGGCGATTAACCACTTAATCATTGCACTTCTGTGCTCTTGATACATGTATTTTTTTTATTTGAACTGTGCTGTGAATTGTATCAGGAGAGAATTTTTTCCTTAGGGTGTTCACCTTGGAGTTGGATAACCCTTAAACCCTTTGGCGCTCCCATTGGATGTCATTTTTTGGAGGCACAGGTAGGTGTTATTCCAGGTAACGAGAGGAATGGGCCGGCCGGCATGTAGACCAGTCTGCAGCTCTTCAAAAACTCCTCGCGGAAAGGGGCTTTTAGACTCTTTCACTAAGGCGACAATAGAGTATCTAATTTTTGATTGGTTGTTAAGATCGGCGGCCATTTTGCATCCAGTATAGATAATTGGGTGCGTTGAACCAGGCCACTGCTGTCGTAACGGTATTATTGAACGCGCAGTAACTGGGTAACCAGTTAATTCCAGGTTCAGTGGCAACAAGCAACCGGCCAGTCCACGGCCTTATTAGAGGAACCAGGAGAACGAGCTCTGAACTAGGTACAAAAAAAATGGTTGTGGGGGTATACTAAAAATGGGTCCAGCTAATTTAATCGGCCGAAATTTGGTACTGGAAACACTTGCGTAAGCGTTGAATGCGCCCATAGTAGCGTATGCAACACGTCATACGTGTATGTATTGTGTGTTGCCTACTAATTTAGCACTATTCGACTTTTAAACATTTGGAAACTTTCAGAGCGTGTAATTTGCTCGTTTTATAAATAATTTATTTGTCGCTTAAACTACAATTAAAACACATTTACAAAATCGGCCTAACATAACTCCCGCTTTCTCTCAAAGCCTTCCGCTCGAAATACCTCCGAAGTGCACTGTCAAATACGTCCCCCACCGTCCGTTTCTTCCATATATCGACTTTCACTTTCTCACGAACTTTCGCCTCGACCTTCACCTCCTCCACCTCTTCGGCTTCCGTTTTATTTTCGTCGGTCCGCACGACCTCTGCCGAAGTTTCAGTTGCGGCCTCGACCGGAGGAACGGCCTCGGCCCGTCCCTTCTCCCCCTCCGAATCGGACGAGTCTATACTGAAATCGGAATCGGCGTCGATATTAGACGGCAGATGCTGCAGTTGCGGCTTGACTTCGGGCTCCGAGTCGGAGCTCTGCTCGCGCTGACTGCGGTACCTCCGCCTCTTCGACTTGGCGCCCTCCCCCTCCTCGACCTTGTCCTCGTAGAGGACCTTCTGGTCGTAGAGGTGCCGATAGAAGCCGTCGATGTTACCCTGCTTTCGCACGTCGCCGATCGCCTCGAGGTAGTCCTCGCGTTCCTCCTCCTCGTCGAGCTTCTTCAGTTCCTCGAGCTTGGCGCGGTACGCCGACGTAACGAACGAGTCCTTATCCTTGAACTCTTCGCCTTCGGCCTCGCGTTCCCGTTGCACCTGCCGTTCGATGCGTCGCTCGTTCTCGCGTTTGCGCCGTTCGGCACTCTGCAGCAATTTGTTGATGTACTTCGGTTTCTTGTCGAGATCCTTGCGGGACAGCTTCGATTCCTTCCGTTTGGCGTCCATGTCGTCGTACAGCTCGTCATATTGAAAGACGGTCGGATCCTCCTCTATCGCCTTCTCTTGCAGTAATCTGTCCTATAATTTCTGCAACTCCATGACCGTTCACTAACGCATTCACTTTTACCTGTCGCTTTAACGCCGTTTTGAGCCCAGTTGGTTTAGCGGCGCCCGAGTCGGAGTCGGAATCGTTACCGAAGATGGACGGTCTGACGGGGCCAATTGGGTGTAAAGGTTTACTCTTGTTCGGGACAATAAGACCATACCTACAAAGTGTTCTGCTTGATTAACGTAAATAAAGGTGTTCTCTTACTGTTTTTCCATTTAATTTTGTTTTTAGTAATCAACAACTTTTTGGTTATGTCACGAAAAAGTCGATCAGGTAGTTCACTGTAAACAAGATAAGTATACCTCTGGCGGCAGTACATTGCACTAATACAGAAGGGGTCGAGGGTGCCATTTGGGCATTTACAATGAGTACCAGTAATCAATATTGTACTGTTTACGGCTGTAAAAGTAAATATACATTAAATTCAAACATTAGCCTTCATCGAATTCCAGCCAAGGGAAAATCAACCGTGCGGATTACAACAACATTGGGAATCGAAGAAGTAGACATCCAAAGAGCATGGAAAATTAATCTTCAAATTGATAAACAAATTACCCCATACTTGAGAGTGTGTTCCAATCACTTTTCGGACGATTCGTTTTTTTTGTTTGGTAAGTATAAATATGCCTCTTCGTAACTGGCCTTCCACGTATTTTAGGTCAACCAACGCAAAGACGCCGGTTAAAGAGGAATGCCGTACCCACTAAGAATTTACCGGCTGTGAAAATGGGAGGATCTGCGACTACTAGGCATTGTAGAAGACTCGCCCCTTGTGAATAATGAGACTGACCGTTCTGAGTGATCCGATGGGAAGATTGGTTGTTCTTGATGTATGAGAAACGTTAGCATTGAATTCCGACAATAGAAATTGAAAAGGGAAAGGATTTATAACCAAAACAGGAGGACCATGGTGAAGAACTCGCAGGAAACCCCTTCTAATGTAATTCAAACGTCTCAATGGTTAATGTCGAAGCGATTACATGATTGCAGCAGCTACCGATAGCGGAACGCTTTTTCCTAAAAAATCGAGTCTCAAGTTGGATCATTCAACAGAACTACAGATATAAAAACGGTAGTGAAATGGGACAAAAGTGTTACATGGTTTGTAAGAACGAAAAAATGTGTTGTTGTTTATGCGAACTTTGAGTGTAAATTGTAAAACGTACCAGTGTCGAGTGGTCTAACGACTTTAAATGAAATCCTGTGCAAGAAATTACCAATCGCAGAAGAAAATTCCATTTCAGATCATTGAGTATGATGTGCTGCCTACAAAACAGGCGATGTATTTTTCAAGTATCTATGCTAATTTAGGGATTTTGGCCTTTAGAATTCATATGTAACCTTTGCTTATTCCGGTCCTGATCACGTATCGTCCTGACATCTGGCGTAATTAAGTCAGACATATCTTACCAAATAATGTGGGGCACATCATTATTACCATTATATTAGTTATTTAAGGTTTTGGACAGATGTCACCACAGGCACCAAAAAATTTCTTTAAACATATGAGCTTCGAGTTCATCAAACTAATGTAAGATGTCGGGGAGTTATGTTTTGCCCTTTACGTAAAAAGGGGCCCGTTTTGATCACTATTTTGTAACATTTCTGCAGTGGGTAGCAATAGCACTTATTACGGTGTCCTTCATGTACTTAATTGGGGATAATCATGCAAATCCCGAAATTTGAATATGAGTACTCGATATTTGTGTAGCCTGGTTTGTAGGCAACACATCATGCTCAATGAACAGAAAACGAACATTTGTTTTTGGAAATCGTAACTTCTTATGCATAGGAGTTTATTTAAAGCCTTTGGAAGAACAATTTCAATAACAGCTACATTAAACTGAACCGTTTTACAACAACTTTCACACGAAGATCGCACAAACAACACATTTTTGGGTGCTTGCAAACTGAGTAACACTTTCGCTCCGTTTCGCTGCCAATTTCACTACCGTTTTTATAACTTTAGTTCTGTCGAATGAACTCAAGGCTCAATTGTTTAACGAATAGCTTCGCACCATCGGCAGCCGCTGCAATCATGTAATTGTTCCGATTTTAACGTTGAAAAGTTTGAATGGGTTTTCTGCGAGTGCTTCAACGTGTCCTCCTGTTTTGGTTACAAAGCCTTTCCCTTTTCAATTTATGTTGTCCGAATTCAATGCCAATTTTTCTCGCCCATCGAGAACTACCAGTCTTCCGATCGGACGACACAGAGCGATCAGTATCATTTTCCGCAATGCCCGAGTCTGCCGCTTCCTGTCACTCCCAGTTGCCAGTTCCACAATTTAAACCTGTAAGCGAGAAAGGACTGATAACAAAGTTTAATTTTTGACTATAAAATAAACATTCATTTATGAATTTGAGGTTAAAATTTCATACATCTATGGAAGCGTCTATGGTTTTTAATTGGAGCGCTCTGACATCTAACGTTAGTTTCATAAAGTATACAAAACAAGTAGGGTGGTGACATCTTTGAGGTGTAGGTTGCAACTAAAATAATGATGGTAACAAAGTGTCCTGCATTTTTCGATAAAATGTTAGTCCACAATAATAAAGACAGATGTCACAACAGTATATTCTGCTTGGATTATTTTCATATTACCAAAAACTCAGGTAAGGCTACAAGTACAACCATTTTGGGATTTGTGCCTTTCCCTGTCAAAGGAGTAAACCACGAAACTCGTAAAATTAAACTTTTCGCTCCTGTATTATAGCCTATTCCTTTGGGTCAGCGTTTTTGGATTGCCATAGGACAGGGCGAGTGAACGTACGGCCGTCCGTACAGATTTTTTGACGATTTTAATAAAGTATATGTTCGCAATATACGAGTTAAATCGCCATAAGAGTACGCCGCAATAAATAAGAATTTTAAATCGGTGTTCGTTTTAAAGACTTTTGAGAGTTAAGTTTCATGTGAGTTAGGTTAGATACAAGATTGAAAAAATTTAAAACGCCCAAACTAATCTGACCTAACCTAACTAGCACTCTAACCTAACCTCACTAGAATTTTATTTTAACTTTCAATCTCCTCGCACATCATATTCTCCTGATACCAGATTTTTGAGCTAACCTAACTACCACCCTAACCTAACCTCACTAAAATTTTATTTTTAACTTTCAATCTCCTCGCACATCATATTCTCCTGATACCAGATTTTTGAGCTAACCTAACTACCACCCTAACCTAACCTCACTAAAATTTTATTTTAACTTTCAATCTCCTCGCACATTATATTCTCCTGATACCAGATTTTTGAGCTAACCTAACTACCACCCTAACCTAACCTCACTAAAAATTTATTTTAACTTTCAATCTCCTCGCACATCATATTCTCCTGATACCAGATTTTTGAGCTAACCTAACTACCACCCTAACCTAACCTCACTAAAAATTTATTTTAACTTTCAATCTCCTCGCACATTATATTCTCCTGATACCAGATTTTTGAGCTAACCTAACTACCACCCTAACCTAACCTCACTAAAACTCTGACAGAGATAGAAAAAGACCTCTTCGTATATTATGATCTCCTAGTAGCACGACACATTTTGCATAAGTTTGTAGACAAGTAACAGGTGTAGTATTACGAAAGGAAACACCTCCTCGCACTCATATGATCCTGATACAGAATTGGCAAATTTTTAAATCGAATGAAAGCTTTGAAATAATTCTGACAGAGCTAGAAAAAGACCTCTTCGTATATTATGTTCTCCTAGTAGCACGACACCTTTTGCATAAGTTTTGTCGACAAGTAACAGGTGTAGTATTAGGAAAAGGAAACACCTCCTCGCACTCATATGATCCTGATACAGAATTGGCAAATTTTTAAATCGAATGAAAGCTTTGAAATAATTCTGACAGAGCTAGAAAAAGACCTCTTCGTATATTATGTTCTCCTAGTAGCACGACACCTTTTGCATAAGTTTGTCGACAAGTAACAGGTGGGTATTAGGAAAAGAAACACCTCCTCGCACTCATATGATCCTGATACAGAATTGGCAAATTTTTAAATCGAATGAAAGCTTTGAAATAATTCTGACAGAGCTAGAAAAAGACCTCTTCGTATATTATGTTCTCCTAGTAGCACGACACCTTTTGCATAAGTTTGTCGACAAGTAACAGGTGTAGTATTAGGAAAAGAAACACCTCCTCGCACTCATATGATCCTGATACAGAATTGGCAAATTTTTAAATCGAATGAAAGCTTTGAAATAATTCTGACAGAGCTAGAAAAAGACCTCTTCGTATATTATGTTCTCCTAGTAGCACGACACCTTTTGCATTTGTTTGTCGACAAGTAACAGGTGGGTATTAGGAAAAGAAACACCTCCTCGCACTCATATGATCCTGATACAGAATTGGCAAATTTTAAATCGAATGAAAGCTTTGAAATAATTCTGACAGAGCTAGAAAAAGACCTCTTCGTATATTATGTTCTCCTAGTAGCACGACACCTTTTGCATTTGTTTGTCGACAAGTAACAGGTGGGGATTAGGAAAAGAAACACCTCCTCGCACTCATATGATCCTGATACAGAATTGGCAAATTTTTAAATCGAATGAAAGCTTTGAAATAATTCTGACAGAGCTAGAAAAATACCTCCTTTTATATTATGTTCTCCTAGTAGCACGACACCTTTTGCATTTGTTTGTCGACAAGTAACAGGTGGGTATTAGGTAAAGAAACACCTCCTCGCACTCATATGATCCTGATACAGAATTGGCAAATTTTTAAATCGAATGAAAGCTTTGAAATAATTCTGACAGAGCTAGAAAAAGACCTCTTCGTAAATTATGTACTCCTAGTAGCACGACACCTTTTGCATTTGTTTGTCGACAAGTAACAGGTGGGGATTAGGAAAAGAAACACCTCCTCACACTCATATGATCCTGATACAGAATTGGC